TTGTAGAACGAAATAAATTGTGTAGTACTAAAAATAAAGGAAAAATTAGTTGCTGTGTTTCACTTCAAGTTGACCCTAATCATACCCAACCCTTCAAAATCCAACTGCATGTTTTGTTGGAATCTGTGGGAGTGAGTACTGCACTAGTAAACTGATTATGCTTTACATGGGGTTAGGCATACCACCATAATCAGAGTCCAAAAGTTTGGATTTGAGTTTACCATATGGTGTTGAATTTAGCAAAAGTGAGGAAGCTTCCTTGTAAATCACTCAAGGGGTTACGGTTAATATTTTTTTTTGATGAAGGATATATTATGTTCATTGACAAATATGAACATTTACATTCCGTAAAAAGAAAAGTAAAAATCTGACCCTTACAAAAATCAGAAAAATCAAAGACAACATGGCATTAAGCAATCATTCGTTTATTTTACAGATCTTTCGTGAAGCTGACCAGTTTGTACTTCTGTAGATCACTGAATCATATTTCAATTACAATTCCCCCAAAAAACAACTGATGAAAATCACGTCCTTTATATAAAGTGTCAAAATGCATACACAGTGTGATTAACATCAATAGTCTACTTCACGTTAAGCAATCAATTCATCATAAACCAGTTTAAAGTATTGTACATATAAGTTAATGTGCAGGTAAAAACTGGACTTGCCGATTAACATCAGGTTAACAAGTAAAAAGGTTGATTGGGTCAAACTTAACAGGGCCGCTTTTTAGGAGGAAAAACACTGCTTGGCAACAAAATTTGCTGAGTACCAATGACAATCAGTCGTTACATTGTGTTATATATTTAATCTGCTTAATAGCAGATCTATGAGATGCAATCCTGCAAGAATTGGAAACGGTTTGAATATTGAATTTACTTGGCCGGTTCGTATTCTGCCAATTGGATAGTCTCGATCAAAGCCTGTTTTTGCTTTTTAATCCCCTTATACAGCCGATCCCCAACAAGTGAGGTCGCCATTAACAAACTGAATCAAATCCAGTCTTAGCAATATTGGCAGCGCTGCCCAGGAAATTCCAAGCATACCTCACGCGCGCATCAGCTTGAATACAGCGCGCGTGAGGTATGCTCGGAATCTCCCGGGTAGCACTGCCAATATTACCAAGGCTGGATTTGATTCATCTCTACTGCGTTTGTCACGTCACAGGACTGGCTGTAAAATAGGGGAATTTAAAAAAAATCAAACCTAGTCATGGACAAGACTAGCAATTGCAACACAACCTGGAACACAAAAAAGCCATCGCAAATTGTACATGTATCGGTGTCTGATTAAATTCAGTCTAAAGAGTAAAATGAGTTACCTACAATGTAGGTCTGTTTTTGCATGAAGTTTTAACGAGACATGTAGATGTACACTATGAATTGATGCATGTTATAAAACAATAAACAGGCATTTGCAACAATGAAAATATTTGACACATCAAAAAAAAAAATTTGTGGGAATAATTTTACAATTTTAAACCCATGTTGTCTTCTCAAAGTGCAAGATTACAAATTTCTGAGTATCAATGTCTCAAATGGGGGTTTGGTTTCAAATGCCTCTATGTAATAATACATGTCCAGCGTGTTATTTGTCTTTTTTTTCAAGTAAAACCACGTAACTTTCACACAGTAATCTGTGTTTGTCTTCAGCACAAAATACTGTTTTAAATGTTCACGTTACAGGTTTTTTCCGAACACAATTTGAAAAAGAAAGAAATTACAAATTGCTGCCTTAAACCCTCAAGAGGCCTTAAATTGAATCAACGACTTGAATAAGACTAGCCTCTTTGAAGGAGACCAACTAAAGAGCAAAAAAGCAACCTGAAGCCGTGTCTGTAGAGGGCATTTTTGACTATGGCTTATGGCTTTGGCCACTGACACCATCCATAGCCATAAAGCAACATTTTAAGGAGACTGTGGATAATGTCATATGGATGGGTACATGTAGGTTTCTGAAGCCTTGTCTGTAGTAGGCATTTTATGGCTATGACTTATAGCTAAGTTGGCAATTGACATAATCCATAGCCATAAGCAACATTTAAAGGAGATTGTGGATGTCACATGCACGTACACGTAAGTTTAGATGAGATTTTAATTCAATATGCAAATCTTACAAAATGTAAATATACAGTCTCAAATAAAAACGACCGACACGTAGATGACACATTCACAAAAAATCATGCGATACAAAATACAGACTTGGAAAAATAATGAGAATCAATGCAAGCTTTTGAGGAAAAAAAACTCTGCACTTTACTTGACACCACATTTGGAATTAGTTTTTAAGAAAAAAAAATGCACTTTTTAACGTCTGTTTCAACAGCTTTTCCAACATTTTAAAGTTTGCGCCCATGCCAAATGTCGACAAGTATTTTAGTATACAAAAAACGAAATCTAATGAATATTAAAACTACATTATATTTTTTATACTATAATACAATGACATTTACAATAAGGATAACACAATACAACGTGAAATGATATAACATGGAAATTAAAATGCCACCGAGATGACAAAAATACAAACATCACATCACCTCGGGTGGTAATGGAAGAAAAGAGATTTTAGTTTTAAATTCTGATGAAAATTGCGAGGTTTACGAGCAGAAGTGTGGGTTCCTCTTTGGCTGGCAATTTCAACAAGGCCAGCCCAGCAGTCAACTTAAACCAAGTGACTGTCTTTTGAACAGTTGAGTGCTCCCTGCCTTCATAAAGCAGGATTAACTGGCTGTGATTGTTATGGAACCTGATATAGCCATGCTTTGACTGCAGGAGATTGATAAGCCAGCTGTGCCTACCAGTCACCTGCTTTTGTCTGTTGATGGAATTTGACTGTCACAGTGCCAACAAAAAATATGATCCGACTGTTGGTGACTAGCCTGTGTAAAAGGCATGGCAGGGGAACAGGTGTGAATTTTTGACTGTCTGTGACTGATCAAACAAAAGGAGGGTTGGGTATTGCAGAATTTTAATCAAGTCATCAAAAGTCATGCATGTTTCATCGTAAATCAATCACAAGTCACCATAAGTTAGGTCACAAGTCATATCATAAGTAAAAGAGTGTGACCATGACAAAGGAATACCTTTGTCACAAGTCATTTGAATAGCTTGCGACTCGAGTCTGTGATTAACTTGTGATTGACTTGTGATGACTTATGATCTCTTGTTTAACCCGTTTTTTTTTCTTTAGAACTTTAGAACACTTTGGCAAAAGACATACCGACCTCTTTTCAATATTTGTAATAAGGAATTGTCTCCGTGGGATTTGAAATATTTTTCCATAAATAATTTCAAACACGGTACGTTTAATGCCATAATCCAAGCATTAAACGTCATCTGCCAGCTTCAACAACACGTATCTCTTGAGAAATACAATTGGTCTGACCCTAGAGAAGTGTGCATAGTGCTTCTTGAAAAATATCTCGTAATAGTTCAGTGCAAAGTGCGGCAAAATCAAAGATTTGCATATTATGAAATGTCAGGGTTTTTAGGATTCTTTTTGGACTTCACAGTGTATCGTTAACATTGTGGGGCACATTTAAGGTTCAGAAACAAGCTTAAGCTTGATTCCTACTCTTGTTTCAAATACTTGGGGCCTTGGAAAAGGTATTTTTACAACACTTATGCGTAAACCTCCCCTACTTTCGGGGAAAAAAACAACGTAGCCATGTGCAGCATTTCTGTTTAACTAATTCCCTAATGCTGTGCGTTAAATAGAATCGGACGCTCAGTCGTTGAGTGTGAATTTACATTGTCGTGTCCTCACATTAAAAAAACTCCCTGCCAAAAAAAAAAAAAAAAAAAAAAAAAAAATCGCCAAATAATTCTCAAAAACTTGTCTACTTTATGCTCTTAATTTAATTTTCCTTTAATCCCGCTATACCTTTCTTGTCACACCATAAAAATAAAATCACAGATAAACAACATACAAAAAAAATAATAAAACAAAATAACAATAATAAACAAATGAAAATAAGAACAAATCATCTTCTGTGAAAAAAAAAAGAAAAATTACTTTAATATTTACATAATGATCACATCACTTGCCTAGTAAATAATAAATCATTCAACTTATCCTGCTATTTTTGTCCGCTACACTAAATATCCCTTTGAGCTGATATTTTTTGAGGATAGGAAAGAGAGAGAACCCTTCAGCATTTTGTCAGTTGCATCACTCTGTTTTTAGGTCAGGGCTGGCCAGTGTCCTCGACAAGTTTCAAGTTTTTATAAACATTTTTGCCCCAAGGGGAACACAGTGGACAGCAACAACAATGCTAAATTGAAAAAAAAAAGCTTGCTTGCTGTATGCTTTAGGACGACTTTGTACATTTTATTAATTTAAGGGTGTGATGTCTTCAAATCAAGTTACGGTTAATTACATTTTTCCTTACGGAACAAAATCTGCACATACACTTCAATGGGCTCCGTGCGCCAACGAAAGCGGGCGCTCTTTTACCTAGCAACAACATCCCATGGGCGGGACATTTAGCTGGTTGACGCGCACCGTTGTGTGACGCACGTACACCAGGGGATTTGTACTACATGTATGTACACACAGTGGTACGGCTGTGAGTCGCGACAAAATTGCAGTCAGGCAAGATGGCGTCAGTCGGTCACCCCCAACTGTACTTTCTTTGCCGGTGAGGGGGTACTTGTGCAGGGAGCGGATACAATGTATTTCAAATGGAGGGGACCACAATGCAGATGTAAGCAAAGTCTGTCACGAGCCAAAGTGGCCCATCGGGCCGGCGTTTATCTCCGGTTTCCTTGGCATGAAACGACTGGGAATAATTCTATTCCCCCTGGATAGAATGCCAGTCCATCGCAGGTTACTCCCCAGCTAATGCCGGTACCCATTTATACTCCTGGGTGGAGAGAGGCAAGTGGGGTGGCTTGCCCAAGGACACAACGTATGGCCAGCAGCTGGATTTGAACCCCTGACCCTCTGATCATGCTTCACAAACCCTAACCACTAGCCCCCCCACACTGCAGCTGTTATTTGTGTGCGAGGGACAAACATCAAAAGAAGCTGATGTATATACATGTACCCTTAAATGGTCGCTGGGAATCAAATTCACTCCTTCACGCGCGGATCCTTTATAAAACAGACTCGCGTATATGTTGGCTGAAGTCTTATACTGTGACATGCTGCAAATAACCGCAATGACGACTGACACATACTATTTACCTGCCGTTTCAAAGCCTTAAAAAAAATTATCCTGAAAATGAATGGGCTGTTTAAGAACAAGGACACACACGTGTCTCTTAAATTAAAACCTACGGACATCTAAATTTGTAACCCAAAGACATGAAAGAGGGTTGGGCTTAATATGCGCTCTCACCAAGGGCCACACCCAAAGCCACACCCTGGTAGCCCCGCCCAAAGGAAAAACAACCACACCCTGGTATTTAGTAGTTCGCAACACCAAAAATGCGCAGGAGATGGGAAGAAAGAAGACCCATAGGTACATAATATAATACATACAGAAAGTAGAAAATAGGGGGGGGGGGGGGACACTGTCTGTTAATTTTTTGCATTGGATTGCAACCATGTGAGTCCCTCGTAGAGCCCGTCTCCCGACGTCGCGCAGGAGGGCTGGACGAACCAGTTGCGATCCCTGATCCTCGTCAGACCTAGCTTCTCTTGGATCTCGTGCGGCCTCATAGCTGCAAGGGGAAAAGTTAAAAAGAATGTACACCCATTAACTCATTGAATCCAAAATTTATTTATGGATGGAGTTGTAAAAAAAAAAATTACATTCAAATATTTGGATATTTTAAAAAATATTGATTTTACTGTGCAGCAGGCCAGTGGATCTTTAAGGAGACAGGAAGCGTAAAGATTTTGTAATATATCGGCTCTGTCCTGGAGATGGACTTCACTGAGCTGATTAATCGGTTCACAGATCCTCTACACAAGGATAAACAACTCATCTGAGCTTGTTTACAAAGTGTACAAAACAGTTTGGTTAGATGCGTGATAACGGCCTGTGCGCGTATAGAACGTACAATGTCGGCACGTGCGCGAGACTCGGCGCGCGCCCTACATGAAACCAAATCACGGGAGACTTGACCGAAATTCAACTGCAGTCGCGTGCCGAGTCTAGTCTCGCACACGCGCATTATATGCCACACATTTTTGCCATATAGCCTCAGTCCTGCAAAATTCTCCATTTTTTGCAAAGAGGATTGTGGAGGATTTTGAAAGGATAGAGTTAATGATGCTGCCTTAACTTACCGTCAGGTAAATCTTGTTTATTAGCAAATATTAAGATGACGGCTTCCTTCATTTCCCTGTCGTTGATTATCCGGTGGAGTTCTTGCCTGGCCTCGTCTATCCTGTCCCTGTCCGCGCAGTCCACTACGAATATAAGACCCTGCGTACCGGTGTAGTAATGTCGCCAAAGGGGCCGAATCTTGTCTTGACCCCCTACGTCCTGTTTTCCAAAGGGATCAGATTGTCAATTTTAAAGAAGTCTGAAAACAGGACAAAAGGTTTCAAAAATTCATCTATTTCTATCCTGATGTCTTTCTCTCAGATTCAAAAGATCTGATTTCAGACAAAAGTTTGAGAAAATCTCACGCCTGTTTACACCAAGTTAAAGGTTATATGCTACATTTGCTTTTCTTGTAATTTTCAGAAGTAGATAGGACGTGGGGGTTAGTGATTTATTAGCAAATATTGTTACACTGACCTATTCAAAGTTTTGTGTTCATAGATGCTGGAAAAACTAAGAAAAATGCTGTTCTTGTAGTCTGGTTCCCTGACCAAACTTCAGACAAAATAGAGCAATTTAAAGACGTCGGGGATTTGTGCCACGTCAGGGAACCAGACTAGCTGGCTTGCATCCATTCAGGGATGTGTAACCGATTGCAAACAACATGTGGACAAGTTTTTTTCCAATGATGGTCAAACTGATACAAGACTTCCACTTTTCTTATAAACGACAGCACACCAAGTGCCATGATTTCACAGGATGCTTGAGACTATTTCTCACTTACAGTCCAGTAAGGAATTTCATAATAATTAGGTAGTTTTGTTTTTTGATGTTTGCAAACGTTGATAATAACCCATAAGAAATCAAAGGGAAACATGAATCAGATAAAAGGATCTAGGTACAATTTTATTGGCATATCTAATGCAGAAGTTTGGATTTTTCAATTCTTGTATGAAAAAGTTCTCTGAATAATTTTACATGTACTCACCCAAACATTGAATTTGACATTCCTATACGAGACGGTTTCTACGTTGAAACCCACCGTCGGTATTGTTGTGACTGACTGACCAAGTTTTAATTTGTACAAAATGGCTGCGGGGAGGGACATTTAAGGAAAACAACCCACTCTGCTGCCAACACATGAAACACATGTAATGCAATCCACCACTGAAGTACTAGTGGATATTGATAGACTTATACAGTCTACAACGCCACATTACCAAACATTCGGCTATACCGAACATCATCCTTGGCTCCCGGTTTTAATGTACCAAACGTACCGAACATTCTTGTTGAAAAAGTCAACAGATTAACAAAAAATGTACCGGTTGTAATGTATTAAATGCTATTTGGGCCACTTTTAATTCCAGAACATCGTACCACCCATAGTTACATCGTGTTTGAATGTTGAAGAGCGATAGACGGCTATTACTTCCCCAAGGAATAAAAGGGAAAATCACCCGTTGCTCAAGTTTCGTGACGACTCCTCATGCGGCTGCAGGATGTGAGAAATGCCAGTTCACTATTGGTCAAAAGAGGGAACCGGAGGTTCAAAATCGCCACACCGAACGATCGTTATTACAAACACTTTCTGTGGATCCCGCGATGTTCGTTATAGCGGCATTCCACTGCACACATGGCTTATGTGACAGCAGTACAGGATGCTAGGCAAAATCAACTGGATTCCCCTAGCACTGCTTCAAGCCTCCAGGCTGCAGTGTTTTTACTTGCAGCACACATCGTCCATGGATCATGATTATTCAGCTAGTTCGATGTTTATTCACAAGAAAATAACAATGACGTTACACCATTGCTATAACTCAGTTTTTCAGTCATGCATGTACATTAAAGCATTTCAAAGAACGGCTTTCGTCGAGCTGCCACAGTGGCCTAGTGGAGGCCTAGTGGATAGTGGCATGCACTATGGATCCCAAGATCTGTGGTTCAAACCTATATCCATTTTCATCAAACGTTTTTGTTGGTTGGGAAAACGTAAGTGTCTTCCATCCACACAACGTGATAAATATTCATGTTAGGGTGCGTGATGTGATTGTTTAAAATACGATATATGCTGCAAAAAAAATACAAAATACTCCTCCCGACCCAAGTCCATCATGATCAATATTTAGTCAAACCAGGCCTGCAGGACCAAGTCCCCAAAATCCACCAAAATGGAGGGGGGGGGGGGGTGGATTTTGATGGAGTTGGGGAGGTTAGGATTTAATTAATATAGTTTCCAAAGGATACTTGTTTTGCCGGCTGCGTCCAGACCCAGCATGAGGATACGCATCTCCCTCCTGCCAAAAATCTTTGAAAGCATTTTCCCCATCTTGGAAGATTGTGTTCCCTAAGCTCCCTCGTCCGATCAAAAAAAAAGTTTAAAAAAAAAACCTCTCCTACTGCCGGATTACGGCGATGTTTTCAGGACGATAACTAACACCTGAAATGAAACCAAAAAACAGAGGAGATATTTTTAGTTACAAGTTAACTCATTAAGCAGTAAGCACATCAGAGAAACTCAGCTAAGCACAAACAGCCTACAAGCTGTAATGCCATGTGAACCACACTGCGTAGGTGAACATTTGTTTTTTTCCAGCTGATTTTGTGAAGTAATAATTTAACCCTAACACCTTGTGCAATTTTACATGTATCCTGAATCCGCCAAAATCCACCTATTTTGTCATGCACAAAACTGTTGGTGTTGGTGACTGCTTAGTATGGAGGTACATGTATCCTGGCCGAATCCAACCAAATCTTGCAGTACCGCTAGGCTTACAATCCTGAAACCATCAAAATCCCCGTTTTCAATATGGAGGTATCCTGAATCCATCAAAATACTCCAAAACAGGGGTATGGATTTTGATGGATTCTGGTACGTCAGGGTTATGAAATTTCCTGCTGAAATACGTCACACATGATTCTAGACATAATTTCCCTTCCGACATGACACTGAATAATGATACATGTATATATTCTATTTCTCTTCCTCATTTCCAAATTGAGTTTAAGTCCGTGTTTCCTTTTCCTGTATAACAAAACAAGTGAAACGAAACCAACTCCAGCCTGGCACCGTGGCACGATATATGCTGATGAGCTGGCGAGTGGTGACCTTACCTACAAAAGCATCGGTAGTTTTGATGAGAAAAAATCTGACAATGCAATGCACTACCGCTAAGTGTTTGTGGAATATTTGCATGAAAACACTTGCAAACTTGAAACTCGAGAGGGCATATTTCAGGCATGCAACTGGGAATTTAGGAGAGAAAAAACGAGGAAACTCCAAACCACACCAAACTTTGTACGGTATTTTTCAATTTGTAATGGCATTCATGAGAAGTAAAAAAGCGAGGAAATCAGCGGATCCGAGGAAGAGTTGCTTGCCTGATATTTTTTTAGGGAATGTACATTATCGATGCCCTCTTATGGGTACCAAAAATGTAGAAATATTACCGCAAAATTTAGGGACTTTACTTCAGTCTACAAAATAAAAAAATTAACATTGATATGTACATACTGCATGTGTACCACGGGGGCAATGGACCTTATTCATGAGGTAGCCATTTTTGTCGTGTTCCCTGAATGTATCTCATTATTTCAACTGTTGAATGGGATGGCGCCAGACCATTTATGCAGCCTTATTTCACTTTCATTTTTTTTAAATCTGCCTTAAAACATTAGGGAATGTTTAATTACAAATTTTAAATAATTCATTTAAGCAGACTTGAAATTATTTAGTTTATGTACTTGCTTTCATTTCTCTTCGTAAGCTCCAAACATGAAGATTTTACCTCACTTTCAACTCAACATGGCCGACTCGTGAATAAGGCCCATTATAGCTCTTCACACACAGTGCAAACTGAGACACTCTCTGCCGACGAATAATGACGTAAATGAATAATATCCTGCCAGCATGGCCGACAGGCACAGCCAATGTTAGTCATCCTACTTACATGTACTACACATATTCATGTACATGTCGGACAATACAAATATGAGATGGCCTGTTGCTGTACATGTACATGTACCAGTGTTTCCCCTGGCTAATGAAATGAGCGAGGTGGTAAAAATTCAAATTGATGATTGAAACAACCTTTATGCAGTCTGCAAACTGAACAGAATGCAGCGCTCACAAAAATGCGCAATGATTCCATCTACACATCCAAATTGTGAGTTCTCGATAGTATAGAGGTCCAGGAAAAAGCTCATAATTACACAAAATGTCAATTTTTTGATTAGGCTTTCCTTTATTGCAAATCTTCACAGTGAGGTGGTGATATTGGCAAAAATTGAGCGAGGTGGTCACTGAAAGTAGCGAGGTGGGCCACCACACGTTTGAATGGGCAGGGGAAACACTGACATGTACATAGCACAAAATGCTGTATTATTTATATCTGCACATGCAATATGTTCAACAAGTTCATATTACGACGTCATTCCATTTTCAGCAAATATACCATAATATACACGTACATGTACAGGTCCAATCAACTAAACCAAAGAAAAAGATTTTGAAGTAGGTTTCAAGACTGACATTATCAGGCATGCAACTGAGAATTTAAAAAAAAAATGAGGAAACACCAAATCACACAAGACTTTTGTACAGGATTTTTCAATTTGTAATGGCATTCATGAGAAATTAAAAAACGAGGAAATCAGCAGATCCGAGGAAAAGTTGCATGCCTGCATTATCATACAAATTATTAACTCTTAGTCTTACCACCCCAACCCTTCAAAATCCAATTGCATGTTTTGTTGGAATCTGTTGGAGTGAGTACTGCACTAGTAAACTGATTATGCTTTACATGGGGTCAGGCATACCACCATAATCAGAGTCCAACTGTTTGGGTGTTGAGTTTACCATATGGTGTTGGATTTTGCAAGAGTGAGGAAGGTTCCTTGTAAATCACTCAAGGGGGTAACGTTCAATGTGATAGTAAGAACAAGGAGTTCACTGAGAATCTTAGGAGCACTGTACATGTAATTAACTTGTGTTTCAGAGAAACTACCCGTAAAACCACAAACAACGAAAGCGATTGAGACATTGACTATACTGATTTTTCCAAGAACCGCACAAAACAATGTGATTGTGTAACACAAATCATTTCTTTACGTGGCTATTTCCGACACGCAAACTTTCAAGTAAAAAGCAGTTCTGAGCATTCAAAGAAATGAAACGTGAAGCATGTTTCCCCATCATTAAAGGCCACCTTATCCTTACACTAAAACGGCAATGAAATGTGAAGTACATGTACATGTACATTTTGTACATGTACATGTGCCAGCCTCCAAGATCACAACAATAATAATCATTTCTGCAGAAGCGTCGCTAATGATCACTCCGGTTGCAGACAGTGTTAGTTCTACAACCTGGGAGTAACGAGCTGCCATTTTAATGAATTTACCACGCTTAATTTGAAGGGCAAGTGGTATGGTATCTGACAGACTCTATCGCTTTTATGACTTCTAAAGATCTACAAGAATGATTATGTGTAAAAAAAAATAAATAAATACCTGCCACACAATGTAAAAATAGTTTGAATTTATAAGGGATCAAAATTAAATATGTGCTTGTATTTTGTTACCAAGCATGTTTAACCAGCTATTGGCCTGGACTTGGCCCGACGTGGATATTAGCCAAACACAATTAATTATTCCCATTCATAAATACCTTTTCGGTCAAGAAATCAAAACAAGTCCAAAATTCACAAATTTTGAACACTTTTTCTCCATGTTTTGTGAAACACCCCTCTGACCACATCTATGTAGTGTGCCTCACATGCATAATGCTAAAACAATCTCCTTATAAATATGACGTGCAGCGCGTAATGCACAATGTGGCGCAGAATGCAGCAGTGTTTTACCGGTGGTTTAAGGCCACCCACGTGCCGGGCTCTCGACCAATAGGAATTGGTAAACTGTCTCAGGTACATGTATAAATGAAGTCAATTTTAATGATACTTGCAGGACAAAATACACAGTTCAGGTGTAACACAAAAGAAATATGACAAGTTTGGACCCCACATTTATGGAATGACCCACAGGTTTCTTTGTAACATGGTCAGAATGGGTTATAAACTAGACACATACTAGTCTTGGCCCATGACGTCATGATCAATAGCAAGGTTATCACTGCGCTGCATATTCAATTAGCAATGCTTGATCACCGCACATAGTGCATACGTTTACAACTGTCGCACGAGGGCGCGCGACTGACTATAAACCATTTCGCAATCGCTGATTGGTTCCCTAAAAAAACCTATGGGGAAAATAAAGAATTTAGGTTAACAGCTACTAAACGATTTCCAAGACGTTACTACCTACATGTACGAGCAGCCACGCTAGTCTAATCATGCTGCTATACACGATCCACTATCGATCTCTAGCGTCTGGGCCAAGACTAGACACAAACATATACACATACCATGTACAGTATGTATTACTTGGCGCAAGCAATGTTGACCAAGATGATTCATTATGAGCAAAGCTACTACACATAAACCAATTATCGATATTTGGCAATGACAGTACAAGTGCAGACACACAAAAATGATCCGACAAATGAAATAGCACAATCTTTTTTTGCTCCGGCATAGACAATTTTTAAATAACTGTACTGACTAACATTCTTGACATACTGTTGTTATGCACAACGGTACAGAATCTCCATCAACACAGATATTTTTTGTTTTGTTGTTTTAAGGAACAGTCAGGTATTTCCCCCTCTTATGTTTTACAACAAAAATACAAGTTCCATGTCAAAACCCTGCCCTCTTTCCATAAAATTAAGCCTTGGGAAGTTATTTTAAGTGCACAATGAACTAAATAACGATTGCCGCAACACAAATTGCTGACGTCAAGATGTATGATCCACCTTCACTTTCATGTCAAGTATAAAGCAACAAAAATTTACGTATATTCTTTATCTGTAAGAAAAAATAAATAAATACTCCAACGTGATTTTTAAGCTTTCTGACTTTTTGTGTATGTTATTTTCATTTGCTTGTAATGCATATTAAAAAAAAGCAATGAGAATTTTCCCTAGGGCTCGAACCTCCGTTGAAATGCAATCGTGTAGTGCAGGGCCCCTGTTTTGTTTCTATCAAATTAGAATCAAGAATTTTGTTTATCACTGAAAAATGACATTGTCAACCTAAAGCAGACTTCTCTCAATGTAATTTTGGTAATTTTTGAACAGTTTCTTGGGGTATAAATTACGATTTTTCTGGTGCCATGCAGCATGCCTTGCGCTTTCACGGTACATCAGGCAGTGATCGCCATCTTGTTGCGTTTTGATGTTGTCATCGTCATTTTACCCCAAATTTCCCTCAAAAATTCAAAACCCTGCCCTTTATCTATGACATACATGTACCTGTATGTTCTGTATGTTCTGTATGTTGCCAACTACAGTAGTTTGGTAGGTCAAATAATTTGAAAGTGGATTTCGTTCCATTATAGGAACCGGGCCCGAAGATACACGATCCCTCTTTGAAGCGCCTCTTCACAAGCAAACCCCTGACCGGTTTCAAGCAATGTTTCATTGTGCAATCACCCAGCTACGAATGGGAACAATCATGTGTACATCCTTAGGATCCGGCCGAAGGCCTATGGCCACTGAAGTGCGTCTCAAGGTCATGGCAAATTGATGATTATTTTGTGCTGTGTAAAAAGTGTGTATGATTAGGTAATGCATTCAATTTCCAAATTGTTTTGCAAATGTTTTTAATTATCAAGACGGCATTTGTGTCACATACGTGTTCACTTAATGGTAATCATGTAGTTTAATAAGACACCTCTTATGTTTTACAAGTTCCATTCATAAATCAAAACCCTGCCCTCTTTCCACAAGATTAAGCTACATTCAACATGGGTATCTTTAGATGGTTGCAAACACATAAAGTGACTCTTCCTGCTTGCATCATTGCCAAATGTTAAGATTGTAAGTCCAAAAACTGAGCAAGTCACAAGAATGGGTACAACTACAACATCCTTCACTGCAGTTTGGCTGTTTAGGAGGGATACACCATGGACCTTTTTTGTTTTATGGTGGAAGTGTGCAGTGAAAAATAAAAATAAGGTACATTGTGTTGCACTGTGCTATTTGAAATGGGATTCAGCACATGTGAAGCGAACCCTGTCAGCATGTTCTCCGCCTTCTGTGTCTGTCAAACACAAAACATAAGTAAAAGTAATGCCAATTCAACATTTAATTAATACAAAATAGGTCGACATGCAAATAAAATGTAAACATCATGTATTAACTGTCTTGTCAGCTTCTTTGAACGATTCGCTTTGAACTTACACACATCAGTTAGTTTTGGTTATGTTCACATAATAAATGAGGGACATAATTTTACATGTTTTCAATGATAATTTATATTTGAAACACCTGAGCCTGTAAATGTCAACACGGTAAATGTACTGGCTACAATTTAAAAGAGGCACAATTTCAAAAAAAACCGTGACTCATCTGTCCCACCTCGTCGCTGGCTACGCAGATACGGAGTCACGCTTGACTGCTCACCCACAATATGCATGCACTTCCCACTCTGTATCCCCATATCCGCGTAGCCACTCCCGGGGAGCTACTTGGACGTCTGATCCTCCAGTGCTCCACATTCAATTTACGTTGTATGTTCTGACTCATCCCCTTTGAGGATTGTTTTAAAAGGGAGAATAGCGTCCTCTTTCGCCCCTCCCTGACTGTCACTCAATCCCACTCCGTATCCCAGTATCTGCGTAGCCACTTCGGGGGACCTACTTTGGACTTAAGACTTTGGAAAGAATTCCATATGTCATGTGGCCATCACTATTTTTTTCTGCAGTGACCTACCATCAGAAAGCGATAACATATCATGAACATCATGAACATGTCCTAAAAATAAAGTCAAAAAAAGATTGTTTATTTATTATTGAACAGAACAGTTGAACATGTTGAACATTGTCATTGTCAATGACAATGTCATGATTTTGTCAAACAAATAACAACTTTCATGACTTAGTTTACGAACAATGAAGCCTTAGGTAAGCACGGTAAGATACGATCTGTCACAAAATGAAATCGAAACATGAACGGTCTCATGACAGATTTTCAGTGGGACACCACCACAGCATGTGAATGCACTCTTTATGCATGCCGTACTGCGACCCACATGCCCCGTGTCATAGGTACTCACCATACACGCTGAACACGGCTCGTGCAATTTCATGTAACGCCCAACTTCCGGGATAACACAATTTCACGCCAATTAACGAGTCAGGAAAGCGTGGAATCACCTCGAACATTGATGGGACAAAGAGTACTAACTATGGAATCCTTCTGTGCATTTTGGCTGCAATACAAGAGAGATTAAGTCAAATATCGGTATTTTTGTGGAAAAATTCAAGAGTTCGCCGGTTTTTCCGATTCGCCAATAGATGGCGGTTGAACTAGCGTGCACATGTTCTGCAAACATCCGCCGCAGAAAAAATAGTCCGGAATGGACGATAAATTGACACTTAACAGAGGAATATCGATTTTAAATTCCCTAAATGAGATTGTTATGCGTGCCTTAATTACCATCTAACATAACAGGATTTTCTATTAAATAAGAATTGATTCCATAACCCCAAGCTCATTAATTTTGGGGCTATTTAGAGTAAAGGGGCCAGGGCGTGGTGACGTTTCTTTTTTATCCTCGTCCTATCACTTACAAACCAGAGATAATATTCCCGCGAAATCCCACTTTTTAATTTTAGTATTTTTCCCCTTTATCTATTACTTAGAATCAACGTTTGCGTCATAATCATTGCGGTTGGAAACGCCCACTGTTTTCCTCCTGCAAGGGAATGAAGTTTTTCTGTACTCAGTCAACCGCAAACACGATTCAGGAAACGGTATTAGAAATCTATTTAAAATTCATCGGCCCTATGAAGAAAAAAAAAGAGTAAAATTGCATTAAATTGACTCATATTGTGTAATTTAAGTGGACTTTAGAATACACTTTGTGGTTATGACATTTGAAGACTAATTACCGTGTTCCTATAACCTCGGAAACGAGGCTGGAAATAAAGTAAGCACTGGGGACGATCGACGAGGTTGGGGTTCCTCGTATTCTTTTGCCCCCCCCCCCCCCTTTTTGAATGGGGGGGGGGGGGGCTTTAACTTGGTAGAAGCATGGAGGGGGCGGGGCTGCGCCAGCCGGGCGGGCCACGCCGCGCCAGATCGGCGACGGAGCTAGTGAGAGAAATTGGAAACCACCAATTAAAAAGTGAACAAATATGTATTTTGTTTTTATTTGTGCCGACATCATGAAGCTTACTTGTACCGACACTGCAATAGTACGTACCCGTGAGGTACGGCATGCTTTAATTTAAAAATGATGGCATCATTGGTCACAAACAATGAAATTAACACATATCGTGCCCAAGAATATTGTAAGAGAACTTTTTTCATTTTTTTCCTGTAGTTGCGAATTCAGCATTCCTTCCTCCATGGCTTCTTAGAAATGGCTTTGTATAGCCTTCTTCACAAACAACCTATTATGTAACATCAGCAAGAACATAAAAAACAACTAAGATTTTCAAAGGTCATGGTCATGACCTAGTTTATAAGCGCCACTGAGGCTATTTTTGGATGGCATACTTCATTTTTCAAATAGGGATGTCCATTTGTTTAATCAACTCGTAAGTGAAAAAATAGATTAATATGTGGGAGTATATGTGTTACCCGAAAACTTTGAAGTAGGACCTTCTTCAAAATAATTATTTGTTTGTATTGAAACGAATTATTTTCCATGCGACTTTATTCTATTCGTCCCTATCGGCACATTGGGAACACCGATGATTATATCGGAAATAGTCGTCACGTGAACGGACTGTTTCGAGTCGAGTCAGCATTTGGTACCCATCCTCCTAAATAGGACCCAGTGCAATCTAACACTTCGGTACCAGTCTAAGAAATTATTGTTATTACTCAGCGCACGAAGACTGCAGTTTTTCGATAACCTGTCCACTAAAACTAGTGAAATCAAGGTAAAAATTCCACGATTTTTTCGTTTTAAAATAAAATTATGCCAACATTATTATTTTCCTGGTTGTCATGAATAAAAGGCTAAACATTTATATTAGTGGCACGTACGGTGCATCATTTAGCAGTGTTCCGAAAATGATTATGCAGCCAGTTACAGTACCACACGTTATCAGTGGGAGGGGTCGGGACTTGGAAAAAGGGGGGGGAGGCGTTGTGTTGCAAATGCTGTCGATTTTGATATTTGGCTGTAGTGTCATAAATTTTCTTTTCTTTGCCAATTCGTTGTTGTGTAGTATTATTTAGTAATGCGCCTATCAATTGTTAAGTCACATTTTAAAACATTTTGACATGATCTGGTAATGATACCATTAATAATTTGATTAAAATGAGTGAATGGTTTTGCCATCAGATCACAAATCAAAATTAAGTGTTGCTCTCTTTAAAAAAAAATCAAATTTCCAAACAGCATATCGAATTTTCTAAAGTAATACTAACAACTTAACAAGTGATATTTTGTTCTCCTGCAGATGAGTCTGACCGACTTCTGGCTGATTTCAGCTCCGGGGGACAAAACCTGTCAACAGACATTTGACAAACTCAACAATGTCACCTCCAAACCGACTAACATGTCTATGAATTACAAGTTCAACATTCCCGACCTCAAAGTCGGAACGCTTGATGTCCTGGTTGGGCTGTCGGACGAACTGGGAAAATTGGATGCATACGTTGAAGGGTTAGTCCTTGTTCATTGCCAACCTCCAGTGCAGTATTGTCATTCTAGAGGACGCAGGTTTAACTCCTGATTATTGAGTTTTCTTCTTTTTCTTTTTTTACCGTAGTGTTGCTCGTAAACTAGCATACTACCTCGGTGATGTCTTGGAAGACGTGAAAGACAGACTGGCTGAGAATCTCACAGCAAGTGGAGGTATCCAAAAATCATATGGCTTTATCCAAACGTAGAAATAAAAATTTCTAACTCAACTTACACGACCCACTTATACGTTTTGAAACTAATTTCCATAAACTGAGAAGAAATTTCTGTAACTCATACAAAAACTTGTCACAGAATAAGGAGCTTCGGTGTCTGTTTTCACAGTGTTATGAATCTACTGTAATCTTTGACCCCTGCTGATCTCTCATCCTTATTTGCAGTCGATTTGACGTCGTACGTCACCCGGTTCCAGTGGGACTTGGCCAAGTACCCAATCAAACAGCCGCTGAAGAACATCGCTGAAATTATCTCCAAGGTAATACTGTTCATCAGTTTTTAAAAATATGATTCAGAAAAGCTATTTACTGGAAAGTGAAGTCTTTTCATACATCGGGTGTAGACCATGGGCCACATTTAGCTCATTCATTGGCGTTATGGGGTAATCCTATAAGAGAGCACTGCCCGGTTCTTTTCACAAGTGACAGTCAGTCAAAATCACAGAATATACTGTATTCCATATACATGTATCTATGATTTTAGTGACGGATGATTTTTAATTGTAATCTTGTTTGAGCAGCAAGTCACCCAGATGGATTCGGACTTGAAAACGAAATCTTCAGCTTACAACAACCTTAAAGGCAACCTGCAATCCCTGGAGAGGAAAGCTACGTAAGTAAACAACTTTTCAGATTTAGGAAGAAGTTGTATCATAATAATAATACCGGAGTCTTATAGCACACGTATCTACCAACAATAAGGTACACAAGGTGCTGGAAATTATGTCTATTATTAAAGACAGGTAAATGAATTTTATGCCAAATATGAGACACATTATGTAGCACCTTAACAGGGTTTACAAGGTTCTGCGGCGCATATTGCAGCCACTGCCAGAAACACCGGGGCAAACCCAAGCCTGTTCGGTATGACGATATTTCACGATATTTCGATTAAATTTTCATATCGGAAATCGTATCGATCTCATAAAAAAAAATCGGCACATCGTGAAATTCGATATGCCGAAAAATACCGCGATATTCTTTTGAGGTACCGCTTTTGTAACCAAAGTCAATCCCTCTCAGTTTCAAACCGTCGCTAAAGCGCTCCCATGAAAAACCGCAAACCACAAATTCACTGTTACCGCATTGTATGTACCGCGAGGTCTTACCTATTCAGGGGCGGAACCAACTGACTAACGTCACGTGTATTGGATTTTGCGTCTTCCACACTGCACGTGGTGCAGTACAAACACCACAATTTCACCCCACATACCAAGTGCCAAAATCGTAATCACGTGCGTGGAGTTAACCGAAGGGAAACAAAGTCTCTGACATTTCGCAAAGAAAATACGGTGCCTGTTTTGTTTTGACGGAAATGTGAAGTTGTACAGACAAAACACCACAAATACATGTGCTTGAATTGTAGATTAGGACGTTGAGAAGTGAATGTTTCGTTTCGGCACGCGGCTAGAGGAGACCACGCCGAGCCCGCAAATTTTCTTTTTCCAGCACCAAACGACATCCGCATACGCACGTAAAGCGCCCTCTACGATACTTTTATGATACGTGGGCATTATATATTTATTAGGCCTAGTTTTCCAATTTTGAAGCGAGCAATGTGACAGCTCAGTCGATAATTTATTGTGTTTTATACCGCGAGGTTGCGGGTTTGAATCACGGTATTGCAGATGATTTTTTTTTTTTTTTATTATTTTCTAACCTGAGGCTTTGGAGGATTTTATTAAAAAGGGAAATAAAGCCCGAATTTCTTATATTTCTTTTTTTGATTTTCTTCTCATGTTTTTAGAAAAGTATAGTCCAAAACGCCATAGCGTATTGCGGATGTCGTACGCGTTTGGGAGAGAAAAAAAAAATTGCCGCTGGGCTGGGACGACTCCGCGCAGGCGAACTAGATCAAATTTTCCTGCACGTATTTTCCTGACTCGTTCCTTCTCTTCCGTGGTTGTGCCTGGGCACTTACACTTGCTTAGTGCCAAAACTGTCCCAGACTTATGAAATCTGTTCATATTTTCAGCAACAAAAAACGTCGAAAACCAACTGTTCAGTCGTGCCTTTTATTTCGTTCACAGAACAGAAAATGCGTCACAAGAAATTGGACTGATCCATTAATTTTTGTAAAGGGGTGCTTCACCCTCATTTTGGAGTTAACATCGTTTTTCGAAACAAATCTTTAGAAAAAACAATATTTTGTTAGTTTGTAACGATGAAGAACTTTTTCTGAACCAGGAAATATTTCGGACTCCATTAAAAAATATTATTTGTAATTCTGAAAAGATGGAAATACTGGTAAATTGTTTTCAATGAAGCACACCCTTGCCGCAATGGTGTGGGCTGTACTATGAGTGCACGTGGGGATCATGTCAATGCGGCGTGCAATTGCGTGCTAGTGCTTCGTTCTTTCCTCGATATGGATTTCTATTTGCACATTTTTATCCAACATTTCAATGTTATTTTGTTTTCGATGTTTGAATGTGGAATTTATTTTCTACCTAAATTGGCAAAGTAAATGAGACTCTAGTCAAATAAACTTGACGATTTTGTTCAGGACATATTGGGTCTTTTTCACGGCAGTGGATCGTGACTTCGGTCAGGTTTTTTTTTTTTTTTGGTTTTTTTTGGTTTTTCCATTGTTCCATGAATGGAAAAATGACGTCATCACGATAATATCGCGATATCCGATATTTTTTTCACGATTTGCCGATTTAAAAATAAATGGATATCGAACAGGCTTAGGCAAACCCCTTCTCCTAACGATAAGTATTACTTGGATCTTTAACGTGCATTTCACAACACACGGGACCTACGGCTTAGAAGACGATTGATGGTTTGGTTTGAGCCATTCCTTTATTAGATGTCGTTGAATTTCTAGTGTGAATTTCATAAAGTTTCTGGAGGCTGCAAATTTGCTTAGAAGAGGTTACTAAAAATAGGTTACTAAAAATAGGTTACAGGCCAAAAATAGGTAACAAGCCAAGAAGTTATTTTTAGGCTTTTTGCTGACTTTTGGCTGATCTAAGCTTAGCGAATTTGGTAATAATTATTTCTTTCGCTTAGAAGGTCTTTAAAATGAGGCTAGTTGAACAAACATTAATTAGCTTTTGTTTGTTTGGTCAAATGTTGTCATTTTTAAAAAAAATATTTTCCTTTTTTTCAGGGGAAGTTTACTTACTCGTAACCTTGGCGACCTGGTCAAGAAAGAGGACTTCATCACCGAGTCCGAGTATCTTGTCACCCTTATTGTTGTCGTTCCGAAGTAAGCCAAACTCCGGAAGTTTGTTCAGTAGGACATTTCCACCATGATTGTCATCAGATCTACTAAAGCATCCAAAATGTTGCAAAAGAATTGTAGAAAATGAACTACGTGTAGGTCTATCACAATTAAACTGTAATCTGCAAAATGTTATTTTCCTTCACTAACTGAAGAAATTCATATTTTTTTTTAGATAAATGTCTGGCAACTTGATTATCTATTTCTGTTTCAAAATTCTCAAGGGCGAAATGACATTGAATCCTTGTCTTTCCAGAGCATCTTTTCAAGAATGGGAGGCGAAGTATGAGAAACTAGCAGACATGGTGGTCCCGAAGTCATCACGGTAAGGCCAGGAGTCACAAAAAGTAGTGGAAATATTATTACAGTATTCTAAACTGGTGTCAGTTTTTCTTTTCGGATGATCAAATACAATTTTTGTTTCGTCCCCTTCGATAGGAAAATCACTGAGGATGCTGAACACGGCTTGTTCACGGTAACCCTGTTCCAGAAGGTTGTGGATGAGTATAAACTACACGCTAGAGAAAATAGGTAAGGGGATAACTCTAAATCCTATGTGCTCCGTGCAGAAAGGTTACAAAGGAAGAGTTGGGGGGTACCACTGGGATAGAAATTCGAACGTTTTACCCACAACGCCTGATGCTCACGCGAAGACGCTATCTGCTCCGTTCTCAAGTACCCCCTCACCGGCAAAGAAAGTACGGTTGGGGGTGACCGAACGACGCCACCTTGCCTGACTGCAATATTTTGCCGCGAAAGCGCAGCCACTGTGTGTACATAGTACAAATCCCCTGGTGTACGTGCGTCACACACAACGGTGCATGTGCGTTAACCAGCGAAATGCATGTGCGCCCATGGGACGTCGTTGCTTGGTAAAGGGTGCCCTCTTTTGTTAGCGTGTGGGGCCCATGGCGTTGTGCTCATTCAGGATAAACTTAGCGCGTCTTAGTAGACATACTTGAGGGAGTTTAGGATTGAGGCAGATATTGAGGTTTCCTTGTTCCACAGAACTCAATAAATGTTGTCACTGTTTTGTGGTTATGCAGGTTCACAGTCCGGGATTTCAAATACAATGAGCAGGCGCTGGCAGCTGGCAAAGACGAACTCAACAAGTTGGCTGCAGACAAGAAGAGGCAATATGTAAGTTTGAAAATAATAAACAGAAAGGGCGTTTCACAAAAGCGAGCAAAAGTATACAATTTGTTAAAAATCCTTTCATGTTTCCTTTAATATTTTTGGGGAAGAGTGTGACCATGCGGCTATGGTTCGTGACTCATGATTAGAGGGTCAGGGATCCGAATCCAGCTGCTGGTCATGTGTTGCGTCCTTGGGCAAGCCACTTCACCCCCACTTGCCTCTGTCCACCCAGGAGTGTAAATGGGTACCGGCATTAGCTGGGGAGTAACCTGCGACGGACTGGCATCCCATCCAGGGAGGAATAGAAATATTCCCAGTCATTTCAAGCCAAGGAAACCGATGATAAATGCTGCTCTGATCGGCCACATTGGCTCATGACAGACTTTACTTTGACTAGTTGTCTTTGTCCTTGTCCGATCCAGGGACCGCTGGTGAGATGGCTGAAGATCAACTTCAGTGAGGCGTTCATGGCGTGGATCCACGTCAAAGCGCTCAGAGTCTTTGTGGAGTCAGTCCTAAGGTAAGCATCCACTAATATCAATAACATCAACTAATTTCAACTAATGTCAACTCGTCTCAACTTGTCTGCTTAATTTCAGTAATAACTTAGTTGAGAGAAGACAATGAATTGAATCCAACTCATTGGCTTGGGATGGATTAGAACCTGGCACACAGAGGTGGAAGGCGAGAAAAGTATCCCTGCACCAAACTTACTCCCTTTGTCTCTTCAGAGATGAATTTCTCAACATTTAGTTGACCGAACAAATGGAACTCAAAACTTTTACATCCAAAAGAGATTCTCCATGCTGTCAAAAAATGGCCCTTACCTCTCTTCAACCTGCCCTGTGTGGCCTTTAAAAATTAGGGTCAAAAACGTGGCTGGCTTCCAAAACGGCCTTCAGAAATTGATCTCTAATAGTGGACCCAACAAATCATCTTGAGAATCTCATCTTTCTAAAAAAGAGGACTCCAAATGTATTTCAAAAAGCCTCACAGTCCAAGAATGGCCCTGGTCTCCAAATTCCCCCTTTTGGCCTTTGAAAATGGCCTTCAAAATTGGCCATAAAAAATTTGGTTTTTATTTTCTCCAGGTACGGCCTGCCTGTCAACTTCCAGCCCATGCTTCTGCAGCCGTACAAGAAATCGCAACGGAAACTGAGGGAGAACCTAGCCATTCTGTACAATCACCTAGACAGCAACGCAGGCACCGCCACAGACGTAAGTCACTAATAATCGTTTTTAAAAGTTGCTTTGAGTCATGCTTGACCTCGAAAGATACTGAATATCTTACTTAAATTTCTCCTGTTTTTGTTTTCATAATTTCTAGTCTGGTTACGACATACCTGGTCTGATGATGAACCAACAGGAGTACTACGCTTACGTCTATTACCCCATCAATATTAACTTCTGGGAACGGATATGAAATGTGACGAAATCAGACATCACATCTCAGTATTTAAAATGTTAACAATTTTGAGGGTTTTTTTTTGGGGGGGGGGGAATTTGGCACTTTTTTATCAAACTATTTTTGGGCTTCTACGTTTGGGGTCATTTTTATAGATTATTTTTTGGTGGCCATTGTTGGAAATTTCAGCTATTTCCTAACCAATTTATGTGGCTGTTGCTCATGGTCATTTTGGTGGCCACTTTATGTGGCCTCCAAATTTGGCTTTGCCATTTACATTTCAATCTAATCTTGGAAAATGGGAACGTCCAGAAACTGCTTTTCCATGACACTTTACTTCAAAATTATTATCAGTTATTTTACCAGAGGGAAACAAAATACCAGAGACCTCAGTAAAATGTGCAAATATATTAACATAAAACAGTGTTTACAATGTGTAGCCCTAATTTGTACAGAACCTCTTGTTCCTACTTTTCACCCTTTTTTCGGCCTGGCTTCCTTTTTCTTTGATGCTCCTGCATAAATTGTCTTGTAAATCTCTTGATATTCATTGTTTGGTGTTCCATAACGTGAATATACAAGACTTGTTCAATCGTTAACTATTAGGAATAGGAAGACTTTCATTTTTGCCCCTTTTTCCTCAATATTGTTTGTTGCATTTAGAGGTTTTGTTAGCTGCGCATACGAATTAATTTCTGTCATTTTTCATTCTTGCAAAAGTTTTAACAAAAACTGGGAATGCACACTGTTACTGGTAACATAGTAATATGTCGGCAGTGAATGTTATCATGAAATAGTTGAACTTCTCTTCCGTTTTCCAATTCTTAGGGGTGTTTTTTTTGGGGGGGGGGTGTCCTGCACTAAATTTCCTCAGTCACTTTTTCATGAGAACAACTTTTAGGTGCGTGGACTTATTTATTCTATGTATTTTTGATAAATTTATTGCAATATTTTGGCTTCACGTTTCATTCTGTATTCTTCAGAAGAATCTGTGAAGAGAATATTAATTGTTGCATGAATTTTGCAAGAGCTTGATTCCATATTTGTAACGACTGGTTTTTTTTTATGAAACTCCCTGATCCCAAAAAATATAGCTGTAACAAACGTTTATACTTACGATGTATTAAATTCTATTAAAAACGAGGTTGGCAAATAATTTGGAAGATAAATAGGCGATGTTAAGATGTGATATCTGATGAAAGTGAAAACACAATATCGTTCCTTACTCGTAGAAAGTGAAACAGTCAACATTTTTTATAATCATGTTAAATATCTTGGCAAATAATATAACTGTTTTAATGGAGATGTTTATGTGGTCGTTTAATATTAACATGAATAAGTACTGTTACATTTGTGAAAGAAGTGAAATAAATTGTACATTATGTATAGCGGAACAATTGTCTTTGAGTATATTTTTTGTTACCACAAACTTGAATAGTTTATTGTTTTGAATAGAAATGAGCACAATATGAGTGTACAATGAAACAATGGGAAAATAAGTGGGAGGGTGACACACACAGACGGAAATTGCTGAAGCACTTTTTAAAGGGAATATACATCATTTGCTTCTGCTGTAATTTTCAGAAATGGATGGAATTGGGGGGTTGGAAATATAAAGCAAATATAGTAACACTGACTTTTTGGAGGTTTTGGGTTCGAAAATGCTATAAAAACCAAGAAAAACGATCATTTTCCTGTAGTCTGGTTCCCTGACTCCATATAAGAAGAAACAGAGCAGTTTACATACATTGGGGAATTGTAAGGTCAGGGAACCAGTCTAGCTGGCTCGTACCCGTTCATAGGTTTGTAATCGATTGCAAACAAGTGCAATGGTCAATTGGGGCCAGTATTTGAAAAAAGCCAGTTGTTTCCAACGCTGATCGGCCGATCAGCGTTGGAAATTGATACAAAAATACCACTTTTCTTGAAAATGACAGTATACCAGGTGCCATAATTTTACAGGATGCTTTAGACTGTCATTTACCAACATCCTATTAAGGTATTTCGCAAAAACTTGGTAGTTTTATTTTTCGATGTTTGCAAATGTTGTATATTCCCTTTAATACCAAAAAAAGTTCAGATGGGACACATTTTTTGGTAATTATGATTTTTAATCATTTATTACAGACATTGAATATTTGAGTTTACAGCAGATACCAAAACAAATTTGAAATAAAACTTTTACAAAACTATTGGGCGAGCAATATTCTTTGACTTATTACAGCTGATCATTCTTACAAAAAACGTATTCTTGAACTGGGATGATTCACTAAGAAGAAATGTTGAAGAGTTTTCAGACTTGTATTAAAACATAAGCACCGAGAACTCATTTTGTAACCTGTGAGAATTGTGCTGTTTTTTATCTGAGGAAACATTTACCAAAAGTACAATGTTCTCCAAATAGTTTATCAATATCGGCCATATTTGTGAGCAAGGCAAATGAAAAAATTGTAAGACTACAAATGCAATTGACCTATCGCGGTAGAATCGCGTTAGAATCCTGTCAACGCATCTGGCGAAATATTGTCCAATTACACAAATGGACGCGCAACATCTGAGACAAAGTTAACTTAGCGTACACAAAATCCATAGGGTTGTCTAAGGGGCGTGGCCAACTCGCAAACGGCGATAGGTCAATTCACAAGGGTTTCAAAGTCTCCTCTCTCGTAAATGCCAACTGGACAATAGAAGAAAGCTAGACACAAGACAGATTAGGATAAAGATGGGGCCATAATTTCTGGACACAACATGGCTGTTACTTTACGCAGGCAGGCTTCATGTTGTCTCCAAAATTGATCGGCCTACTTGTCATGATATATCTCTCTCCGCAGAACTCTTCCACATGCCACAATCTGATTTGAATGGCAGAAAAGTGACGTCAAGTTTGCTTGGGATCCAAAAAACACTTGTCCATCACTGTTGGCTTAAAGTAGCCCACACAGACTAGGGCTGAAAGATATACAATGTAGTTTTCTATGGACTACTGCTCAAAGTCGGGATTTTTCTTCAAGATGACGAAACCTTCCACGATTGGCGTCAGCGATAAATCTGTGAAACGAAGTCAAGGATCGTTGCAAGAACTGTCTTTGATAATTTAATTATGGTTTGTGAAGTAACGATGGCTGGCCTATGGACTCTGATCACAACTACCCCCTCGCTTGGTAACAAAGAGAGAGTTTTAATAGGAAGAACATGAATATACTGCTGCAACACGACTGGGGCTCAAGCAAAGATGATGTCAGTTTGTGCAAATTTCAGAATGAAATGAATCATGCCGCACGTAATTTGTGCCATACGTCTTCGAACGAGTGCGCACACATGATTTTTTCCTCCCACAAAGCTCAACGAAGTGCAATCTCATGATCACATGCCTTCTGCAAACCTGAAAGAAATCCTCAAAAAACATTGCAACAGATTTTGAAGTATCTGGGAGGTTTCAGGATAATTCGGGCGATTCACAATGCAGTGCGCCACCAAGAGTTTGCCATGGAGAGTCCATTTTTCAAGTTAATGATCGACAAAACACGGCCCATTTGAATGTGTATCAGCAGACAACTTGAGCTAATTTGTTATAGATTGGGGCATAGCGTTCTGCCGCCTTCCAAACAAACACCATATTGATGAAAAGAAAAGAAAAGGGCAAACAGATCCTCGAATCAAACCCTTAGGAAACTACTGACCGGAAAAACTAACAATTTCAAATGTTCCGCGCTGTGAATTTGTCGACCATCTCCCACAATGCACTGGGAAAAATGGACTCTCTGTGGCAGACTCTTGGTGGCACATTGCATTGTGAATCGCCCGAATTGATTCAATTTTTGATGAATAAGCAAAAGGATACATTCGTCAGTAGCTAGTTCTGCTCTCTCTCCGTACGCAAGAAGTACCGGCGTGGTGTGCGTCTGGAACCCTGTGATTGTCTTCGGTTTGCCGGCTTGCCCGACGACATCAACAGCCTATCACAAAAAGAAAATAACCTTGAGAACCATTCTTCATGAAATAAGCAAATTCCACAAAATTTTAACCCATTAGCAACCGTAATTCATCGTAAAACATTGTGTTTATTCCCAAAAGAATCCAAAAAAATATATAGTGCTGGGGCACTTGGGGCGCTACAGGAAGTAATAGGCAGGGTGGTTTGGGGCGGTACAGTCACTAATGGTTAAAGGGAATGTACAACATTTGCTTTTGCTGCAAGTTTCAGAAATAAATGGATTTGGAGGATTAGTATGTTATAGCAAATATTGTTAAAATGACTTGTTTCATGATTTGGGCTTGTACATGCTGGAAAAACCAAGAAAACCAATCATGTTCTTGTAGTCTGGTTCCCTGACCCCACTTAAGATGAAACAGAGCAATGTATAACCTTTGCGGAATTGTAAGGTCAGAGAATCAGTCTAGCAGGCTTGTACCCCTTCACAGGTGTGTAATCAATTGCAAAGAAAACGCGGCATAACTAATTATGAAAAATTAGAAGCACTTTTTGAAAAAAAGCCAGTTTTCTCCAACGCTGGTCGGCCGACCAGCGTTGGAAAAATCCCATTTTTCTTGAAAATGACAGCACACCAAGGAGCCACGATTTTACAGGATGCTTCAGACTGTCATTCCCCAACAATCCAGTAAGGTATTTCGTGATAATTCGATCATTTCGTTTTGTGATGTTTGCAAATGTTGTATCTTCCCTTTAAACATGACCATGGACGTCAAATTTGCATGAAGTTTAATCTGGCTTCTAAGTAGCAACAAGTAATTGACTGCTGGTAGTAAGTCCAATTTTTGTTGACTGATTTTTAAAATGACGACCGAATTGTGTCCGTACCTGACCCACTCTGACCTGGACGGGCAGAGGTCGCAACTCCTCATCAAAGGTCACCAGCATTCTGGGTCGCATGGCCGACACCAGTCCGTACAGGAGATAGTGAGAGCTCTTCAGAATTGCTGTCAAGACAAGAAAACACCTTGACTTGTGATGACTTGTGATGGCTTGTGATGACTTGTGATGACTTGTGATTGACTTGTTATTGATTTGTTGATTTGTGATTGACTTGTGATTGACTTGTGATGGCTTGTGATGGCTTGTGATGACTTGTGATTGACTTGTGATGGACTTGTGATGACTTGCGATGGCTTGTGATGGCTTGTGATGACTTGTGATTGACTTGTTATTGATTTGTTGACTTGTGATTGACTTGTGATTGACTTGTGATTGACTTGTGATTGACTTGTGATGACTTGCGATGACTTATGATGACTTGTGATGACTTGCGATGACCTGCAATTGACTTGTGATTACAGTGACTGACTCGTTACAACTCCGTAAATCTGCCTCAAGTCCAAGCTACTTACTCTTCTTGACGTCCAGAAAACCAACGATCGTAGCGAGCAGTCCGGCTGTGGCCACTTGGCTCAAGAGCTGTCGGTCACTGTGGTAGGGGCTGAGAGTCAGGGTGCCTTTGCCTAGATGGGTCAGGCCCTGGGCTATCCGCACCATGAACAGATTGGAGGGGTCCTTGTAGTGGTACTGGGCTAGCTGGCGTAGCATGGCGGCCAGGCGAGCGTTATTGGTACCTGAAAAATGAGGGAAGAATAGGTTGTTTTTGTGGTGCATATTCAAATGAAAATAAGCCACACTGCTTTTAAATTCAGGATCATGACTGTTGGAATTTTGATAGGTGGATTTTCTTTTACCAGCACCGACGATGCCCATGGCGAAGATTGCATTATGGGCCACCTCAGCGTCCGTGTCGTGAGAAAACTTGCTGAGCGTGTCCAGAATCTGAAGCTGGGGGTTGGACACCGAAATGAGGGCCAGGCCTAACGGCACGGCCCGACGGATGACTGGCTCACCATATCGCAACTGAAAAACAGAGATATGAATATACATGATTAGATTGACAGCAAATGTGAATATTCATGATCAAAATTCCTTAATGTGTCAAGAATCTGAAGTTGTGGGTTGGTTGCACACCGAAATGAGGGCCAGACCTAACGGCACGGCCCGACGGGTAACAGGCTTCCCGTATCGCAACTGAAATGAGAGATATGAATATGCATGAAAAAATTGAGTGAAGATATGAATATTCATAATCAAAGTTGCTCTCTTGCATATTGCAACTGAAACAAAGGACATTAATATGCATGATTAGATTGAGAGAAGATATGAATATTCATGATCAAATCTACTTGCTTTCCTCATTGAATTCGACAAATGTAAACCGGTCAGATCAATACTAACCCTGGGAAAGAGGTTGCAACACATCACTAATGTAACAGTACAATATTCTCAACCTTGATCTCAAACTTACCAGATGGCCGTATGATCTCAGAGCCATCTCGGACCCAATCTCCTCCCCCATGGCAATCAAGGCGATGCCGAGAGCAGCCACGCCTTGATGCGCGGCTAGGTCCGCTACCGAGTCTTCGGACCCTTTGTCCTTGTCCTTCTTGTCCGAGGTCTTGTCGTCTTTCTTCTCCGCCTCGGCTTTGGCCTCGATGTGCTCGCTGCAGATGTGCAGGAGGTTCTGGACCTTGAGGACGTTGCCCGTTCCTTCAAGAAAGAGGAGAGAGAACAGTTTTGCTGTTGAGGTACTTGTGATTTATTTCAAGTAAGCCACAACTCAAAGCCAATATGGCAAAGCCAATTCAACTAAATTGTAACAATGTCAATGTTTATGTTATTCACCAGCTACTTGCGACTGGAATTGTGAATTGACATGTGATCCAACTTGTGATCTACTTGTGATGAATATCGCACATTTTCTGACCGTACCAAGGCTGCGTGGGCTGAGTCATTTCATTGAGAACTAAACATGAGTGTTTGAACACAAGTTGACAAAAAAATACAAATATTTGAAAAAGGACTCGACTCAGTATCCTTTTTGTTTCCAAATACTCACATACCAAACTGTCTAGGTTATTTAAAAAGAATTCTACGTCACCAAATAATATTTCACTATACTAACCAGCATATGCGCAGATATCCACAAGGATCTTGGCGAAGAGTTTGAAGGGTTCAGGGAGGACGTCCAACGTCGCTAGTGTGGCCTCTACTGCCTCTTGTTTGCCTGTTGAAGTTCCAAGAAGGTCAAATTTAATGAAGAGACAAAACAAACAACAAAAAGACCAAAAATATATATAGTTCTCAATCAAATTTTTCTGTGGTACCACCACTTGTTACCAATAGTTGCATGTATTGCAATGCACCGCAGGGAGCCAGGATCTCCAAGTTTCTCGATGGCAATAGTAAAAGAAAAGTTCAATTGAAAGATATTCGCACTAACGTCAGCATAGCATGAATCACAAATCAACCACTGTTTAGAACTGGTCCTTGGTCAGGCTTGCTCATTGTTATCAGTCCGCATACCGCCCTCTATCGTTCATACTGGAATCCTATAAGGATGAGTTACTGACCTAGGTAGGTCAGGCCCAGTCCCAGAGCCAGGTAGCGGGCGAAGGTGTCCTTGAGTTCTAGGGACGTCTTTTCCATCATGGTCTGGATGATCGTTGAGCTGACCTCGCCGTTACAGGAACCGACGGCCAGCATGCCTGCCGCCAGGGCTGTGATGCCTACGACCTGCGATAAAGATTGGAGAAATCGTAGTGTTAGGCTGCGCACAAGTACCCCCTCAATGGGGAAAATGAGAAAGTGAGTGAAGGACATTTTGTGAGCATTCTGGCAAATGAGACGAAAATGTGCACAGGCTGTTGTGGAGAAATTTAGGCAAAAAACTGAATGAGGGTGATTTTTTTCCGATGTTTACACTCCCTGATATTTTTACCTTTTGATACAAAAACTACACATATTTTTAAGAAATAGTATAAAAATTGTGCAATAAAAGCATTTCTTAAGGAAAAACAATTCGCATCTTTCATTTTCACGACTACAAAACACAAAACTTTAAAGGATTTTTCTCAGTATTTCATTTTTTTGACATGTTGGTAAATGCGAACTTTAAACAGACATAACTTGTCAATGGAATGTCCTATTGAAGTGCAACAAACAACATCGTTAGATGTATTTTATTCTCTTTTCTAATATTCGACCTCTGCTCCGTTCTGTCTCATTTTGACAGAACGCCTCACACTTAAGCATGTTCGAAATTTACAATTGTTAAAAGAACAGTTGATGATAACCTACCTCCATGCTGGATTTGCTGTCACTCATGGCGGGCAGAATCAGACTAAGTACGTCTTCACGATTCGATCCAGCGTAGGCCAGCCCCAACCTTGAAAGACAATTTTTTAAAGGGCTACAGTGAGAAAAATACCCTTGAACACAAACGATCTGTACACTGAGGGATGCGTGGTGCACTGATAGTACAGCAGGTGGTGGGATTGTTCATTTGATGATAAAAACATGGAATCTGGCACACAGTCAGAGGATGTCATAAGAAAGATATTTGGCTATAGGGCAATCGCAGATTTGTCCATTGAAAATATAGGTAGAATAACAAGCAATGGCGGAAATTAAAAAAATTTTGATAACTGCTTGATATTCTACCAATATTTTTTCCAAAGGACAAATCTGCGATGGCCGTACAGTCAATATCTTTCTTAAGACATACTCTGACTGTGTGCCTGTGCATGCAAACTTCTGTTTTTCAAGGAAAAATCTCAGTTGTGCATGAAACTTTTTTTGTCTTAATTGACCCCTGGGGGGGGGGGAATTATTTTAACATTCTTACCCAAATATAGCCCCGATGCGCATGGTGTTGTTTGCATGCAAGACGTAGTCTGACAGTAGGGCTAGAGCTGGGTCGCACTCGTTCCGCACTCCGGAGTTGACGATTCCGCAAGCTAAGAGGGCGCCAGACTGAAGTAGAAGCAAGAAAAACTTGTTAAACACAAATGAAACATTTTGACCTTCTCTCAAACACTAAATCAGAAGGGGATAAGGCAGAGTTGTAAACGTGTCATAAAAAGTCAATCACAAGTCATCACAAGTCATCACTAGTCAAGCACAAGTCATCACTAGTCAAGCACAAGTCATCACTAGTCAAGCACAAGTCATCACTAGTCAAGCACAAAACATCACAGGTCAATCACAAGTCAATCACAAGTCATCACAAGTCATCACAAGTCATCACAAGTCATCACAAGTCATCACAAGTCATAAAAAGTCATGAAAAGTCATCACAAGTCATCACAAGTCCATCACAAGTCAATCACAAGTCATCACAAGTCCATCACAAGTCCATCACAAGTCATCACAAGTCATCACAAGTCATCACAAGTCATCACAAGTTAATCACAAGTCACAACAAGTCATCAAAGTCAATCACAGGTCAATCACAAGTCATCACAAGTCATCATAAGTCAATCACAAGTCCATCACAAGTCATCACAAGTCATCACAAGTCAATCACAAGTCAATCACAAGTCATCCTAAGTTTATCACAGGTTATTCAGTCTCATCCCATTACTTGCATGTGGCCTGACTTGCAATTGTCTCGACTACAACTCCAGGAAAAGGTTTAGGTGTTCCATATTCTGCAGTGTCTCCGTACCTTGATATAATCTTCTCCCGAGTACAGATACTTGTCGATCTGAGTCAATCCTCCGTCCACGTCCCAGAGCAGAACCAAACCTAGCGACGCCGCAGTGCTCATCATGCCTTCAAGATCAGACAAACACCGGTAATTTATTCATCAACAGAAATATTTAAAAGTTACCAGCACTGCTTTATGAACTCAATGCACTTTAACTGCCCGTCCTGCTTCTGGGGGGAGAAATTGCTTAAACGTACACGCCCACACAAAAAGCTGTTTAAAGATGAACACAAACAACCGTAAAGTTACGGGAAAAAACGAAGTGGTTGGATTTGCATGAGCAAGTTATGAACACACACGGAACAGCCGCTTTAAAGTCTAGCAGTTACTGCAGCATTAGGGGAAAAAACACAAGAATACATCAAAGGGAAACTAAGGCAAAAACCAAGGCAATGAGGGCTACAACCTTTGTTAAACTTCAGACAAGAATTCTCACTTTTTAAAACAAGACCTCCAAAAAAAAGCAAGTTGGTGTCAACCTACTAAATATTAGGACATAAATCAACAACTGGTGCAAATTTCAAACTGTAACAACTTTTCACACTTGCAACAACAAAACATTTCAAACACTGCTAAGAATTAAATTTTTTTCACTGACCGTGTTCTTTGTTCTTGTAGATCCAGACGTTTCCGTCCTCCGTGATCAGTTTGTCTTTCCCGAAGCCGGCGTTGACGAAGCCGTTAACGAACGACGCGGCCAGGTTCTGCCTTGCCGAGTCAACCTGCGATCCTGAGGCTCCAAACGGTCCTGAAAAAATAATGCAAACAGGGGGATATTTTATCGTTAACCCAGAGGTAAAAGAACTATGGACGAGTGAGGAAGCAGTGGATAAATACCAAAAGTCAAGGCTAGCTGTTGAAAACATCAAAGGTAAAACTCACAAAAGATTGTTTTCAAAATTTCAATTTCATTTTTTCTGGGCCTCAGGGCAAGATAGCTCAGTCGTTTCAGAAAATTACACTGTTTCTGCTTAACCCTAACTCCCTAGCATGATTCACTAGGAATCATACCCATCCTGGCAAATTCCAACACCACATGGGAAACTGCACACACATATTTCTGACTTTGATTCAGGAGGTGTGCCAACCCAATGTAAAAGACTGTCAGTTTAGGGGTACTGTACCCATCCTGACAGATTCCAACAAAGCATGTCGTTTGGGTTTGATGCGTTGAGTTCTGTTAGGGTTAATCTGAAGCAAATTTCTTCATTTGGTTGAAAACTCTTATCAACAAAATCCTTCTTTGGACTAAATACTCACGTGTGTTTTCCAAGTGACTTTTGTAGATGTCTTCAGGAACCTTGGGCTCCATGATATCAAGCTGTTAGATCAGAAAAAAATCCAGATTAGTTTTTTTTTGTGTAAAGCCAAGCTAAGTTAACCCAAACGCCTCCAAGTAGAAATTGCAAATAGCCTCAATCCTCCAGCAATCACTGTCAATATGTTGAAGCAGAGCCAGTGACATCTTTGAGCAGTGTGGAGGATTTCAAGTATAATCTAGGCCTAAATTTATGCATGGCTGAGCATAAACAACACAAAGTCCGGCCCAAGACCTTGACACAGTGCATCCTCCAAAATCAGACACATTCTTTTGCCATACAGCCTCAATCCTGTGAAATCCTCCATTTTGCAAAGAGCATTTTGGAAGGTTGGGGTTAATGAAGAAAACTTCGGACTCCAAGTTTTTTTGGTTTTTTTGGTTTCAAGTTACTTGTGGCTCCTGACCAGCAACCCATGGACAAAGACACAGAAAAAACACTGACTACTTTGGAGAATAATTTGGGAAGAACAAAGCTGATATTATTGTTGGCTGCGTACGATCCATGAGGATCATGCCACCGCGCTTTGGTTCGCTTGTTTCCAGCGTGTCCGTCCCTGCTCACGCCACTTCTTCTCTGCCGCACCTGCCCCCTTGTGGACCGCTTTCTGCCACGCTAGGAGAGGGGGTGATTGGCTAGGGGAGGGGGCGACTGGAAATAAGGTTCTCAACATACCTCCCTGGCAAGAGCAAGGAAGTTGATGTTCAGTTGGCTGTTGGACATGATCTCCGTCAGGTCATCGTAATCTTCGATTTCCTCGTTCAACTCTAGGAAAATCTGCTGAGCGCCGAGCATGTACGCTAGCTGCTTCTGCACTAGGCTATAAACAAAAAAAAATTAAGATAGAAATTAGAAATGATAAACAGATACAAGCGCAACGATACAGTGCAGTTCTTGCAGTTTGATATGGCCAATGTGATTACGGTAGAACTGGGATTAAAATCGGTATTTTTTAAAACTCATTTTGAATCCCACTATTCGGTTTGGATTTTGGAAACCGGATATTCGAAATCAACCTGAAAAAATTAAGGCCTTCCATTTTTTTTGACACAAGCTACCGAAAGTATCTGGGACATCCCCCAATTTGCTCCATGGTCTCTGATTGTAACTGCAGTCACTCGCTAGCAGTCTTCTTGGTTCATGAATCGACTGATCAAAGAGTTCCCATCTAGTTTTTCACCATTAAAACTCTTAATTTTTTTGGAAAGGCCAACTGGACAATGAATCTTGAAAACTGTACCCAATCTTTGTGGAAGGCATTGCATACGGCACCGCACTCCTCACTTTTTTGGTGGAATGACTGGGAGCTGAACGGGGAAATCCAGTGAAAGGAGTTAACCGTTACTCAGATTGAACAAAAATAGGATAAGTGGATTTTGAAATCTCCAATTTCTCCCACCATGAGTTTATGGTATAACACCCTCCAAATTATCTGTGCCGTTAGATGGGAAGAAATTTTTATTTAACTTTTTTTATCTTATGAATAGTATGCGGACCCGCTGCTATTTACATCAGATTCGACCCAGCCAACCGATCCAGTTTTCTCAGTGGTCGAGTGGTAAGACGTCTGCACTAGAAAGCGGGAGTTTATGGGTTCGAGTCCCACCCAAGTTATTTTTTCCAACTTTCACTAGGGAGATAACACACTGAGTATACAGTGTTTATACGTCGGTGAAGGGCAAAACCTAGTTTGATTTTTTTTATCTTTCTGTCGTTTTTTTATACGTACTTTGCTTACTTCAGGAAACCTTTCTGAACCCTATGCAGTGTGCTATTGGGTGATAGGATTAACAATGTCACAAACTCGATATTGAATACAAAAAATATACAAAATGGAGATATTCTACCTGTCTTTGCAAGTGGTAAAGATGTCCTCAACCAACTCCATGTCGTTCAACTGGATGGCCAGTCTCATGGCCTCCGCATAACGCTTGAACTTGCGGAAGATTCCCAGCGCGGTCCGCAGCAAAATGGAGTCCTCTGGCTCCGGGACATAATTGACGCAACTGTGGATTGAGACAAGTCTAGTATTTAGTACGAATATTCAATCATTCGTATGAATATGCATGCTACTGGAATCAAATCGGATTGGCCAAGAATTTATCCATATTCATGGATCTTATCTTAAAGAGAGGCAATTGCAGTAAAGTGTCTTGCCAAAGAACACGAACACCATGATGCCCAACATGATGATTTCCATGAATACAACTTACAGTAATCCTCCCCTTTCCCCACTCTCTCTCTCCCAGCCTCCCCCCCCCCAAGTCTGTGAACCCCCCCCCCCCCCCCACCCCACTGACCTTGTCAAGTACAGACAGACCCTGGGGAAGGCATTCTCATCCACAAATTCTTCCAGCAGGTCTAGTTTCTCGATCTCCATGAGCAGATCGCAGGCCTCAGCCTCGGCGTTGTGCTTCATGTGGTACGGGACGATCTGTCTTGCCAGGACCAGGAGTCCGTCCCGCTGGTCCTTGGCACTTTCATCTTCTGTCTCTCCCCAGATCTGGCCGATCTCATTGGCTAGGTGTCTGTTGAAATGGGTTTTTTTGGGGGAAAAAAGGTAGTGTCAGAGGATAAAATGTGTGGTGGCCAAAACTGTGAAAGAGTGGTAGGGTCATTTCTTTCTACCAGTTAAAGAACAAAATGCCATAAAATGTCTCAGAGTGTCACAAAGTGTCATAAATTGTCAAAAGGGTCAACACCTGTCACAGTTTCATAAAGTGTCACAGAGTGTCACATACTGCCGTAGAGTGTCATTAAGTGTCAAAAAGTGTCACAAAAAAGTGTCACAACCTGTCACAGTTTTGCAAAGTGTCACAGAGTGTCCCATACTGTCGTAGAGTGTCACAACATGTCATAAATATTCACAAAGTGTCACAACCTGTCACAGTTTCAAAGAGGGTCACAAAGCGTCATAGCGTGTCACAAAATGTCACAGATATTCACGCAGTATCACAGAGTGTCACAAAATGTCACAAAACGGCTTAAAGTCTCTCACCTGACATATTCATGGCCCCATGTGCCGATGTCTTCTTTGGAGCCCAGCATGCGGAAGTTTAGACAATCCTTGTTGTCACTCATTGTCATGCCTAGGACAGAGATGATGTCTGCACAGAATCTCTGACAGGTTGAGAAAAAAAATACCGCAAGAAAATATAATTAAACAGTGTAAAAAAGGCAAGAATTTATACAAATACTGAAAACAAAACAACCCAAAATTAAAAAAAAACAAGCAAACAAACAAACAAACAGACAAAACAAAAACTGTGATGCTTTCATTCACCAAATCAGATTCATTGTATTTTTCTCTCCTAACGTCGTTTCCTTTAATGACAAATGATAGATACAGGAATAAATTGTTAGTTGTGTCCAACAAACACATAGAAAACTCGAGAAAGTATTTGAACGTTTTTAGAATCAATTCGAGAAAAATCAAGAGAGACTGTAGGCCATCGAATTGTGAGCAAGATGAATGCACGCACGCTTTTAACACCTTGTTCCTGGACAATTCCAGTGTTATGAAAGGAAGTGTAATGTCAGTGACACAGCTACTTAAAGGGAAAATACAACATTTGCAAACATCAAAAAATAAAACTACCAAATCAATTTGAGATACCTTGCTGGACTGTTAGTGAATGACAGTGTAAAGCATCCTGTAAAATCATGGCACCTGGTATACTGTCATTTTCAAGAAAAGTGGTATTTTTGTATCAATTTCCAACGCTGATCGGCCAATCAGCGTTGGAAAAAACTGGCTTTTTTTTCAAATACTGGCCCCAGTTGACCATCGCACTTGTTTGCAATCGATTACACACCTATGAACGGGTACAAGCCAGCTAGACTGGTTCCCTGACCTTACAATTCCCCAATATATGTAACCTGCTCTGTTTCTTCTTAAATGGAGTCAGGGAACCAGACTACAGGAAAATGATTGTTTTTCTTGGTTTTTATAGCATTTTCGAACCCAAAACCTCAAAAAAGTCAGTGTAACTATATTTGCTATATATTTCAAACCCCCCAATTCCATCCATTTCTGAAAATTACAGCAAAAGCAAATGATGTATATTCCCTTTAACGATGATATATAATAAAAGATTCAGAGAAATGATCCAAAATTCCTAGTCTGTAATCTCCATTACTAGATAATGATGGATGTGCAAGATTTGAAAAATACCTTTTCAGGTTCACTGAGCTCTTAAAAGCTCTGTCACGGACGTTACATAAATCCCTAGAGTTGTCATTCTGGCTCTCTGTTTTAAAACATAAATTTGTACATTCTCACCTTATTCTCCCCGTCACCCATCTTCTCAAACACTTCCTTGATGGTACCGTAATGCGGCCGCAGGAACTTGAGGGGCTTGGGCACCGACGTCATGGAGCTAGTGGAGGCTCGGATCATCTGCCTCAGCTGCTCCAAGGCTGGTCGGTACAACGAGGTATCCTTCTCCTACAAGACGTCCAGTAAAAATATAGAAGATTATTACGCGTAGTCTTTGGTTAGTCTGTAATTTTATTAGCCCTAACCGCCCTGAATCCTTCAAAATCCTCTTTGCCAAAGGGGAGGAATTTGGAGGATTGAGGCTACATGGCATTACTGATTTCATAGGATGCACTTTATCAAGGTCTTGGGCCGGACCTTGTGTTGTTTTTGCTCAGCCATGCATAGATATAGGCCTGGATAATGCTTGAAATCCTCCGTACTGCCCCAGGATGTCACTGGCCAAGCCTCAACATACTGACAGTCACTGCCGCAGGATTTTACAGGATTCAGGCAGTGGTCACCCCTCCACGGACAATATCCAAGAAATAATGGAGGAATTTGCAGGATTGAGGCTATATGCTATTTTTTTCATGAGGCCAATTGCAGGATTTTGCAGGACTGAGGCTACATCCTAGCAAAAAGGCCCAAGGAGTTAGGGTTTAAGGTAATCTGAGCAACAAAGTAGGTCATAGCCTTCAATTATTATTGTGTTTAAAGATAATTTATGATTTGTTCAATGTTAAAATATTAATTTCTCTGTTTCAATGTGTAAAAGCAAGAGGTGGCCTGACAAGAATCTTGGGGTATATCTTCGTTAAAAAAAAGTGAGAAAAACAACAGCAAGCTGATATGTAAACCAAAAAACTCCCTAAAACAAATATGTAACTCCACTCCCAAACTGTGAAAACAAAAGACAGCATGTAAAACCAGTAAATAGACAGAGGAAGCTTCATCAACCATTTTATATCCGACCATTTCAAACTCACCGTTAGTCTTTCCACCAGCATGGTCAGTTCCTCCTGTAACTGCTTGTCTTCCTCTGACTGATTATAAAAGAAAAAAGGCAAATTTGAGTACAAAAAGTAAGAAAAGTGTAGGGCTGTTCATTATTTTTAAGAATATGAAACTAAGTTGTCATAAACGTTGACTTTCATTATGCATTTTACAGGTTAAAGTATGCCCCAATCAAAAAGTTGGTAAAAAAAATACACAATTTCAATTCGGTGACAACAAATTTACATAAAAAAAGCTTGAAATAAGCCAAGGAAAAATAGAAAATCAATAACATTTTCACACATTAACTGCCCGCTTTATCAAATCAGTAAATATTATATCAAAAACAATAGCAAAAACAATAGCACTATTGCATTATTCATTTTCGCTTTAATAGCGCAACGGGTAAAGGTAAATACTGCATAAATAAAATGACAGTGCAGAATTTGCTGCACGCGACACACACGACGGACAAAAAGCGAACTTTGAAACTGCTTCGTGGTCCGTCAAACCTCCTTAAACTTCACCAAAATCGACCTTAATCATTAACACGTTTCATACCAAATCTGCTTCCTTGTCCTCTTCAACTTTCTTGCCATTTTTGCTCTCTTCTTTTTCACTTTTCTTCTCTGTTTCAGGAGTTTTTTTCTCTGGCTCTGCCACGGGTGCCATGATGATTATTAAAATGAGGAAAACTTGACGCTTGGAGGCGCTATTGAAAATTCACGGTAGCAAGATTTCCCATCATGCACCTCGTTTTTAGTAAACCGACTCCTTGGATGGCCACTGGAGGGCGCTCTTCAATATTGCCGTAGTAGGTGATGCTTGACATCGGAGAGGTAATTGTCGTTGCGCTTTTATGTTGAAAAGTGAGTATATGACATTTAAAAAAACAAGGTGCAAAGTCGTTAATTCTTACTGAAATTTTGTAACCTAAATCAATCCCGAATATGCCACGAATGCTTGAAAAAATGCCCCTTTCTCGACTGTCAGAATATCTGACTGTCTGATGATCTGTGCAGTCATAAGCAAGAGGGCGCTATAGGCTCAAATTGTGGGCGGATCTGTGGGAGGGGAAATGGGCGGGGGAATCATCAGTTGTAGCCATCACATTCCTTTGATATTTTCCAACTGTTGAGTGTTGTTAGGTATTTCAAGTTAAGCAAAATAGTATAGTAATTGAAAATTCCTTTGATTTTTTTTTTTTTTTTTTTTGGTTAGGCCTAGGGATTTTGTCACTAGCAGGATGCCTGGTCAGACGTTATGTCGCATCGACGTCGGTCGTCAGCCGTACTTCCTACAAACCACTGCCAAGAATGGAGGCAAAGATGGATTTGATCTGGTCATGACAGACGCAGTCAACTCGTGGGAGGGGCAAAGTCAGTTTGTCACAAATTTCCTTCTTTTTACAAAACGTTGCTGAGCCAACAACTGCAGAAGGGTTGGTTACAAATTGACCAAAATGCCCTTCTATATGTTAAGAAATGTTGTCATGTGATCTGATGCGGTCATGTGATTTTAAACTTGAAAAAAAAAACTTGCTAGTATTGGGATAGTCCGAAAATTTGGGACTCTCAATACTGTGTATGAGAGTCCCAAAACTTAAGGTATTGAAAACATGCAAACCAAGAAAACAGACTGGCACCTAAAACAACCAGTCCAACACAGCTTCAGTACTGCATCAATCAACCATGCCAAAAGAAACATGTGGCATGAAGCGGGAACTAGTCCCAGTTTACTACACATTTCTCCATACTCAAGCCACCAGACTATTGATACTGAGTGAAGAGATCAGTCTTTTCAAATAGTTGGACCATGGTTGGACATGTACCAGTCTAGTATTTAGCCCCATTTTGAAATCACTTGACTTCCCTCTCATGTGCAAAATATTGAAGAAAAGTCTCCTTTAAAAGTTGAATTGAGTCTGCAAACTTGGTTGGTGAAATACTGAGGACATTTTCTTTGCCCCAGTGGAATTTTTGGAGAAATTTGCTGGCTAAAGTGCGAGTAAAGTGGGCCTGATTTAGTTTTGCACGTTTCAGAGCACTCCAGAGCCCTGTCTGGTAATGGGATGGTGCAAGTCAAGTTGGCCGATTTCATTTCACATGTTTTTCAGCCCTCGGATTGGAAACCTATTTTGAAATTGCTAAAAGTTAAGTTGCCATGCTCAAAATCCAAACGGCATGTAAAATATTTTGCGTTTTCTTCTTATGATGTGACAGTTTCTCGCCAGAGGTTGACCCAGCTCGCTAAAAAAGTCAACATGAGCCTCGAAGAATTCACTGAGCACACACAGAAAGCACTGACGAGACAAGACATGGGCGAGTTGGCGTTTGAATATCACGTAGGCAATTTTACATTTTTTTTTTTAGAGTGCTTTCCAAAGCAGATTTGAGAGAAATCAAAATATGCGGAGGTGAATAAAATTGTTGGCTGCACCACAAAAGACAGATTTGGTAGTTTTGTTGCAACACGAAGTATTAATGGATTGTATATAGATTTTGTGCACACGATACATCACTTCGTGGTGCGGAAACAATCTGAGATTTGCCACCTTTTGGTGCGAGCAACAAAATGACAACTCAGTTTGTAAGGGTGTATTCAACAGAATTTAAAACCATGACCTCAAGCTTCTAAGGTATATTATAAATTTTAGAAAAAGTGGAGTATATCCTAAGGTTTACAGTTTTCCTACCATTCCAAGTGTTAATTTTAGATTACTACATTTTGTGATCAATTACTTTTTTTATCCAGTTTAAAACTGATGCAAACAAGTCAGAGTTCTCGTGGAAGAAAGTGATGTCCAATGAAAACATCAAGGTGAGGTATTTTAGTTTGAGAATTTCATCAGTTTGAGATTTTTCATCAACTTCTTGAAATAACTTACAAGATCGCAAACAATCCTTGGAGTCGTTATTTATCTATTTCTAGTTTCAACTCGGCTCAGTGGCGCTGGACGTAGTTGAAGATTCCGCGGAGAGCATTCAAGACCTCTTCATCTTCACCATCGACAACGCCGCATCCCTGAGGGACAACATCCGTCTCCTGGAAGGAGAGAACGAACGGCTGTCCACAGAGAGAGCTAATGCCCTCAAAGTAAGAGAAATGTCCCAAACAAACTCAGTAAAATTCCACTGGAAACATCTGCCATGGCTAACTTCCAAAGCCACCAACAAATGTACATTAAGTTCCTAGTTTTTGGTTTCCATCTCAATTCATATCCGGGGACGTGTTCCGGACAAGTTGCAGGTAGAGTCATTCACCTTGTTTGGAAGAAGCTCTGCATTTTCCCCTGAGATCCTTCTGTGAAAATTTCATCAGTCACTGCTTGACTCAACAATACTGATAACTTCATTGCGGGAAGATTGCGGGGAAGTTGTTCAGAATCCTGCAACTTATACCCGGTACAATGTCCGCAACTTGTCTGGAATTGGTCCTGGAAATGAATAGAGGCTGGCCCTTAGCTATATCATACGCATTGTAACAGAATGAGAATAGAATTTCCAAATTATTGAAACGGCAAGGGCAATAAAAAAATATGAAAATGGGTATGTCAGTGCCTTAATTTCCTTATTTTATTTAACATGACAGAGGCTGGAGAAGTGCGTCGGGATGCATGAGGAGATGGAAAAGGAACTCTTCTCAAAGGTAAGGCTGTGTCTAAGTTACTTAGGCTACGACTTGCAAGTCACACATGGGCCTATGGCAGCAGCTGAAGCCGCATCCATAGCCGTGTTTAGCAATAATAATGTTATCAAATAACCCCAAAAACCTGTGTGTTCTCATTGATTCAGTGTATCCCTTTTTTCCATATTTTTGCAAATTTTCTTTGAAACAGTTCCAAGTTGTGTTGAACGACAAGAAAGCAAAGATTAGACGACTCAAGCAAGAAGGTATGTTAAACTCAAAAACAGAAATGTCAACGTAAGTTTGGTCCACTGTGACTGAAATTAACTTGTCTAACTTGACAGAATTAAAAAGTGCACGATTAACATCAGATACATGTTGACTGGTCATTTCTGGGGGGTTTTGGGGGGGGGGGAGGGGGGCAGTTTCAAGCCAGCCCCACAAAAATACTTTTAAGATCAACAATTTATAAGCATCAATCAAGGTGAAGGTTTTTTTTTTTTACATTTTGAGCCTATTTGATTTCTCGGCCTGTTTTGTGTAATGCATCTTTCTAATAAGTCAATTGCTTTCTCTCACTGTGTTGCCTTTTTGTTTCCAGATAAAATCATTTTACATTTATGTCACAAATATTGTCGTATCTCTTTAGCCAACTCAGCATCTGCCAACAATTCAGCCAAGCAAAGGACTCAGGACATACATTCATCAGGGGAGGAAAGCAACCACGAACAAACAGTCGAATCAGAAGGTGAAGAGGTCAGCACGGATGAGGAATCCAAGGTGAGTTGCATTGTGGGAGCCGGTCTATTAAGAGTTGAAGAAGCAATGCATTCCGGGAAAATTATCTCTGATTTTGGCAACAACGTAAATAACGTCAATAATTGGTTTTTGGTTTTTCAGGCAGCCAAAAGACCTCCAAAGAGAACTGGGCCTTCTAAGCGAGTGGACCAAGACAGCAGTCTGATCCTTGGGGAGGAACCCACCAATGAGGCAGCTCCTGGGGGCAAAAGGTACTTGTCGATGATTGTGATTGGTCAGTTGTAAAGGCTGATTGTTATTGGTTCAGTGAGATTCGTAAAGCTGATTGTGATTGGTGAAATGAGATTGCTAAAGCTGATAGTGAGATTGCAAACTTGATTTTTGATTGGTTGATTAAAAATGTAACTCTGATTTGATTGGTTGATTGAGATGGAAACCTGATTGCAATCGGTCAATTGAGATTTTAAAGCTGATTGGTTGATTTGTTGATTTTAATTGGTAACATCAACTGTTATTGGCTAATAAAATATTAATTCCAAAGTTAAAATATGCACTGAGCTCCAGCAAGGAAGCGAACAAACAAGTTCGTCATTTCAACAGTCAAGATAACATTTATTGTATTTTTTCCCAGGAGGAGGAGAAGGGAAGTCACAAACAAACAAACCCCATCCAAGCCTACCGTTCCCAAAGTTTCCTCCGGTAGAACAGAAAGGTATGTTTGCGTCTTTTTTGTTTTATTTCGAACCTCAGTTTGTCCGCAGATGATAATGTTGGCGTTCCTCTCGTATTCTCCCTTCCCTGTTTCTTGTGACTTGTCTTGCTATGACTTGTGAATATTGTGATGTACTTGTGGTGGACTTGTGATGACTTGTGACAGACTTGTGATGACTTATGATTGATTGTGAATGACTTGTGATTGAGTTGTGATGGACTTGTGATTGACTCGTAATTGAGTTGTGATCGACTTGTGATTGACTCGTAATTGAGTTGTGATTGACTTGTGAATGACTTGTGATTGAGTTGTGAATGACTTGTGATTGACTTGTGATTGACTTGTGAATGACATGGGAATGACTTGTGAATGACTTGTGATTGACTCGTAATTGAGTTGTGATTGACTTGTGACTGACTTGTGATTGACTTGTGAATGACTTGTGATTGACTTGTGATTGACTTGTGAATGACTTGTGATTGACTTGTGATTGACTTGTGAATGACTTGTGATTGACTTGTGATTGACTTGTGATTGACTTGTGATTGACTTGTGATTGACTTGTGACTGACTTGTGATTGACTTGTGAATGACTTGTGATTGACTTGTGATTGACTTGTGACTGACTTGTGATTGACTTGTGATTGACTTGTGATTGACTTGTGAATGACTTGTGATTAACTTGTGATTGACTTGTGAATGACATGTTCATAAGTCAACTTTGTGTTATCTGTAGTTTATTTATTCCATTTTTCTTCAGGAGTGCTACGCCTTCGACCCCAGGCACTTCTGAAACAGGGCGCCTGTCACGGACCACGTCCAGTCGATCCTCCAAATCTGATCCAGACGCAGACATGCTGTTTGATGAGCTGTAGACATTAAAAAGGCAGTAGTACAACTCGGGTTTCATGTGGGTGGCTGGGAGAGGGTGGGGGCAGAGAAGAGGAGGGCACAAATGGGTTTGGTTTAAGTTTCAAACGATACAAAGCTCGGTTTTGCTTCATCAAATTTTGAGAGGGGGACACATTGGCATAGGCCTCGTGTTCCCTCCCCGTTAGCCTTGGTCAAGGCGGTCGACGATAGTGTCCAAGGATTGATGGCCGGCCTCTAAACAGAAGCTGCGCTCACTCACATCATGACTCCAAGCGATCATCGGACACTATCCTCGAGCGCCTTGACCAAGGCTAATGCATGGGGAGGGGGCATTAGCCTTGACCAAGGCTACCTCCACAAGTGTTCCCCATCCCCTTTCCCAGAATCTCTTTGAAGTTAGTTAGAACCTGGAACCGAAGCCAAAAATGAAGTCTAAGTTTGAGGAATGGACTAGATATCCTTTAATAGTCATTAGGATATTTTTCTACATGTAAACTTTGAACATATATAAACACACTTTGATTCATCATAGGAAATAAAAAAAATGTTAAAAGGTTTTAGGTAAAGTTTGTGTACTATTTTTTTTTTACAATTTTAACTCTGAAATATATTGAGAATTGTGTAAAATTGTGATTCATTTGACCAAAATAAGGCTAGATGTCGATCAGTCACAATAAAAGGTGTTTTTCAAAACATTGTTTTGATTCCGTGAATCTATTTGGCATTCGCTTATCCAGTATTCATCTGGAAAATTTCAGGACATTTTCCATCTTCCCTTTAAACTTGTAACAAAAATATATCGCCCTTGTTTAGTCCACTGCTTTACAGGGACCCTTGCAAAACGAACACTCACAAGAGCTGACAAGATAATTGCCCTTGTAAAAGGACCCTGAACAAACAAAAACTGATTTATATAAAGTGACTCAAAATCTTGGCATTTAGTTGTGAAGGGCCATGTCTCTGGAAAAAAAGGTCGCAAAATCCACATTAGAAGTAACTCGCCCGTGCTATTAATGAATATACTTCTGAAAAATATATTTTGTTTCATTTGCTATTTTTCTAGCGATACAAAAGTAATTCACTTTTATTTATTCATTTATTTACATTTATCGTACATCATCCAATAAAATAGAATAAATTGATTAATTTACAGTAAAAAAATTCAAAATTTGCAAATTTGCATAAGAATCAAGACATCAAAACATTAAATTAAAAAAAAAAACCAAAAAATGTAGAAAATAAAACAGGCTCACTCTGTGCTTGACTATCAATACATGAAGGGAGTCCCATTATAAAACAATGAATTTTTATCTTTTGAATGATACTTGGAATAAAAAACAAACTCCGCCCATGTTTAGTTAACATAGTTGACATTAAACAACATACAATAATTGAGTCTAGAATAATACCAAAGATAGGCATCTTAGGCTATTTTCGCTCTTTCCTGGACCTGTAAATCAGCAAGACGTCTTCTAGAAGGAACAGAAGGAGGACGAGACACGGTATTGACCCGATGATCAGGAATGAGAGGTCATAACTTCCGGTGCGGTCGTAGAGCCACCCTACAAAACGCAAAGATATATACATCTGTGTGATATACATGTACTTGGCTAAAAAAAAAAAGGCAAGAAATTTTCATCACACAATTACTCGTATAAACAAAAACTGTTTCAAGCCAACATCAAAATAGTGTCTACAATGACAATACATGTATTAATGTGTTGTGATGAATGAAGACGATTTATCGTCCTATAGGACGATAAAGGACGATGAATCGTCCTGTTACACAAACTGTCTACTGTATATAAACCGGTCTATTTCTCAGAAGGAAGAAAGTTCCCGTTTATTCATACCAGTCTTTGCAAATTTTCCACTACATGACCGCCTTGCAATGATGTTGTCATTGGGAGTCCGGATTCTCATGATCCCGTATAAAAAGCATCTTCAAATGCGACTGGAGTCAAGTTGCGGCTAGACGTACTATGTCTCAGAGGTCTTGAGAATTAACTGAAGCGTACTTGCCGCAGTGTTGATACATGATGTTGATGATGGTACAAATTGTTTATGAAGATCGTTTCAACTGTATGAGTAAGTTCAAGTTTGGCTTTTGAAGGTAAAGTATATTATTTAGTGTTTTTAATCAAACTGCTTACCTGTGAGAAAACTTGCCACGATCCGAGTGATCCCTCCGGCTGCCTCCGCCCACCCCACCGCGCTGCTCATCCTAGCCCCGCCCACCAAGTTACGAATCATGGTGAAGGACAGGGGAAGCGCGATGCCGAATCCGACGCCGAAAATGAAATTGCCTGCGACCAGCGGCCAGAGCCAGTCCAGCAGCGGGTCTACCAAGAAGGCCAGCCCCATGAGAAAGTGGGCCAGGTACATCATGGACCGGGCACCGAGGATTTCTCGATCCACCAGGGGCCCGTGGCCCAGCTGGCCCGTCAGAATGCCCAGGCCGCCGGCCACAGCCACCGCCGATGCCTGCTTGGTCGGCAGACCCTTGACTATGCAGTTGGGCACGGTGAACACTACCCAAGCCACGATGACCACGCAAAGGTTGCACACGCAGGCGAGCAGAACCAAGTAGGACAGACTCCAAAAGAGATCGAGATTCGTGGCTTGGATGAATCTTGAGACCAAGTCGGTAGCTTGGCCTCGGCCGGCCCGGTCCCTTGAGTCTATGTCACCGCCGCAAACAGCTCCTTGGTCGACGGTGTCGACATTTCCACGAGACACGCCCTGCGTTTCATCGTCATCGCTGACGTCATGATCGATCTGCTTGTACGAATGATCATGACCGAACGCGCTCTGATGGTTCTGTTCGTTGAGACGATTGGACAACGGACGAAAGAGCGAACCAACCACAATCAAGTGAAGCAACATTCCACCAATCAGAAGAAGACACCCTCTCCATCCGTAGACGTCGAGGAGAAACTGTGTAACGGGTGCGAAGATCAGGATACCAATTGAGGTTCCAGCGCAAGCGATGCCGTTAGCCATTGCGTAATAACGGTCGAAGTACACACCAAGAAGAACCAGGCAACAGTTCAGTAGGATACCACATGCAGCACCTTTAATTAAAAAAAGAATTGGGGTTATCGTCCTTACTCGCACTAAAGTTGAATTACGAAGGACGCATGCAGCTTTAATTAAAAAAAGAATTGGGGTTATCGTCCTTACTCGCACTAAAGTTGAATTACGAAGGACGCATGCAGCTACAACGTGGTCAAGCCAGAGGCCTTTAAAGGCGCATAAGGCAGCCGCCATACGACCTTAAACCACGGAGCATAGCCAGATCGAATGTGTAAATTTTCATACCAAACCAAACGGACAGTCGTATGACTGCTGGTGCGAGCTAAATAAAAACAGTTTGGACGATTGGAACCTCCGTAGCTCACTTAGAGGGATCTGCATTGTCAATGATTGCATTAAACAAATTACATTGCAGGAACCCTGAACACAGATAACTTGGGGATTATAAATGACAAACCATGCCCTTCCTAAACAAATGTGCGTCGTGCCAATGCTTGCGCGCGCTTCGCCGAATAACAAAACGAACTACAAATTTAAATTTTCCTACGGTGCGTCTTAAGACGCACCGTTGGAAAGGCCTTCTTTCGTTGATTACTTCAAAATGACAGCTTGCCAGAAAGAATAATTTCACAGGGAGTTTAAACCCCTTACTATCTTTCAACCAAGTATGTTTTTCAACAATAATTACGCCAGTTACTTTTCGGATGGCTGCAAATGATTGACTATAGCTTTAACGCCGATATGGAAACTAGGATTTACCTGTCAGTAACACGATACACAGTCCAAATTGCACCACGTTATTCGTCACACAGGCAGCTAGAACACCCAGAGACGCCAGGACACCACACACAACGGCTACAGGTCGATGTTGCCATCTGTGTTCAAGAGAACTTAGAAGCAACCCTGTAAGGAAGAATAACATTACCAATGTCATCAAAGTCATCAATTAAGCCATTCCATGTAAAGGGCCGAGGAGCAAAAGGGGGAAAGATAAAAGCGGATATCAGACTGTGTTTTATATTTTATTGAGAACATTTATTTCTAAGTTGCCATTTTCATAGAATGTAACTGTACCATCTCATATAATACAAGATTGTAATCACAAGTGTATTATACAGGGTGACCCAAAAATGCAACCCTAAAACATTTGAATTTAAAAAAAAAGGATCGGTGGATTTTATGTTTATACATGTATAAAAGCTGAGAGTTTTTTTTCCGAATTCTGAAATGTTTCCTCCATGTTCTGATCGACTCTTACAATTCGATAGACAATTTCCAATACACCATTCCTACCTGATAATCCCCTGGCTGCCAGCATCAGTCCGATCGCCCAACCAACGGGCCACGTCTCCGTGTTAAACTGTTCTGTCAGCGTCGGCAGTAGCACACCGAGTCCTTTACACAGTCCCTCCCACAAAAAGAAGGCCAGGTGACACGCCCCTAGGACCGCCCATGCCCAGCCAGCGTCAGGGCCGCTCGAGACGCTCCCGCTCCTAGCCATGACTAAAGATTCAGAGAGCAATTAAGCGGCGCCGAAGTTCAGCAGAAATTCATCAGACTAGTTCAGCAGAGTTTAATATTCGCCAAAACGGGAAAGGCTACAGAACGTACGATCGGTCTTTGTCCGACGGGCCGGCTGTAGTCTGTTCCGCATGGACTAGCTCTACAAAAGTCCTTTGAAGGACATATATGCGCCAGTTTTCTACGTATTAACAATGCTTCATTTGAAATGAACACAACAGCCCCACGTACAAAAAAACTCAGTGTCTAGCTGTATATAAATCCCCTGTCTGTTTTCCAACTTACCATTTATATCACGAGACCGAGAAGTGAGGTGAATCATATGGAAGCCCATACGCACTGGAATCGAATGAACGAACTTTTACAATTGCACCCGATACAAAAGGTAACCTTGGATTTGTCGGTGCATATTTCACAGAACAGAGACCTGCTACAGGTTAAAGGTAATTATATTGCCAGTGCAGACAGGCATACAGTTTATTTACCAAACATTGACCCACTGATATGCTCTTAAGCACCATACCAATGGTCGTATACAAGCCTGATGCCTCTCTGGGAGTCTCTGGCCGTACGTCACAGGCACTTTAGTACGGTCATAGCCCCAAAATGTGGCCAATTTACTGGACTACATCCGTAAATAAAGGCCACACTTCCACCATGTACAAAAACATGTCGAACTTTGTCCAATTTTGATTTTCACATTTAGACTTAGTTTGTAGTTTATTTTTGCTTTAGAAGCATACTCATCCTCTTTATAGGCTAATCAGAAAGTGCTGCTTTTTCAGATGTCTAATTCACCATCTGCGCTGTTTGTACCAGTTCATCGGCGCGGCCACGAAAGCTTACGTTGCAGTAGTCTTGGGTCCAAGACCTTCCTGTTGTTTATTCCTCGATCACATCACTCTCACAAACGATCGCTGATAGAGGGCGGTTCGTGGATGATAGCGGTTCGTGGATGATAGCGCCCTCTATCAGCGATCGTTTGTGAGAGTGATGTGATGGAGGAATAAACAATATGAAGGTCTTGGACCCAAGACTAACGTTGCAGCCGGTTCGATTGCTACAACGCGCTGTGTGAAAACATGCCGTGCTTATAGCTTAAGCCAATAGGAATAGAGCGATCCATTAAGTCCCGCCCACTGCTCACCTCACGTGAGCAACATCACGTGCATGTGCCTCTACTACAATGCTACACTGCCAGACGCGCGTGTTACACGCGCGCGGACTTCTGCGCACGCATGTTGAGCATTATTCACGGCTGTAATTGGTCAAAGCGTCGTGGGGTGCAATTTAACAGATCGGTGCGTATTACTTTTGTCAGCATACATCTAAATTAAATGAACATTTTGTACATCATGTTGATCCGTGGAACACCGGGCAATAGTTTCACACTTAATCCTCTTAGTACGCCCCTGCCAATGTATGTATGGAAAGTGATCTTTGCAACAGGGCAGGATTGATAACTACTACTTTCCACAGGCATCTGAGTAAAAAAAATAAATTGGCACCTCAGTTTGGCGGGATTTCGTCAATTGTGGGTTTAAAAGGTAAGATAAATTCAGACTCCGTTCTTGAAGGTTTACGCTACGGCCAGAGTTCGACTTTATGTTAGTCGAAACAGCGGGGGGCTAGTCATACTATTCCTTCAGTAGCTCGGCTGACGAGTCAACAATTATTGGGCTACAGCAAAGATGAAAGGACTGGAAGAAACAACTTATTAAATTCAGAAAGCAAACCTGTAGGCCTAATTGTATTGTGGCGAAACAGTCGGTGGACTGGTGCGAGTTTACCTTGGCTCACCTGGTTCCCGACGTCGTGCGTAGGGTACAGCGCGTAGTCAGAGTTTTATAGGCAGTCCGTCTAAAGACACCGTTGAGTGAACATCGATTAGTGGAAACTTAGCGATGAGCTCCGATTCCGAGTAAACCTCGTGCGTAGCTAGTAGACGTAGAGATAGTTTGGGCAACGCGGCGTGCAAGTCAAGGGCGAATGGTGAGACTTTAGAGTAATCATTAGCAAGCTAGACCTTTTGTTGTAAGGGGAAATTAGCCTGAGTTGCTGTGGGTTGAGCTGGTGACTGGGGACCTAAGGTTCGTGTGGTATGTGCAGCAGTATTCCCTGGTCGGGAATTGGGTTGCCTGTCGCCTGTCGAGCTTTGTCGCCAGGAGTCACCTCGGGGTTATAAACCGCGCTCCGTAACCTGAGCCCAGTGATTTCTGTATGCTAGGTTGCATGTGAGGGTTACTCTGGTAAAGTCTTAATCAGTGTGTGCAGTTCATAACTTGTTGCTGTTGATCGCACTGGGTGTGCGCAGTGAGGTTCTTGCCACTGTGGGATAATTTTTCTAGATAATCGACGAGGTTAATTACATAGAGCCTGGTTAGGCTGGTTAATTGTTGTAAGCATTGTACAATAAGAGGTTATTGTTGTGTAAGGCTTACTTTATAGGGGTAAACCTAGAGCAGCGGGGAACGTTGTTCTGCGAGGTTTATTTGCCACTCATTGAACTTTAAGCCTGTGTATTAATTGGACCAAATGAAGAGTTGTTTCTTGTTCTCTAAGACACATGTGTAGTGAGGTTTATTGAGGTTCCCTGGTCACCTCTAGGTTGCTTACCACGTGAACTGTTATTCCTTTAGCGTTGGTATATTTCCAACAAACGGACAGGCCTAGGACTTGAATCCTCCGTTCGTGACGTAGTCCCCCCTTCTTTGCTTATAACCGCTCATGCGCATGTAAGGTCATTAAATATTTTTGTGGGATAGTCAGCTCTTGTTGGTGTGGGTGTAATTCCTTATCCATAGACTGACGAGCGCGCCACAGTATTAGCTGTTTAGGGAAAACTTATTAGATCTGTTTATTAAAACATTAACAAGATTGCCTCAGGATACACGTTTTACATGTATGCGCATACCCGTAAAAAAGAAAAAGAAAAAAAGGGGGTTTTGGAAAATGCCCGCGGGCCGGTTACGAATCTGTTTCAGTAGCCCGGCTGGCTAGTGAAAAAAAAAATTAAGGTCAAACCCTGCTATATACATGTACTATAGCCCCACCCAACTTTTTACTGCGCCTTTATGTAAATGACATTTACGAAACATTTTCATTTATAATGCATGGTAAGAAAACTCACAATTGAAAGAACCAGCAAGTGTTCTCACATTTGTATTTGGATTGTCTTTTTTGTGGCAACGTTTGTCAGATTGAAATGGAAGGAGATGACAAGACGGCAGTTTCAACCCGCCAAAGAATGGTCGCGTCCCGCAACAACAAGCAAGGGAACGAGCCGGCGACGGACAACGGACGAGTCTATTTGAAGAAAGAGGTTGGGCTGGTAAAGGGTGTGGCGATTATCATGGGGTTCATCATCGGGTCCGGCATTTTCATGGCACCGCAGGGGATCCTGCGAGGGACGTACAGCGTAGGCATGAGTCTGGTCGTGTGGGTGATATGTGGAATCATGTCTTCAGTATGTGAGTATTATGGAGACCCTTGTACGGATAGCCAACGGAACGGATATGAACAGTGCAGTGAAGGCATAATGGACCGATCCAGTAAGCACCGCCCCGTGGTGTTCTGACCAATAACAGCCGTGATTTATGTCCGACGTGCGTGCACAAAAGTCCGACATGCGTGCACGCGCGTATAATGCGCGCGGCAGGAAAGTGCAGTGTGGCATTGGAGAGGAGCACGTGTTATTTTGTCCAGTGCGCAGTGGGCGGGGCTTACTGGATCGATCTATTTTCAGTGTGGGTCATTTGCGCAAAATACAAAACCCATTCAATGCGCAAACTGTTCCACAAAAATACGCTCTAAAAGCCCCCCCCCCCCCCCCCCCCCAAAAAGTCTCCGGTTTCTGGTATGCGCACGCGTCGCCGTAGCCATGCGCGTCGCCAAAATGAAAAAGTTTTTTTTTTCAATGTAAGATGATGTCTAAAAACTGCCAAACTCACTGGTTTTGCTGGAATCCTGCTGCTGCACAATTTAAAGTGTTTTTAGATGTGGTTACGATCGAGTATAAGCTTTATGTGGCCTCTCTGAACTCCCATATATTTTGCACTAAATTTAGTCGGGCACCATTTGCCGTCATCAGCCGACATTTGAAGAAAAAAAAAGTTTAAAAAAAATATTTAAAAAACCACGTCGCCGCACTGGGCCAGGCTCCATGCCAGGAACTGGACACTTTTTTTGGACTAAACTAGCAATTTCAACACAAGCTAATTCAAGGACTTGTCTTCCCGATAACGAGTGCGTTGTGATGCATGAGTAACTTTATACCCTCGCAGCATCTGATTTCACGTATATAAAGTATACTTCGTTTGCATAATAATTTGGTCGTAAAATATAAAGCCCCAATAACACCATATGTCACATAGTATCACTTAAATATATTAGCACGACTAATTAATGGCGCGTGAGGTTTTGGTTTACACTGACACCAAACATAATTTATATGCAGTACACGAAAAGCGTGTAATGTTACACAAGGCGAATTTAGAGGCCACTACAGGTCATAATTTTTTTGGTAATACAATCATCTTTTTGTCATAGCACAAGCATCCATTATACTGAAAGGAACAACAAACTGAATCCGCACTATATACTATTGTCCATATGTTACTTGTCTAAGGTTTCGTAATATAATAACGGAGTCTTATATAGCGCACGTATCTACCAAATATTAGGTACTCAAGGCGCTGGATATATGATTTAGCTGTTCAGTAGTAGCGTAGCCACGGGGGGGGGGGGGCGACAGCCCCATCATGGAACCTTGTCGCCCCCAGTCGCCCCCCCCCCCCCCCCCCACTGAGATTTTGAGTTTCTAAAAAAATTATCATTGATCTACATGACGCCCCCCATGAAATGTTCCATCCCCCAAGCGCCCCCCCCCCCCCATGAAAAATTCCTGGCTACGCCACTGCTGTTCAGGCAATTAACACCTGGTGGTTTACTCTGCAAATGACTTGCACAACTTCTTGTGTAAACGGCGTTTAATACCATACACAACCAAAAAAAAACCACAAAATCAAAAAAGAACAAAAAGGGCTCAAAAGGTACGTGTAGAACTATTTAAGGAATATTCATTTGGGCATTTGAATGACTCATATTTTTTTACGACATTTTTGATCCATCAAACACAATTTATAAACACCTTAGGCAGTTTGCCCATTGCTATTGGTCGAGATCGAGCCCGTCACAATGCCGGTTTTAAGCAGTTGATAAAGACTGGCTGGTTGGTCTTAAACACTTTTCCAGTGTCAAATAAAATTGTGACTTCTTAGTTTTAGTACCGTTTTATTGGTTAAACGTTCACAATGCACACATAGGCATGCGCAATACTACCAGTGAGTCAGTATTTCACAGTCCCTAGCTCACGCTACACCGACACAGCTGCGTTCTGCGCGACATCGCGTATTACGTGCGTCGCGCACGCCAATCTCCATATAAGGAGTTGCTTACGACATGCACATTATCATAATATAGCTGCAGGGGCGTTTCGAAAAACATGAAGTAAAATTGTTGAAAAACAAATCTTTGAAAATATTTATAAGTTTGGACTTGTTTGACTTTTGGACCGAAAAGTTCTGATTTTTTTTGACCGAAAAGATATTTATTAATGAGAATAAAAATGTGCTTGGCCGGTATAAAACACTCTGTTTAAGTCCGGTTGCAGTCTGGATGCTGAGAATTACGGTAGCCTTCGGATCGGGTAATTATCAGCATCCAGACTCCAACCAGTCTTAAACAGAGTGTTCAAAACTGGCCAAGCACACATTTATTCCCTTAATAAATGCCAAGCAAGCTCAAGAAACAGAGTGTTCAAAGTGTTTCTGGCCTTCATTAAATCTACGATTTCCTTGGAAAAATAGATAAGCCTATACATTTCCTAGCATAGCAACGTATCACTGATATTGAACCATTCAGATCGATGAGAAAAATAAACGTGGATCATAATTATTGTTATTCGTCATCCGCAGCTGCACTGTGCTACGCTGAGCTTGGCTCAACCATCCACAAATCCGGGGGGACCTACACCTATATTCTGCAGGCCTACGGCGACCTGCCCGGGTTCCTCGTCTCCTGGGCCAACGTTCTTGTCATCAACCCGTCCGGGTCAGCTCTGAACGCGCTGACTTTTGGCACCTACGTCAGCGAGTACGTCACGCCTGGAGAATGTTTGCCACTATCGGTGGTTACCAAGCTGTTCAGCATTCTCGCAATGAGTAGGTCAATTACTAATTCAATACCCACCCCCACCTCCCCCCCCCCAAAAAAAAAGTCAATTTCAATTCGTGATTCTATAGAACTATTCTTCCTCCAAACTTTTTCTGAAATTAGATGTCACCTAGTAAAATGGTCAAGAGGTTTGAATGTCTTTTGCAAATATTTCTCAAATTCGTATATCAGCCATCAGACAGATGCAGTTTTTGCATTATCTTAGGCAACTATAAATACAGCTTGTGAACGAACGATCAGTTGTAGGTATTCATAAAAATGTAACCAACAGAATATACACTTTATGCAATTGTGACGGAAGTAAAATGGCATAGAAAACAGAATAAGTCATGTCATCGACATGTCAGGCTAAGGAGACACAAAATGGTGGAAGCATCTTCGTAAATTCTTGAACACAAGCACCGGTGACATATTGTGTCCACGTTTACGACGCCAGTTGTTGCATCTCTTCTGGGGGCCCTATAAGATCTGTACACAGAGTATAATCTTGATTATTCATAACATGGAATGTGTTGGGGTGATGTGAATCAATGAGGTTTTGCCCTTCACTTACGGTTTTCTTTTTTGGTATGAATAGTGCTTTGTGTCTTCATCAACTGCATGAGCGTGCGGCATTCAGCCTCCGCTCAAGTCGCCTTTACGACCTCCAAGGTTCTCATTCTGGTCATCATCATCGGCTGTGGGATTGTCAAGATGATCCAAGGTGAGACTAGGCACCTGGATCCCACCGTGTCCTTCGAGGGAACATCGGCTGATGTGTTCGGGTACGGCACCGCTCTGTATCAGGGACTGTGGGCTTTTGCTGGCTGGTAGGTAAACTTTCTTGGTATGTGGTTACCATTGCAGAAATCATTCGAGAAAATGTAGATAAATCAGGAAACTAGGTTTGAAATTAATCGAATAAACTGACATTTTAAATAAATTTTAACGACCCACCAAACGGTAAACGATTGCACAGCTTACAAGAAAATATGAAGCTTTTCAGCTGGAAAACGTTAAACCACAAAAAGTTAAACAGGGAGATGATTAAAGTTAATTTTCGAAACAAACGCACATGTATGTGAAAACCTGAAAAAAATGAATAACAGCAATTGATCCATTTTGTTTAGGTACCAATTTAACTGTCTTTTCATTTGTTCATTGGTAGGGATGTTCTCAATTTGCTGACTGAAGAAGTGAAAAACTCCAAAAGGTGAATAAATTCGAATATAATTGTTCATCGTAGTCTCTTCTTTGCTAAACAGTTTTACTGGGACACAATGTTTAAAACATTCTCAACACATCGTGAATATTCAATTTCGTTGTCCTGTATCGTAGCACCGTAAACTAGTTTTTGTTTGGTTCAAATGTCTTTCTACCTACCCTTACATCATGTAGAAACATCCCTCTGGCTATATGCATCTCTATGACGTCCGTATTGGTCATCTATCTCTTCACCAACATCGCGTACTTCACACTGCTCTCCGCGGATGAGGTCCTTGCTTCGAACGCCGTGGCCGTTGTAAGTGAATATGAACGCTGGAGGGCGCCTTACCCCTCAATAAAAGATCAGAATGATTTCATACTAAAATCTTTCGCTTACATTTTGAATGACTGCGAAAAGGTAGCTCACTGTTTATTGTTCAACTTTCAACTTTGTACTTGCATGTTGACTTTCATCATAAAATGTGCAAAATTTGTCGTTAAAAGCCTTCGTTTGTTTGTTTGTCTGTTTGTTTGTTTTTGCACAAGACGTTTGCTGAACGTGTTCTGGGGCCTATGGCATGGATCGTTCCGCTCGGCGTTTGTATTTCAACTTTTGGCAATCTTCTAAGTGGACTTCTAGCTATGCCAAGGTAAAAAGTCGTTTTGCTTTTCTGATCGCAATGTTAACTCTTCCTAAATCTATATTTTAAGATACATTGTACCCAGTAAAATAATTGCTGTATGTTCTCGTTTACAATATATACATTATCTACATTACTGCCCCTGGGTACCAGAGCAACATATACCTAAATTCAAAAGAGTATAATAAAACATGGCTGCAAATATACCCCTATGTATACATTATTTCATCGAAATCGTTTTTGAATACCAGTAGTTTGAAATTAAGAAACACCTGTGTTTTCTGTTTGATAGAAATGCCTATGTTGCTGGAAGAGAGGGCCACATGGTAAAAGCACTATCGATGGTCAGTGTGACTCGACATACACCGCTACCATCCATAGTCTTCCAGGTAGGTACTTTCACGTACATTTTTAACATAACAATACAATGCTAGATAAAGAATATGTTTAAAAGAATAATTGCTGTTTTTTTAATTGGAGTGCCTCCGACTTTTTGGATTAGAAAAAGATTCGAATACCGGGAAATTCGAAAGCGTGGCCACAAAAATTACGGTACATTTTGTTTTGGAAATTCATACCAAATAGCATATTTGCTAAATACCAGTCTCAGCCAGTGTTCTTGAATGGTGTTATGGCTGGTAACCCAACATTGCATCTTCGTCCGTAAACGTTAACTGTTTTTATTTTACCAGAAGACTGACATTTGAAACACCATAATTTTGTTTCTGTTTACCCCCCATTCACGTGTAAATCCATTCTTTGTCTTTCTCACAATAACGACTCTGTCATTTCGATTCTCAGGGCACCATTGCAACCATCATGGTCAGCATCGGCGACTTCAACAGTGTGTTGAACTATTTCAGTTTCGCGGCCTGGCTGTTCTTCGGCTTCGGTTTCCTGGCCATTCCGGTTCTTCGGTATCGATTCCCAGACCACCATCGTCCATTCAAGGTAATCTTTAAGAAGTTTATTGACTGTCCGGCACATTTGTTTTGTTTTGTTTTAATTGCAATTTCTCTACAATTTATTTCATTTCCATTGTAATAACATGTAAGGCGTTTTGGCGAAATGAGACGGAACTGGTCACAGGCCGCAGTGGAGAAAAATGCAACAACAAAAAACTGAGTCGGGTGATCTTCTTTCGACTTTCACATTGATCGATAATTGTATCATTTGATATGTCTACTACACATAATTTAAAGAAATAATATACAAATCTTGGAATAAAAAAAAAATAAGGAAAAGCAATTGCCATCTTACATTTTAACGACTACAAAACTCAAAACTTTAAAGGCATTTCTCTCTGTGTTTTACCTTTTCGACTTGTCGATAAACGTGAAATTTAAACAGACATAACTTGTCAACGAAATGTCAGATTGGCGTGCAACAGTATTGTAAGAATTGTTTTCTCTTTCTCAATACCCGCAAATCCGCATTTCCACATCTGCCCAGTTTTGTCTCATTTTGCCAGAACGCCTCACACATTCTGCTTGAAATGCGAGAGGGTAAAAGGCCTTGCTATTTGCACACAAAAAATGTTTCAGTGGACCTTTTGGGTTTATTACCAAAGAAATTTACTTCAAATTGGTTTTAAATTCCTTCCAATTTACATCACCAATTAAAAAAACATACTACCTCTGATTCCTTTTCCCGCATTTTTCCCAAGGTGCCAATAGTGCTCCCCATAGCAGCAGCAATCTTCTGTCTCTTCATGGTCCTGGCACCGATTATCAGTGAGCCGACGCTGGCCTATCTCTATCTGGTCGCTATCCTGATGGGAATCGGCGTCATTTTCTACGTTTTGTTCGTCTGGAAAAAGTATCGCCCAGGCTTTATGGGTATGTAAGGCTACGATGCTACAGTCAACTTAGTTGGCTTAAGTTGTGGCCCTTAATCAGACGTCACTTAAACTTTGAAAACGTGTTCAGGCTTGATTTCAAATTGGTAGCCTCGGTGTGCAAGCTGTAAAATCCTGCTACAATTTGTATCCAAACATTATCACAACTATGCAAAATATCGTACTGATTAAAAAAATAGCTTTATTATGTAATGTTGTTATTATTTATTTCTGGTAATGAAACCAATGATTCCTCAAAAGCGCCCTAGGCACTGTAGCTCGAGAGCCTGACGAAACCTGTAGAGAGGAGACAATGAGAAGAAGTTACAGTTTTGGAGGTGGGAGGAAAACTCCAGAAGAATGTTCTCTGGGAAAACCCACGGAATCAGGTAGGGACTGAAAAACTAATCCACACATTGGCCCGGGTGGGATTCGAACCAGGGCCATACCGGTGGAAGGCGAGGAAAGTCCCGCAACGCGAATGCCAACCTGACTCCCCTTACATTTAATTATCTGCTGCCACCAATTATTCTGAGTATTGCTCAAATGGGCCCACCATAGGTTCGCACGTCACATTGGTTCTGTACTACGGCATTTACTTCTTATTTTCTAACTCTAAATTGCGGACTATTTATCACAACACCCTTAGTGACTTCCAATTTCAGTTCTTCCATTATGCCCTTCTTACTATAGATGCCGTCTCGATGTTCATCCAGAAGATGTTTCTGGTTGCTCCATCGTCATACCTCGAGCCAGATGAGAATTAGGGAGACTATGGCGTCACTCAAGGGGGTAGAAAGCATCGTACTGAAAGTAAATTAAATTTCGCCTAAGCATTGCATAAAGCACGTTACCTATTTACTGGAGCACTTGCCAACGGAGCTGTATACGGCTTAAACGATTTCGAGACAAATATGTTGATAAGATAAAATCCTTTCGAGCATTGGCCTTATTTACGAGTCCGCCATATTGAATTCATATTCATTTTTAGAACTTGCGCAGCGAATGAAAGCAATGACATAAAGTGAATTACACACCAGTCTGCTCTTATGAACAATTTTAAATGTGTGATTAAACACGCCCCTTATAGGGTGCAGACCAGTAAATCGGTCCGAAATTGCCTGCGCCGGCCAAATCACGATTGCATGCCCTCAAAATCTTCGGTATTTGGGCATGCTGTGGGCCATGAACTTGAGGGTTTGTAAAAAATATGGGTGGAAGCCGTGCACAGGACTGGGAGCTTGCAGTTCTGTGTAATTTTGATGTAATTTGGACCCTAAAAGCGCTCTATTTTGCAATGGAGTGTAGGCATCGTTTTTCAAAATGGCGATGGGCTTCAGGACTATTTTCAGGGGTGATCATCTTCAGATGGAAATTTCTCCTAAAAGTCATCAGTTGACCCCCAAAAATTGAAAAGAAAATGAAAGATGATGAAATAAGCTTTAATTTGATGTGCGTCTCGAACACCTTGGAGAGTTGTGAGTATTTTTCCCGAATTTTTGAAGTGGGAGCATTTACCATTGGGGTCTATGGAAGTTTATTTACTGGTCTGCTACCCTAATGTTTTAAGCCACACATAAATGAATGTGAGGCTAGAATGTATAAATAGACTGGCACCATCCCATTCAACAGTTCACAAGTAATAAAATACATTTAGCCCTGGGAACCCGACCAAGATGGCTTTCTCGTGAACGACGTCCATGAAACATCAAGTCAGCACCACACAATTCGGGCGATTCACAATGCAGTGCGCCACCAAGAGTTTGCCAGTGCATTGTGGGAGATGGTCGACAAATTCGCAGCGCGGGACATTTGAAATTGTTAGTTTTTCCGGCCAGAAAGTTCGTAAGCGTATGATTCGAGGATCTGTTGGCCCTTTTCTTTTCTTTTTATCAATATGGTGGGTTTTTTTGTAAGGCGGCAGAACGCTTTGCCCCAATCTATAACAAATTAGCTCAAGTTTTCTACTGACACTCGGTCAAATGGGCCATGTTTTGTCGACCGTGTCGACCTTGAAAAACGAACTCTCCGTGGCAAACTCTTGGTGGCGCACTGCAATGTGAATCGCCCGAATTATCACAAATGCCACAAGTTCGTGAATATGATCTTTATAGAACAATGACCAATAAATGGTTTGGTCCGAAAGTGGCTTATGACTAATACAGTTTAGGTCAAAGCTTTGGGCATAAGATTTCGTATTAGTATTGGATGTTAGTTATTAGCTTTTCATAAAAAGCCAATAAAAAAATTACGTAAAAAGCACTTTAAACTTTTTTTTTTCATTTGATTATACTGTACATAACTGCACATCAACAAAATGCAAAAACTCATGAAAAAATCTTCAAAAGCCGTATGTTCCCTTTTTAGTACAGACATAGATCAAACTAAGTCAGTTTGGTCTATTTTTTTTGTTAAAACAATTTTCATTATAATTTTAAAGAACTTGAATGTACTCCTTAACAGATATACCCAGCTTATAAGCTAAAATATAAAAGTCGACAAATGCGAATAAAGGACAGAAGCGCATTTTAAAGTTAGTTCACGTTTTTTTCACTGAAACCATATTATTCAAGTCTTTTCCTGTGAACCAATTCCGTGAACGGTGGTAATAAAGGTACCACAATATAGCAGGGTGCGCCCAATGTATTGGGTGTAGAATACGAATGCGGTCACATAAAGTTTAAAGATATAGTCCATCATTTGTAATTTGTGCATTTTGTTCGTTTGAAGCAACAAAAGTGTTCAAAATCTAATGAAGGATACTGAACAACTAACGTGATAAAGTTTCAGCTCAGCTTCAGCTGTATATTCCGAGAAAAACGGCTTTCTAGGATCTCAATTTCAAATCCAAAGTTGCTGAATCATGTTTTGAATTCAGCGTCCGAGACGCGTCCTCACTGTGCCGATTGCAGCTATTCGCGATGTTGCGCACTGATCCGACGAATTATAGCAACTGCGCGCGCGTGTGCGTCGTGCCAATGCTTGCGCGCTTCGCCGAATAACAAAACGAACTACTAATTTAAATTTTCCTACGGTGCGTCTTAAGACGCACCGTTGGAAAGGCCTTCTTTCGTTGATTACTTCAAAATGACAGCTTGCCAGAAAGAATAATTTCACAGGGAGTTTAGTCCCCTTACTATCTTTCAACCAAGTATGTTTTTCAACAATAATTACCCAGTTACTTTTCGGATGGCTGCAAATGATGGACTATAGCTTTAAATAAACTATATACAATACATACAATTCCAGATGGGCTCCGTGCGCCAACGAAAGAGTGCGCTCTTTTACCTAGCAACGACGTCCCATGGGCGGTACATTTAGCTGGTTGACGCGCACCGTTCCTTGTGTGTGACGCACGTACACCAGGGATTTGTACTATGTACACGCACGGCCGCGCCTCGCGGCAAAATTGCAGTCAGGCAAAATGGCGTCGGTCGGTCACCCCCAACTGTACGCGTAATTTTTATTCCTAGGAGGGTTAGGGGCAATGTCATGAATAATTCATGTTTATCCATGAGAACGGACAATGACATCAACAGCATTGTTGTTAGTTACTCAACTAGTTACAATACATTAAAGCATTTTAAAGAACGGTTGTCGTCGAGCTACCACACAGTAGCCTAGTGGATAGCGAGATGAGCTATGGATACAAAGATCCCTGGTTCGAATCCACGTCGTCGCTGCTCATTTTCATCAGCTATTTTTCTTCTCCAAATTTATCACTGAGATAATTTTAAATTAAGGGGAAAATAGAACGAGAACCTAAGTCTTGCAATGATTCAAAGGAAAAACTGAATTATTCATGATATTGCCCCTAACCCTCCTAGGAAAAAAAATTACGCCAACTGTACTTTGTTTGCCGGTGAGGGGGTACTTGTGAACAGAGTGGATTGCGCCTATAGCGTTTTGAATGTGTTTATTTAGAATTCTCCTGTTGACATAATATTTGCTAAGTGTCATGTACATCTGGTCCATGGTATTACAATGAAACCTAAACGCATGACCATGACACGTTTGTAAATAACGGGTGGTATGTACAAAAACTAGCAATTGCTTTTACTACCAATTTGTACGCATTTCCTCGCATCTATATATGAATATTAATGAAGCAAATTCTTTTACTGGAAATTATTTGCTAAAAGGTAATGGTATTTAGATTTTACTTTTGTACCTTTTTTTTTGCTAGACTATTAGCATTTGCTTCATATGAATAAAAATGAGTAAATACAGATTGGGAGTATTTACTAGTCATTATTCAAAGCTTGGTCGGGGCAACTTTAAAAAGAGAGACGTAATACTAGTATGCAAAATAGCAGCTTTTATACATGTGGTTCGGCAGGCAAAGGTATATATGATGCACGGAGGAGGGAGCGTTTAATTAATTATCAGAATACAAAAAGCTGTACAGATTTGAGAAGAGGAATTGGGCATGGGTGGCCGACCATTTCTTGAACATTCTGTGGAGTGAGAGCTGGGAAGCACCGACTGCAAAGAACCACCCCTGTTGGCTGATGGCAGCTCTGAGTATGTAAACACCGGCATGTATGTACATGTACGTGTAAAAACTAGCAAATACTAGGAAGTTTACTAGCAAACAGCAAAAGCATTTACATTGGAGTAAAAGCATTAGGGACAAGCAAATGCTTGAATCCGTATGAATGAAAGTTATAGGTTTGACTGTTCAGCATTTGCTTAATGAAATGGTATATAGTAAATGCTTCAACTTGTGGTTGACTGCACAGCCAAATTGTTTATCGAGTCTTCATTGTGTGTACGTCGGCCTACAGACACGCACTAGCAAACACGGTGGTCATGCAAGAATAGACCATTTAGGCCCAAAAAAGTCTCCGGTTTCTGGTATGGAGCTTGCCCAAAAAGTGGTGCGGCGACGCGGCTTTTTTTTTTTTTTACCTGTTTTTTTTTGCTTCAAATGTCGGCTGATGACTGCAAATGGTGCCCGACTAAACCTAGTGCAAATATATGGGAGTCCGGAGAGGCCACAAAGCTTATTCTCGATCAATACCCCATCTAAAAACACGTTAAAATTGTGAAGCAGCAGGATTCCAGTCAAACCAGTGAGTTTGGCGGTTTTGAGACATCATCTTTTATTGAAAAAAAAAACTTTTTCATTTTGCCGACGCGCACGGCTACGGCGACACGCGCGCATACCAGAAACCGGAGACTTTTTGGGGGGCCTCAAAAGGATGTTGAATAGTCATCAGTCTGGTCCAGGTGTGTAATTTCATATCTATTACTTTTTATATGCCCTGCTAATACACGAGAAAGATTTAATTACAATATTTAAGGGTATTTAATTTCAAAGGTCAGCCATTTAATTTTATATTTATGAGTTTTACAAAATTGTCTCACTTGAATTATAACCTGTAACAACTCCATTCCTATCTACCAAGAAGAGAATACGGAAAAAATAAACACATTGGACACCAGTAGCGTTTCCAGATTTGTGAGTAGTGGGCCTAAAACTGTACAAATTTAACTTTAATCGTTCGTTTTTTCCCTTCGTTGTGGGGGCTGTGTTTTTTTCCTTCTGCATAGTTGTGAGAAAGCCGTTGTTTTTGTTCTTTTTGAGCGACAGTGGTAAAGTTCACTGGAGATTTTCTCCATGCATGAACACAAACTTTACCATGATGTAGCCATTTGATTTTGTTCCCCATTCAAATCAGTGTAACCAAAGCGAGGCTGGAAGAAAAAATAGTCTGGTTCCTGTTTGCACAAAAACATTAGCATTCAGTACTGTTGTTGGATACAGGGAACATGACTGAAATGGTGGCAGCATGATAAAGGTCTACACCCTGCTATACAAGCGTCAATGGACCTGGTGGCGTCTATAGTCTGTTGATTGTGTTTATTTAGAATTCTCCTGTTACGTGACATAATTATTTTCTCAAGTTTCATGTACATCTGGTCCACGGTACATGCAACCTACACGCATGGCCACGACGAACAATGGGTGGAAGGTACATTTATGACCATTTCAGTTAGCAAATGTTGAACAGTAAAACTTAAATTTTATGCATACTTGGTACTTGGTTGGTTCTTCTCCTAAATACTCGGCAGGGGAGAAACACCGGGGCAAACCCCTTCTCTTAGCGATAAGCGTTACTGTGTTCGTTTACGTGCATTGCATTACACAACACACGGGACTAGCTATGGCTTTCCGTCCCATCCGACGAAAGCAATAATGGTTATAGTATCTTGCTTAAAGCTATAGTCCATCATTTGTAATTAGTGCATTTTGTTCGTTTGAAGCAACAAAAGTGTTCAAAATCTAATGAAGCATACTGAGCAACTAACCTGATGAAGTTTCAGCTAAGCTTCAGCTGTACATTCCGAGAAAAGCAGCATTCTAAGATCTCAATTTCGAATCAAAAGTTACTGAATCATGTTTTGAATTGTTTTGAATTGCAGCTATACGCGGCGTCGCGCACTGATCCGACGAATTATAACAACCGCGCGCGTGTGTGCGTCGCTCCAATACTTGTGCGCGCTGCGCTGAATAACAAAACGAACTACTACGGTGCTTCTTAAGAATCAGCGTTGGAAATGCCTTCTTTCGTTGATTACTTCAAAATGACAGCTTCCCAGAAAGAATAATTTCACAGGGAGTTACCCTTACTATCTTTCAACCAAGTTTGTTTTTCAACAGTAATTACGCCAGTTACTTTTCGGATGGCTGCAAATGATGGACTATAGCTTTAAGGGCGCAAGTGTCCAGACCCGGGCTCAAACCCACATTCTGCTGCCTCTGAAAGCATGAGTCGGGTGAGGTGCTCTTAACCGCTAGGCCATAACTCAACATATGTTTTCCCTTAAAGCTGTTACTCCAAATCCAAAGTAGGCTAAATGCTTTTGCTGTTTGCTTAAAGCCCAAGTCCATCATTTGCAGCTATCCAAAAAAGTAACCGGCTTAATTATTGTTGAAAAACATACTGGTTGAAAGATAGTAAGGGGACTAAACTCCCTGTGAAATTATCCTTTCTGGCAAGCTCTCATTTTGACGAAATCAACGAAAGAAGGCATTTCCAACGGTGCTTCTTAAGAAGCACCGTAGGAAAATTTAAATTAGTAGTTCGTTTTGTTATTCGGCGCAGCGCGCACAAGCAGTGCGCGACATCGCGTAAAGCTGCAATTCAAAACAATTCGAAACATGATTTAGCAACTTTTGATTTTAAATTGAGATCCTAGAATGCTGTTTTTCTCGGAATATGAAGCTGAAGCTGAGCTGAAACTTCATCAAGTAAGTTGTTCAGTATCCTTCATTAGATTTTGAACACTTTTGTTGCTTCAAACGAACAAAATGCACTAATAGACCGCTTGCAGACGCGTTCGATGATCGACGCGCGAAGGCGCGCGACGCCATGTTGTGGGACAGGCGTATTATCCACGGACATTTTGTCCCAGAACATGGCGTCGCTCACCTTAGCGCGTCAATTATCGATCTTGTCTGCAAGCGGTCTATTACATATGATGGACTATAGCTTTAAATAGTTTTTATAGGCCTACCGCCTACATACAAGAGCAAGAAATGACAATTTAAAAAGGCTCAGTTAAACTCGTGAAAAAAATTATAATGCAGAAAAGCCATATGTTCTGTCTGGATCCAATATTATATAGGCGGGTCGCGTAATTTTTTTTCCTAGGAGGGTCAAGGGGCAATGTCATTCAGTTTTTTCTTTGAATCATTGCAAGACTTAGGTTCTCGTTCTATTTTCCCCTTAATTTAAAATTATCTCAGTGATAAATTTGGAGAAGAAAAATAGCTGATGAAAATGAGCAGCGACGACGCGGATTCGAACCAGGGATCTTTGTATCCATAAGCTCATCTCGCTATCCACTAGGCTACTGTGTGGTAGCCCGACGACAACCGTTCTTTAAAATGCTTTAATGTATTGTAACTAGTTGAGTAACTAACAACAATGCTGTTGATGTCATTGTCCGTTGTCATGGATAAACATAATTTTCCAATCGAAACTACTGAATTATTCATGACATTGCCCCTAACCCTCCTAGGAATAAAAATGGACCGATCCAGTAAGCCCCTCCCACTGCGCGTGTGGGCAAATTAACACATGCTTCTCTCCAATGCCACACTGCATTTTCCTGCCGCGCGCATCATACGCGCGTGCACGCATGTCGGATTTTGTGCACGCATGTCGGACATGAATCACGGCTGTGATTGGTCAGAATACCATGGGGCGGTGCTTACTGGATCGGTCCATTACGCGGCCCAGGACAGTTGCTATAAGCTACTACCGGTGTATTGTATACGGTCCGGAAATTAGGCACACATCCTGCTACTTCACATCATGTCATTGTTTTGGCGTTGGGATTATTGTATCCATAATTGTGTCCATATGCTGCTTTGATAGTGTCTGTAGTCGAGTCGTACATGTAGGTTATAAACGCGAAGTTCATAAGTTATGGGAGTTTGCAGAATGACGTACGTTTTGGCTCAGTGAAGGGGAATGAATGTGGGAGTGGCTTCGCGATAGAGAGCGGACTACAACGACACTGTTTGAATTGAATATTTAGGTCCTGTGAATTCAACCTTCCGTGACATACGCGCATTGGCATGAAAGGTACCGTCCGGGTAAGTGTACCTTGTTTTCTGGTCTATTCTAATGATACATCCTTTCCTATGAACACAACACCAAATTAATATACAGCATATATTACCATATATAGGGTACGGCTTGCCAAGGGGCAGTCAACCAGTTGGAGCTGGCTCTTTATTAATATTCAATGTAATCGTACAAACTCCCGAATAAATCCACTGGATTAAAAACCAGAGATAAAACTCAATGAGCAAAAACTCTGGAAAACCTTGTGGTTGCCAGCAAGACAAAACGTTTCGAACGTTTACATAAAGCTATTTTTTAAAGCTGATCCACTCTCTGTTTGTTCTTAACTGACCTGAAGTCGCAAGCTAGAATGATCCCCCACGCCTTCGCCTCACATGTTCTACGTACATTCTATGCACGTCTTTCATATTCAAATTTGACACACCCTTTCCACCCTTACATGCACTACCGCCTCGCGGAATTCATTCCTCAACCGATTAGACAAATTTTGCCTGCTATACAACCGTAACGCAGGCAAAGATTATTCAAGTTTGCGCGGTAACGTGAGCTATGTTTGTTTAACTCAGTCTTGTGTGCAAGTAGACGCAGGCCTGTCCGGTAAGTATGTGGTGGAGTATTGCATGTGTTGCAGATAAATTGGGAATCTGCAAAATTACAATAGTGCCTGGCAAAGTGGGAATGCATCCAGTACTTGTACATGAATCCATTCGAATCAAAGTTGTAATTCAAATGATTCCTACTTTGCCCAGGTCCAGCAATAGCGTGATGTGAGAATGTTGCCGATGATCACTTCAGGCACCTTCCCCTTAGATTCTCGTGAGAAGTCGGCCTAGCCTTCCAAAATATTGTAACTCATCAACTTGATTCCCACTTTGCCCAGGTTTTGCTACAGCGCAATGTGGGAATGCTGCCCATAAATTGTCAACAGATAAATTTTGGTTAGCATTTTTGCTGCATTTCCACTGCATTGCCTTTTTGCAGCGCAGTGTTGGAATTCCAACTTTGCCCTGGGCAAATTCCGAATTTGCCCATATTCCCACATTGCGCCTTACATACATGTCCTGAACTTTTTTTAGATACTTCAATTTATTTGACATCTTTACCAGCTGGCGGACATATTAGCCTAACGTGCTCTTTCGCGAGTAATTCCGTGTGTGGGAAGGACGTTAGCAGCCCAGGCACGCCAAAAAGAAAAAGAAAAAAAGGCGATAATCGAGTTTAGAGGTTTTGTGCTCCCACTTATAAATCAATAATCACATAAGGCTGAAATTTTGACGCATGAAATACTCACTGACCTCGATGTATCATGTAGTTTGATTTCAACTTCTTGCAAACTCCATTCCAGCAGAGATGAAACGCCCACTAACGTGTTAAAATTGAATGTTACTGTTTGACAGAAAAGGACTGTGATCAAGAAAGCTGGCATTATGGTGGAACGGGAAAGTAGCCCTTCCGATCCCAGTGTGAGCGTAAGTGTTGTTCCTTCTGGAAGGAGATCGTCCAGTGATGAAAGGGTTCACCTGCGACGAGAACTCGGATTGATAAAAGGTAAATTCAATCCCAACAGTGCATTCAAAAAATTGTTTTATGAATATCAGTCTTGACGTCATTATCTTCCCATACTGTCCCACAAAGACCACATCTCCCAGCTGACCACACAGTTTTCGTGCCTCTTAATTTTGGTCGAGGGTAACATTTTTGCTTTGTCTTGCTGTTTTTCTCATCCCTTAAGCAATTTCCATCGTGATGGGGTCTATCATTGGATCCGGGATCTTTATCTCACCCCAAGGCGTCTTACGAGGAACACAAAGTGTCGGGCTAAGCTTGATCATTTGGCTTGTGTGTGGACTGGTCTCCTTGGCTGGTAAATACGGCAGTTGCTACGTCTTATTATAGCATTGTCTCAACTATTATAGTTGGTACGAATCCAACTAGAGTTTGGTTCGTCTCAACTATAGTTCAGATTCCAAAACTATATGTCCCACATAGAGTCTGCGTCTTACTATTTTTGAAATACAAAACCATAAAGTAATTTTTTTTTAGTGTTCAGATACTTCTCATCCTTGGCCTAAATCCCAATGAGTTTCATTTAATTTCAGTCACGCATCACTGCAAAATGGTCAATTCATCATAACATTTTTGGACACTGTGACCAAGTTCCTCGCCTTAATCAATTTTAGTGCTGTGTAAAATCCTGCATGTTGTGCAAAAAGGTTGATGTGGTTTAGGATTGGAATCATTTGCCCTTGAGCGTTAAACTGAGGTCTTGCCATGATGACTGATAGCCAGGCAAATGATTCCAATCCCAACTGCAGCCCTTTTCACAACATGCAGGATTGTATACAGTTTGTGCAACACGGCACTGAAAATCATTAAGGCAAGGAACTTGGTCACATTATGTTGTGATCAATTGACAATTGCGTAGTGATGCGTAGTTGATGTAGTTATCATTATTGATGTAGTTATTGAGTGGTCGAGCACAACCCGACCACTCTTTGGATCTGTTAGGATTAATTGAGTGGTCGGGCACAACCCGACCACTCTTTGGAGTTGTTGCGATTAATTGCTTTTCCGCTTCAAAGCGGAAAAGCACAGTTTTTGTTCCGATTTTTGGCTTTTTCGCAATTTGCGAAAAAGCCTTTGTTTTTGTTCTGATTTTTTTTCTCTTCTTTTTGATCTTTTTAGGTCCACCTCAAATTCCATTGACTTTGTACACGTTTTTCAAAATATAGAAATTAGCCTCAAATAAAAGGAAAACAAGATTTCTTCCCATAACCGATTGAAATCGCGCCTCACCAGTTTTCCTCACATATCTGAATGCTGAAAATTAATATTTCCACAGCGTGTAGCCACAAACTTTTCCGTCGTAGAGTCAGTGCACAATTTTATTATGCCCATGCAAAAGAAAAAAAACATGAAAGCCATTTTATGATATGATTAGCATATGTTGCATGAACTCAAACGACGTTAGAGACTCCGGCAAGTCTACCAATAGTCCCAACTGGTTGTATGCTTGAGTAGCCATCCATGCAGCACCAGATGTGCGCTTCCTGATAGGCCTACAAGTCTTGTCGAGGTAAAGCAACAAGTTCAACTGCAGGTTGTGTGATTATAAATTTTGTTACGTCATCATGACGTTATCAGGTATCAAATTACAAGCGATTTAAGGGCAAATTTTGACAAAATAGTTTGCGTTATATCTTTTGAACTAAATAGAGTATCGTGTTCGTTTTTTTCGTGAGTTGTAGACTATGCCGTGAGAAACATTTTGTGTTCCCAGACACAAAACCGCATGACCTTTACTTCCGGTGTTACCGGAAGTGCAATAAAAACAGAATATAACTCAAAAGCGGAAGCATTTTACTACAGACACATATATTATGAAAGTGTTTAGTGAGGAATGCCAGACACAAAAACAGTGTCACAACTATAGTTCGGGCCATTGTTATATATTTGGGGCGTGTCATGGATAACCGTTTAATTTTCTGCCCATATTTTACATCATGGTCAAGGTTAAAAGCACGTCAACAATATAAATTACACCAAGGTTGTTTTTTGTTATATTAAACAGTTAAGTAGATTCATTGCTGCAGGCTATAAACGGCAATTAGTAGTCACATCTACCCTTAAAATTAGAAAGCCTGTCGAATGTTAAATGCATTTTCCCCAAATGCAAAAACATCTTTTATGGTCTATCGTAAACCACCAACATGATGCATAATTTTCCGTTCATTGTATTTATTAGAGACCTTCTCGAGATGTGGGCTACAAACTAGAAAAGAGAGGGGAAAATGAACGAAAACACGTCCTAATGATTAGAGAAAGGTGTTTGCATTTCTTTTTTAAACGTTACAAAGTTTTAAGTGGAGAAAGAAGGGAGTTTCATAGTACGGAGCTCTGAAGGTTCCATCAAGGATGGTGAGATCATGAGATAATATGCAGGATGACGACATCTTGCTTGTTGGATATCGGCATCCTGAAATAATTGTGCACAAATCACAGGATAACGACATTTAATAAACAGCTGTATACTGATGATGACGTCACACTTTGTTTACTTGTGCTATGGGGCTACGAAACCATCATTCCCACCAGGCTCCCATTAGAAAGCACACGTGTAAACAAAGTATGACGTCATCTACGTCTACCTTTCCAACGATTGTTCAAAGGTACTTTGCGTCCTGGAATGCGCCCAATTGGGCTACAAAACGCATTTTAAACGAAATTATGTCAATTGAAAAGGGCATTGAAAAGTAGGATATCATCCACACAACCATCCTTAAAAACTGGGCGTTTTTTTGGTGCTATTCTTGCGATGGTGCGCGAGAACGAAAATCGGGGGTCAAAAAATGTGACTCATGTTGTGGTACTAGTCGTGATTCGAGTCGCGCACATGTCCGTTTGAAAAAAAAAATTGCTACAAACCACTGCTATTTTAATTACCGCAGCTATTTGCGGGTACCAGTCTGATGCTGTCACCGCGCCGAGAGCCCATAATTCATTGATTTATTTACGACTAGAAATACGTATAGGCCTACGTATGCCACAGAATGTCCGCCACGTCCGATGTAAACAATCGTATTTTTTCGGGAACGTTAAGACATTAGGTTAGTTTCCTTTCAACCAGACCTTTGAAATAGGATAAGTAAACAATCCAAAACATAAATTTTGGAGATTTCAATCCGTAATGCCTCTTTAATTTTATTCAGGCGCTCTATGTTTTGCTGAGCTGAGCATCGTCACGGGCAAATCTGGAAGCCAGTACATTTACCTGAAAGAAGCCTACGGTGATATCCCGGCATTCCTCTACTCCTGGACCTCAAGCCTCCTCATGCGACCAGGGGGTCAGGCCATGGTCACGCTGGCCCTGGGGACGTACATGGCTGAGTTCCTCGTACCCGGAGACTGTCCGGTCCCAGATATTCTCATCAAGTTGTTTGCTGTGTTGGTTATCAGTAAGTAGTCTGGTTCACGACACAACAATTCTGCGCAACAGCGAAGCGCGGGAAATATTGGCCTTAGATGAACAAGCTCACCAGTCATATATTATGTCATCGGAAATAATTCTGGACTGGTTCTATAGACTCATTTTGATAAGCATACAGAGTTGTAAATATATATATATTTTTGCGTAACCTGTTTGTAACATGTCACGTGCAATAATTGTTTGTCCAGCCGATTTCAACTGATGCAGTCTAACATCTGCAGTTGGTATGATCAGACACTTCAAGTTTTGCTTTCATTTTTAATATTGGCTGAGATAAACAAAAAACAAAAACGAAAACAAAACCAAAAAAACGAATGCCCCCATCCAGTTGCCTGGATAGAGACGTCTGTTGTATCTTTTGACATAGTTTGTGTGGGTGTTTTTCTACAGCGTTCACGGGGTTTGTAAATGCCGTCAGTGTCAAGTGGACAACCCACCTCCATGTTGTTTTCACGGTGTCAAAGGTCATCGCGTTGCTCATTATCGTCGCTGTCGGTGTGTGGATGATGATACAAGGTGAGGGAGGGAAGGGATCGAGGAGATAGGGTCGCAAAGTCGAAGGGGACCAAAAAAACAGCCATTAATAGAACAGATTATAAAAGAATGGTTGGAATTTAGTGGATTCTAAAATCAAAATGAGAAGAAAAGGGCACGTGAAGGAAAGGAGTGAGGATGAACTACCTAATGACATTACATTTTGGTTTCATAAGATTCATATTGTTTTGATTTGCAATATTACACGGAAGAAAATGTGTCACGGTGATATTATCGATCGTGCCGTTCAGCTGTTGCTTGCCTCTGATAATGGCAATGATGGTGGTGGTTCATGTACTAATCACTGTGATATGGTAGAAATCGGTAAAATAAGGGAGTGCATCAAGGTGACTTTCTAAAAGAAGCTGTATACCTTAAACGGAGCTCTATTTTGCCTTGTGTTTGTCAGGTCACACTACACACATCAGTCCTAGTGTATCCTTCCACGGCTCCAACACGAAGGTCCTGACTCTCACAGCTGCTTTCTACCAAGGCTTGTACCCGTACGACGGATGGTACGTGTGAAATAAATAGACCGATTCACTTGGCCCGCCCTCTTTTGTTCTGTACTACTTCCAGTTTCTACATAACCCTCGAGGACAGACACACAAAGGGAGAACAACAGATCCTTCCAGTCCTCGGGAGTTGGGTCTTTTGTTCAAAACAGTCGTATGTGGTAGGTTTGTGTGCTTAGTCTACGGCAGAGTGTTATATTACAGGTACAAAGGAAAACACAAAGCATTGTCCTCGAGAGTATAGTAAAACAAGAGTGTTTGTTCCAATACGTGTGAAAAATGACGTCACATTTTTGTCAGACAACTTCAGAACATAAATGTAGATATTGCGCTTCCAACGAGAGCCAGTACTGGGGACCGGGCCCACGTGATTCTTTCCATATACAAGCCAACTTACGTAGAGAGGATAAGAGCAAAAAGATATTGGTTTCAGCATGACTTTAGGGCGCTTTTTTTCCTATCTTTCATGCAGGGGTTCTTTGAACACCGTGTACGAAGAAGTTAAAAATCCCAAAAGGTAATCATTATTATATTTTTCCTGAACATTCTTTTCACCAAAACTTTTGGATTTACACCCCAAATAAAGCACCCTAGCGTAATCAGAACTAGTTGAATTTCTGGCTAAATTCAACTTTACTGGTAATTTATTTTTCAACAGTGGTTTGGAAGGTAATTTAAGAAAAAGTACAAAACAAAGTTTCGTCGCCTTTTTTTTTGAACTTTTACTTTAAATTTCTTCTAATAGAAACGTTCCTCTTGCCGCCCTTATTGGTATACCGGTTACCATAGGGATCTACATCCTGGTCAACGTGTCGTATCTCACTGTCCTAACACCTGATGAGCTCATCGCATCTGACGCAGTCGCAGTGGTTGGTATTGCTCATGATATATGCGCATAAATTTAAATATTTAAGTTTAATTTGCATACAATTTACAACAGTCTTATTATCTCTTTTCGGTGCATATTGCAACACACTTAGTGTATGACTTTTTCTGTAGTTAATTAGCATATTCTGTGATTGGTTTCTCAGGTATGTTTAATTCAATTTGTTTTCTTTTACATAAGTTCAAGTTTAAATGTTACTCTTTTGTGTTTTACAATTACGATAATTGATTCATCTTTGTGTATGCCATGAATGACATCATCTATTTAAATACACCCTTTTTAACGCAGTGGACAAAAAACTATTTTGAATCAAAACAAAATTAATCGAAATTTAATTATCCGTAATATCCATTACCGAAGTGTTTCTTTCTTGCTTTCTGTTTAGGCTTTTGCCGAGCGATCTCTGGGGGTAATGTCTTGGGTAATACCCCTCGGTATCTGCATATCTATCTTCGGTGCTTCCATGGGTTCTGTCTTGTCCGATGCCAGGTGAAGACGATTGGGGGAATTTTTCACATTTTCCGCCGGCCATTTTCGCTCGCGTAAAGCCATATATTTTGAGCGAATGGATCTTGACGTTGTAGCAATGCCATTTGTTTTCGTGCAAACGGTAGAAATATCATGTTTAGTATGTTTGCTTCAGTCTTAAAAAAATAAAATCAAAAGATTTAAGTTTTTGTAATTTAGCAACGTGAAAATTAGGCATACCTATAATATATTATAAATCCTTGTTACATGTTATCTACAGGCTTCCGTACGTGACGAGCCGTGAAGGTCACATGGTACACATTCTGAGCATGATCAGTATCAACAGAAGAACTCCTCTGCCTGGTATTTGTCTGGAGGTAATCACGTGATGTCGGTCTGTATAATAATGCGAAAATTTCCGAGATAATTTTTTCAAGATATTACATTGTACTTCAATACCAGATCAGACCTCACACTCTGTTGAGATGTATGAAAAGTTTAGATAGGCCTATATCAAAACTTTTAGAGGAGTAACAATGCTATTACTGTTTGTCCCCTATAATGCGTGCATGACAGGTCTTGATTGCGCTGTTTCTGATAGCCATTGGTTCGTTCGACACCTTACTGTACGGTCTGAGCTTCGCTGGCTGGGGGTTCTACGGCGCAGCAGTCATGGCCGTCCCAGTCCTCCGCTACAGACAACCCGACCGACCAAGACCCTTCAAAGTACAATATTTCAATTATTTTGTTGTAGCAGATGCCATTTTTTATAACAAAGTGAGCATGCGCTAGAATGCAGACAGGGGCTGTGTGCTGCCACCAAGAGTCTGAGATTTCGGGCTTTTTGCTGCCACCAAGAGTCTAAGAATTTGGGCTGTTTCCTGCCACCAAGAGTCTGAGATTTCGGGCTTTTTGCTGCCACCAAGAGTCTAAGAATTTGGGCTGTTTCCTGCCACCAAGAGTCTGAGAATTCGGGCTTTTTGCTGCCACCAAGAGTCTAAGAATTCGGGCTTTTTGCTGCCACCAACAGTCTCATCAACCTATTTGTTTTCGTGAGACGGATCTGTCATTTCTGTACAAGGCGCCACGACATTTGAACAGACTTCCAGTCGGGCTGTGGGGATAACGCTACTCCTTTCACCAAGGGGTCATTTAAACACAAATTTACCATTTTTGTTTGTACTATGTTTCTCTTTAGGTGCCCATCATTCTGGCGATGTTAGTTTTCATCTGCTCTCTGTACCTCGTTATTTCTCCGTTCGTAAACGGACCCGACATCGAGATCATCTACGCATGTCTGTTTATCCTGTCTGGGCTCGTCTTCTATTTTCCTTTCGTCCACTTTAAGTTGCGGCCTCGCGTTATGGGTAAGTGTATTACATTGTAAATAAATACAACTTAAAATGTTCATTTTTATTGCAAGAAATTAGGCATGCCCCCCAAAAAAGGAAATAAATAACAACATATGTTTTAAAGATTAAGAATTAATGCAGTACGTTTTAAAAAGAGATCAAGGTACCAGTCACGTGGCACAGGAGAAAGAATGTCATTGGTCAGTGCTGAATGACAGGTTGAAATCTTATTCTGATTGGCCGATATTGGTTCTTCCAGTTTCAAGGTCAAAGTTCAAGTTGGCATCTAGACATTAGTTGAATCTCAAAAAAGTGTCTAATGTGATGAAAAAAAAATCGAAAAATAAACAAAATCAATTACAAATAAATATTTAAAATCACCAATGCAACTTTTTTTTTTCAATTTCAGGTCGCATTACAGCATTCCTGCAAAAGCTGCTGATTGTTGTTCCCTCAGATTATGTGGAACCAGAGTAAAGTTATGGATCCTTCTGAATATTCATGGTCGATTACACTAAAGACGGGGACTTCAAAATGGTGTAACATTGGTTAACATAACCAATCATTGGTTGAAATAACCAACAATTGGTTTATATGTGTCCAACCAATCGATTGGTTGGACACGTATTAGTCAATCAAGTTGGTTAACCCAGTCTGTTTTTAGACTGTAGAATCATCCATATCATAATGCATATTCATGAAGGAATTTGAACCTTGTAAAATGCATGCTTAATTACGCCTGAATTATGAAACCATAAAACATGCAATCCATTATGGTATAGAGCATTGCATGCATACTTTTACCAAACTAAACTATTTATTCATTAAAACCAATGATACATTGAACTATTTAACTTTCAATTTCACTATAAAAAAGTGGTCTATATTAATATTTAAACTTATGAATATTCGATAATGAATGTTTTTCTTGTAAAGATAGGTGCCAGGTGTTAGTAAGGTATTGGGATTTTTCAGTTAGCGCCGAATATCATTAAGGTATTTTCATTTTGAGGTCAGAAGGGACTTTTTGGAAATTAAAGTAAGTAGATAAGTAGGAGACGATTAGTTGTTTTATTGGAACATCCCGTGAAAATGGAATAGCGCCACCTATTGTTTGACATTGACCATTATGTCGGTTTCGAACAGCGCCCTCATGGGAAGAATATGTGTCGAGCCCCCCCCCCCCCTGCAAAAATGAAGAATACAAGTATTAGTTGAGATATAAAGGCCAGAAGAGGTGGCAAAACAACCTTGTTCCCCATGGGTACGATCTTGCTGCGCCATGTTGGTTCCCATATCATGCCTTGCGCGATCTTAACCCCTGGAACTGTGCAATATAAAGGCATATTCGAAACTCGCACGCTTATAAAACATTCTTCTGCCACCAATCGTCTGGGTATAGCACATTTCATGTGCCCGCCATATGTTCGCACGTCCCATCAACATTAATTAACTTTCCAATTTTAATCAGTATAGTTCTTTCTGTTCCTTTTCAGTTTACATTACCCCATTTATACCAACTTGACACTTTTAAAGGTAGTTGCTTCCATTTCTCTTTTCGACATTATTAACGGAATGAGGGATGTCGATCAAAACACACTTTTTAATTTCCATAATTTTTTTTAAATCTTCCGTTCCTGTCCTCGTCTCGCTGTTCATACAGAAGATGTTTCTGGTTGCTCCATCCTCATATCTCGAGACGATAAATAAGGAGACTATGACACCATCCAGGAGGCGGAACGCATTTTAATGAAAGTAGAGATATATATTTCGCAGTTCGCTGAAACACCATCCCAAATAACTGGAGCAAATCTACTAACGAAGCTGCATGTTTTAATTGTGTTCATAAACAGATTACGTTGATCAGAAAATAAATATCCTGTCGCACACTAACCATCGAGTTAGCACCACCGAATAATCACAAATGCTAAAAAATCACAATATTTTAGAAACATTTACCAATTAACAGTTATAGGTCCGAAAGTAGTTTTTTAACAATATAATTTTAGGTAAGAGGTTTAGTGCATAACCTTTCGCTGTATTGGATATGGGTTAATAATTGTGTTCAATAACTTTTATGTTCAATATAACATTTAATTATAACGTCAAAGACCTTTAAATACGGTACTACGTTACAGTGATACCCAAAGCTGAACTAAAACTTAAGTCGACAATGGACCGATCCAGTAAGCCCCGCCCACTGCGCACTGAGCAAATAAACACGTGCTCCTCTCCAACGCCACACTGCATTTTCTTGCCGCGCGCATCATACGCGCGTGCACGCACGTCGGACTTTTGTGCACGCACGTCGGACATAAATCACGGCTGTCATTGGTCAGAACACCATGGGGCGGTGCTTACTGGATCGGTCCGTTGCAGATACAGGAGAGAAGAGCAGTTTGAAGTTTGTTCAAGTTTTTTTTTCTTCAATAAAACGGTATCATTCAAGTCTTTTCATGTGTACCAAACTGTGTACGGTGTTGGGGAGTAACTTTTTAACGCGTCCAAATAAGTACGAACGCGGTCACAGAAGGTTTAAATAAACTCAATATTACAATTCCAGAATTCCTCTGTCAAGTGTTCTTTGATAGTTACTTGATGTAAACTATTTGACCAGTGTCATTTGCACATCTGGTCCACGGTACTGCATGGAAACGTATAATGCTTGATATGGCCTGTATGCAGAAATACTACCCGAGATTATGCAAAAGAGACGAATTATAAGGGCTGTTCATGTCATAAGTTTGGTCGACGTGGGTAATATTCAAACATATTTATTGTCACGTAACCATATGGAAAAGTATTAATTACAATTGCTTCGAGGGCAACATGACCTCACGACATATACTGATGCTTTTTACATAGGCCCATGATTTTGTTTTCCACCAGAATATTTAATTTTACTTATAACAACGCGGTGTCTTTCTACCTAAAAGAGCAATACGTTATTTTGTTTAAGTATGGAAACTTAAACAATGTACATCAACGTTTGGGGGTCGACTGCAAAAACTTGTTATAACTTTAATATTTGAAGATTGTATTTCCAAGACGCGATATGCGTCATTGTGTTCCGTTTAAGAACCCTGCCCTATCCAAGCTGCCAAAAAGCAATGTCGACGGCTGTTATATTCTTAAACACAACTTAAGAATACAATAAAGCGAAAAATTAAGGTTGAAAACAGCTGTCATACTTTTTCTTATTTTTTTTTAAAGGTTATAACCGTGCAAAATTTTCACCGATTTCAAATGGATAGGCCTATGCCGCGTTTGTGGAAATAAACTCTTCTCTCTTGTGTGTGAGCATGCTTTCGTAGTCGATATGTCAGAGGTCAATGTAATTATTAATCCTACACTTGTTGCAAATTATGCAAAAAAGCCTCAGCCTCAGGTACAGTTTCCAATTCCATAATTGTTGTTCCGGAAATTAGGCACAAGTTCTGCTACTTCACCTATAATTATATTAGTTTGTTGCATAGGCGTTGGGGATTATTATATCATAATATGTAGGCCTATGCTTCTTTTTAATAAATGAGACTTGTAGGTTGCATAAAGTGGACATGACCTTAGTATGAAAGGTGTGCTAGAACACCTAGTGGATCTCTGTTGAGTTGTGTGTTTCTGAGTAGAACCAGTTTTTTCAAAACAACTGAGTTAAAACAACTGGTTCTTAAAACTCAAGAGAGATGAAATTCCCATGCTGTTACCACAATTACCGTCCATATGTATGCTTTGTGATCAGTCGTGGGTTTCCAACACGAAATTCATGCAGACCTTGCTTGACCCACTGGCTCTGGCTCAATGAAGGGGAACCATGAAGGAGAGGCCTCACAATAGAAAGGGCAGCAACGACATTGTTAGAATTGAATATTTATAGGTGCTGTGAATTCAACCTTCTGTCCGCACGAAAGGGAACGTCCGGGTATTAAAGTTGGCTTTGTATAGTGGTTTTCAGTACCAGTTCCCACTGCAGTGTGGGCTTGTGTACTGTCTTGTTTTCTGCATGTAAAGAAGACGCAGGCGTAGTATATCCGGTGTGTTGTGAAGTATTGCATGCATGCTGTCCTGTACTTTTAAAGATATTCTAAACTATTCGTCGACCTGCTCTACAGATGTCGGACGAAAGCCTACTAAGTCACAAGGTAACTGTACGTCTTCCTTATCTTGTTTTACGGGACCGTGAATTTACACACGAGGACCCTAAAATTATGAACGGTCGCACCGCAATGTCCGTATGGTATTGAACAGACTGGGACCTGAAGTGCTCAAAACGATGAAAAAGAAGATCAGGCCAACTTTGTCTCACTCTTAAGACAGCAAATTTCTCCAAAACTTTCAATGGGCAAAGGGAAGGTCCTTGATGTCACCAACAAAGTTTGAAGACTCAATTCAATTTTTAAAGGAGACTTTTCTTCAATATTTGGCTGTGGCTTGCACATGAGAGGGAAGTCCAGTGATTTCAAAATGAGGCTGCTAGACTTGTGCATGTCCGTCCATGGTCCAACTGTTTGGCAAGACTTACTTCTTCATTCATAGTCTGGTGCCTGACTTTGGAGAAATGTGTAGAAATAGTGACCTAGTACCCGACATCCTAGATATTTCTTTGGCACAGTCAGCCGACAGTTGATTGATGCAGTACTGAAGCGCTGTTCGACTGGTTGTTTCAGGTGCCAGTCCATTTTGCACTGTATGTATTGCATGTTTTCAATACCTTAAGTTTTTGGACACAGTATAAGTCCCACATTTTCGGACTTGGTCAGTATTGAGCATGTTTTGTATACTGTAACGGCAGACGAGTACAGTCGTTCATTTGAAAACTTAACAGTACATACAGGATAGTTTGGTGACCTTCGCTTCTGACACGTAAACAAGACAGTGGCGTAATTAGATTCAGTGACCGAATAAAGAGGATTTGGATTGGGGGAAATTACTGACTTAGGCAATAAATAATGCAAAATAAACCAGGTGAGTCGCACTGGCATACCCGTGCTTAGGGCCTATCGTGGTGTAGTTTCATCTTCTTTCTAAAATTGGTTTCCTTTTCTCTGGAGTTTGTCCCCTCCGTTGCTTTTTTGACGAAGAAACCCTGCTTCATGACGTTTCTAGCTGTCACTACCTCTCTTTTTGTTATGCCCCGCCCCGTCCCATATGGGCTATAAAAATCCTCGGTGTGTCATGTAGTTTGATTTCAACTTTTGCAAATTCCATGCCAGCAGAGAAGGAACAGCTACTAACACTGGTGAACATTTTTAACGCTTGATAGAAACGGACCATGAACAAGAACATTGGTGTAATGGCGGAACACGACAGTAGCCCTTCCGATTCCAGTGGGAGCGTAAGTGTTGTTCCTTCTGGAAGGAGATCCTCCAGCGATGAAAAGGTTCATCTGCGACGAGAACTCGGATTGGTAAAAGGTAAGATTGGAATTGAAGGCCCCATGCAAGGTAATGTTTTTAATACAATCCGTGTAAATGTGCCTTTATGACCACTTTAAACTGATTTTAAATTTTCATTTTGCAATTTTTAAGGTCATTTGGTGCCTTTTTATTGTTTATGCCAATGTATATTTGCATATTCATGGGCAAATGTGTGATGTCATTTCAGGCAGAAACCTCAATGTTACAGTTATTTCAGCACCAAAGTTTACCAGAATTTTGGATTTTTTGCTATCGTAAATTTTCGTTTCTTGCCTCGTTGTTGCTTCAGTACATGACAGCGGCCAAAGAGCAACATTTTCTCAAAAATGTTTTTTCAGAACAGTGTCTTCCTGAAATGACATCACAGCAATAGCGCCCTCATTTGTCAGGAAATGCATGGGAAATGTTATATGTTTAAAGAAGTGCACTTTTCAATACAATTCAACCCTAAATGGGTTGTCAAATAGTTTTCATACATTTATAAGAGGAGCAGAAAGTTGCACAAAACATGTTCCAAGATTGTCTGAAATAAATAGATTATCTGAGTCTATCCTCCGTACCGGAGTCGTTCACTGTTTTTGTGTCTCTCTCAGTTTTGGTCAAAGGTAATATATTTTCTGTCTCATCCATCTTTATATTTATGCTCTAATATCATCCCTTATAAGCAATTTCAATCGTGATGGGGACTATCATTGGATCCGGGATCTTCATCTCACCTCAAGGAGTCTTACGAGGAACACAAAGTGTCGGGCTGAGCTTGATCATTTGGCTTGTGTGTGGACTGGTCTCCTTGGCTGGTATGTTGGTCGTTACGCCCCAAATACACTGCAAAAAAAACTTTGGTCAACTTTTGCCCAACTTTTTTCCCAACGTTGGTACAATAGTCAACATCCACATCTGTCGAGCGAAAAATGCCCAGCGGCCGTTGGGCAAACATGTTTACCTAAAACTTGGGAAATATTACAGACTGAACAGTTGGGTACTATTAATCATCCGTTAGTTGGGTTAATGTAAAGAACCAATTGTTGGAAAGCCATTAACCGAAAAATGGTTAAAAAAATTTGACAAGTTGTTGATTAATATTTTCTCAATTATTGGTTACTAAGAAGAGTCATATGTTGGGTACTATATTGTATAGATTTGCTCAATTTTAGGGCAATTATGTTGACCATTGGTTGGTGTTTGCGGAATGCTTAAAATAAGGGATACCGTTAAAGCGAGGCTTGTTTTGTTTTATTACAAACATCATCAGCAAACAGCAAACTTTTGAACACTTTTGAACATTTCTAAACTTAAAACTTTGAAGCAGAACCCTTTAAAGCATTTAAAGGGGAGTTGATTACGCTGGATGAGTTTTTTTTAATAATAATCTTTTTAAAATACGATTTTCAAAGAGATGGTTTAAATTAAATCTGCAAAGTTTTCCTTGATCAACTGACAATAATACGTTGATGGCTTGGTGTTCAAATATTTCAGAATTAAATATAACTCGAGTCCAGACAACATAAAAACATATGTTGATGACTTGGTTTTCAATTACTACATACTTAAAATAACTCAATTCAAGCATGTTCTGAAAATATTTAAAAATACAAAATTTCAAATATATAACGATGATTGCATTATGTTAAAATCCAAACTGTACAAAATTATGTTTGATATTGGAATTGGGTCCTTTATGTGCAAAATGGTAGATGCGTCTCAGGGTAACATGGGTAAACCCCCCATTAATGTTTGGCTTTGAGTCTGTATTTGTCTAATAAACTGTTATTAAACATGTCTTTCAAACATATAAGGCATTTTAACCAATGTATCTATAACACTCTACATTTGTGGAGGATATATTCATTTGTGGGATATTTTTTTTTAATAAAATACGATTTTCGAAGAGATATTTAAAAATGAATAGGCAAGATTTCCTTGATCATCAGACAAGTACGTCATAAAAATAAATTACAAGAATTTTATTGAATTTTTTTTATTGAACAGTTAATAAGTAGATGTTTTTCCATAGGCTACAAACGGCAATTACTGCCCTTAAACGGCAACTGCCCTCAAAATAATGTTAATGTTAGTGTGCATTTTTCCACAGGCAAAAGAAGAAAAAAAAACCTGTTATGATCTATCGTAAAACACTAACATGATGCAATTTTTTTTTCATTCATTGTTAGAGTTAACAATTTATTTTATTTATTTGAGACTTCCTCGAGATGTGGGCTACAAACTAGAAAAGAGCAAAAGAAACAGAACGAAATGACGTCCTTATGAGTAGAGAGGGGTGTTCGTATTTCTTTTGAATCGTTAAAAAATTGTTAAGGAGTTTCATAGTACGGAGCTCTGAAGGTGCCATCAAGGATGGTGAGATCCTGAGAGAATATATAATAGGATGACGACATCTTACACGTGAGTTTTCGACATCCTGAGATAATTTTGCGCAAATCGCATACAGCTAATAAGCCTTTGTACTGATGATGACGTCACACTTTGTTTACTGGGCTACGAAACTGTCGTCCCCACCAGGCTCACATGAGAAGGCACATAATGTAAACAAAGCGTGAAGTCATCATTACAGAGGCTTATACACGTTTAAGATGTCGACTTCTAGGTCTACCTTTCCAGTGATATTTTAATTTTATTCAGGCGCTCTGTGTTTTGCTGAGCTGAGCATCGTCACAGGCAAATCTGGGAGCCAGTACATTTACCTGAAGGAGGCCTACGGTGATATCCCGGCATTCCTGTACTCCTGGACTTCCAGCCTCCTGACACGACCAGGGGGTCAGGCCCTGGGGACCCTGGCCATGGGGACGTACATGGCTGAGTTCCTCGTACCCGGAGACTGTCCGAGCCCAGATATTCTCATCAAGCTGTTTGCTGTGTTGGCTCTCAGTAAGTTTAAGGTAGTCCGGTCCACAACATAACACTTTCATGTAACTGCGAAGTGCAGGAACTATTTCCTTAAATATTACAAGCTGACCAATGACGATGTCATCGGAAATACTCTTCGCTGAGCACACCGACTTGCAAATATAATTTTGTTACTTTTGCGACTTGTCAGTATTTTGTCTAGCCCGTATTTTTGGGTTCTTTTTATTCTGAAGCATGAGTATGGCAACCTTACATCTGCATTTTACATGAGAAGACACAGCAAATGGTGCTTTCATATTCAATGAACCTATAAAGTAATCGAACATTTCTATCCAGTTGCCATGATAGAAGTTATTGGTTCACCGTTTAACAAAATCTGTGTGTTTTTTCTTCTTCAGTGATCGTGGGGTTTGTGAATGCCGTCAGTGTCAAGTGGACAACCCACCTCCATGTTGTTTTCACGGTGTCAAAGGTCATCGCGCTGCTCATCATCGTCGCTGTCGGCGTGTGGATGATGATACAAGGTGAGTTAGGGTTGCAAGAGTTAGGGACAAAATCGGTCAGAAATGTAACAGATTGAAGGAGAATGGTTGGATTTTTTTAGTTGATTTGAAAATCGAGATAAGGTGGCCAAAAAGACGCGCACGAGGAGGAAATGAGTGAGGAAAACGATGAGACTCAATCAAAGAGAATAATTAGTGGGAGTGGAGAGTAATTATCACACAGGTGTGAAGTACGTAGGGGAACGGCTTCGAACTAATTAAGAAAAGGGTAAGCGATTTTGGTTTTAATGATGATTCATAATGTATTTGATTTGCAACATTAGAGGCAAGAAAAATATGTGACGATGATGTTATGGATCGTGTTGCCTTCTAGTAATTAATGGCTGTGATGGTGGTGTTACTGTTGCATGGTAGGAAACAATTGGTGAAATGCGGGCGTGTCACACCTGCATTTAAGACAATTTTTTTTAGAAGATGGTGTATCAATAACCTTATGGAACTCTATTTGTCAGGTCACACTACACACATCAGTCCCAGTGTATCCTTCCGCGGCTCCAACACAAAGGTCCTGACTCTAACAGCTGCTTTCTACCAAGGCTTGTACCCGTACGACGGATGGTACGTACGTGTATACTGATCTGATCCACTAAGCCCCGCCCAATGTTGTTTTGACCAATCACAGCCGTGATTTATGTCTGACGGGCGTGTATTAATGTCCGACATGCGCGTGCACTCGCATGTGACGCGCGCGTTTGGTAAAATGCAATGCATTGATGAGGCCCACGGACAAAGTGGGCGGGGCCCAATGTATTGGTCATGATTTTTACATGACAACTTCAATGCAGGAATGCAGATATTGCGAGTTCTAGACTTTTAAATCCCTATTGTAGGTCTACGCGATTCGTTCCACACAAGCCAACGTGGGGAGAATATGAGCGAAATATGTTGGCTAGAGTTTAGCATGACCATATTAATGTAAGACCAAAATTTAGACTGACCCTGAGCACACATCCCTGATACCACTCTCACAACAGGTGTTCCACATTACACCCAAGGTCTTCACGTCACTCTTTTCCAAGCAATACACCCACAGCATACCAAGACTGTGATTTAACCCTTGTACAGGGGAAAGTGACCTCATAAGGGTACTCCCCCAGACTGACCATTACGTCAGTCCATGGTCAGTCTACCTTTACTCAGAAATGATGTCATATAAGTTATGTTTTCCTTATATGACATCATCTCCTATTTTCACCACAAGTGGTTCCTCTGAAACTGTATAAAATGTCCACATTTTCCCACTTTCATTGAGTTCTTCTTCTTCTCCCTGGGAAACCAGAGGCATAGCCATAAGCTGATTCAGCCCTATGCTCTGGCCAGTCTTCATCTACAAAACTCTTCAGAACCTCTTTCTTCTGTCTGAGTGTCTCCAACTTCCGTATTCTAGTACCCAGCCATACCCATCAGCTGATGCAGCCGTATGGTCTGAGGTTATAGTTCTGTACATACACAATACCGGTAGAATATTGAGTTCTTGAAAATAAACCAGTTTTCCATATAGCTGAGCTCATAGTCATTACCAGTGTGTCTTTGTATAGTCTTCGTAGTCATCTGTTCATCCTGCTCTTAGCCACAGCTACCCTATCCTAACCTATAGAGTATAGTCAAACAAACCAAAGACTATAGCCAAATCTATATGTTACATTAAGCGCAATTTTTGTCTTTCATGCAGGGGGTCTTTGAACACCGTGTACGAAGAAATTAAAAATCCAAAAAGGTAATCATTATTATTTTTTTGATAATATTCTTAACAGTATTATTTTGGAATTTTACGCGCCCCAATAGCATCCTTCAATAATCAGAACTATAAATGTCTGGCTTAACTCAACTTATCCGGTAGATCAGATTTGTAATTTGTTCAACAGTAGTTTGGAAGGTAATTTAAGAAAAAGTGAGATAAAAGGAGGTGTTTTGTCGCCGTTTTTGTTGAACTTCTACTATACATTTCTTCCAATAGAAACGTTCCTCTTGCCGCCATTGTTGGTATACCGGCTATCATAGGCATCTACATCCTGGTCAACATGTCGTATCTAACTGTCCTCACACCTGATGAGCTCATTGCATCTGACGCAGTCGCAGTGGTTGGTATCACTCATAATATATGCGCATTAATTTGAATATTTAAATTTAAATCGCACACACTTTACCATAATAAAACGAAGCGCGCATCGGCTCGACCGGAAATGTCCACACAAGTTTAACGTGAGGAAATGACACATTTTTACACTAAATTCCTTGTATCTTCAGAACGGATCGACGGTCGCACAAATCTGGGGGTTGCAGATTATGAAAATTCTTTCTTCTGACTTTAAGTCTATCTATGTCTAGCTTGGAAAGGCAGAAAAACCACTGATCATTTTTTTAATGAAAATGTGGGGTATGGGGCAATTGCCTATGGAGCGGAACAGAAAATGACCGTTTGTGACAGACCTTTGGTTGTTTATCTCAACGTATCTCGAGAACCCAATGTCAGAGCGCACTGGGGGTAGCGGTTTTGTAAAGAGGATGAAGTTCTCTTTCCATTCATCGTCGCAAATTGAAGGATTTTATGTAAGGGATATTACGTCCGAATTTCAGCCCAGGAAATTAATTCTGGTTAAAATGGGAGCATTTTGAAAGTACACTTTCAAACTCGAAAATTTTAGTATGCGACAACAAAGAAGTGACTCCACAAGGATACAAATTCTAGTATATACGTGCGTTACGTTTGTTTTTAACCCTGCAGAAAGCTAATTTTATTTGGTCAGAATACAAAAATAATCATTTGAATAGCCTTTAGAATTATACACCAACATTGTACCTTCCTTGCTTTCTTTTCAGAATTTTGCCGAGCGATCTCTGGGGGTAATGTATTGGGTAATACCCCTCGGTATCTGCATATCTATGTTCGGTGCGTGCATGGGCAACGTCTTGGCCGACGCCAGGTGAACATTTTAAGCAACAAGTTTCCCCAAATATAGCTGCCGGTCATTTTCGTTAAAGTCCCAACAATCTAAAGATTTCACGTGTCCTTTTGTATTATTATTATTAATTAGCAACGTGAAAATGGACATACTCTTAAATCTAAATCATTTTGTTACATGGATTTTTGTGGGTTATCTATAGGCTTCCGTACGTGACGAGCCGTGAAGGTCACATGGTACAATTTCTGAGCATGATCAGCGTCAACAGAAGAACTCCTCTGCCCGGTATTTGCCTGGAGGTATAATCACGTGATGTCGGTCTGTATAATTATGCCAAAAAAAGCCCCAAAAATCCAGAGATAAAATATTTTAAGATATTACTTCAATACCAAATTAGGCCTATATACGAAATGTAGTCCATGAGTTAGTCCATAGGTTTTGCCACCATCTGAGGTGGCAAAACTAATTTAATTGGTAAATGAATTATAAGCCTGGAGAAGAATAAAAAGTGGCATCCTGTTTGGGGTCTGATCACTCGGGAGATGATAACAAATAAGCTACCACGCTGCAAATTAAGGTTATCATTATACTATCATATCAAAATATAAGCTAGAGATGTATTGTAATATAAAAAAAAACAGCAACTATATTTTGCAATCACAGGTGGTACCGGTATATGTGAATGTTTGGGTCCGGGCCCATGGACTAATGTAAATTCACACTCTGTTGAGCTGCAAAGTTACCAACACTATCAGAGGAGTTGTTAACAGTGTCATCACTGTTCTGTTTGTCCCCTATGAGGTCTTGATTTCGCTGTTTCTGATAGCCATCGGTTCATTCGACACCTTGCTTTATGGTCTGAGCTTCGCTGGCTGGGGGTTCTATGGTGCATCAGTCTTGGCCGTCCCAGTCCTCCGCTACAGACAGCCCAACCGACCAAGACCCTTCAAAGTACAAATAAAATTACTCTTTTTTTATTTTAGGGAGCGTCAATTTTTTTCTGCGCAAATTAATAAAAGTCTCAAAATATAAAAATTCACGTTATAACAACTTTTAAAGGAATGGTTGGTGGCAGCAGAGTTCATTTATTTTTATATTATGAGCATGCGTGCACTACTATACACACATTTGTTTTAGTTTGTAAACACAGAATGATTTTGGCTGCCACAAGGGCATACATTAAGCCATGGGTGGCAAAAGATTTTGCCCCAACTTGCACATTATTAACCGGTTCGCTCTGGAGGCCGTGTATACATACACGCAAAAATGTTGCGGTATTCGGAACGCATGACGGATAAACACGCAGGGAGCGAGGCCATGGGTCGAACAACTTGTTGGTAAAAAAAGGTCGACAGTTACTGAGGTGCTGTTTGCTGCCATCAAGAGTTTGGGAATAGGGCTATTTGCTGCCACCTGTAGTCTCATCAACCTAATATGTGGATCCGGAATTGTTACGAAAGTTTAACAGTCTTCCAGATGGCTCTGGGGACAACTCTACTGCATTCGCGAAAAGGTAATTTAATCACAAATTGACCATTTACAATGGTGTTTTGCTCCACAGGTTCCCATCATTCTGGCTATTTTAGTTTTCATCTGCTCTCTGTACCTCGTTATTTCGCCGTTCGTAAACGGACCCGACATCGAGATCATCTACGCATGTCTGTTTATTCTGTCTGGGCTCGTCTTCTATTTTCCTTTCGTCCACTTCAAGTTGCGGCCGCGCGTTGTAGGTGAGTGTGATGTATTGATTTATAAAGCAATAAATGGTTGAAGAAAATGATTTTGAAAGTAGGCTTAGAAGTAGGCCTTGTAATAGACGCTGTAACAATCTTCAGACTGATGTGCATGTGAAGGACGTATCAGACTCCAGGCACAGAAGAACGAATGGCATTGGTCAGTGTTGAATGAGATGTTGTAATGTTAATTCTGATTGGACAGTATTTGGCTCTCCAATTTTAAGGGCCTTGTTTTAGATTGTCTCAAACAAACGGGATTCCCCAAAAATGTCTCCAGTGATTAAAAACAAAGAAGATTGCAACAATGTGTCGAAAGATGCCAATACACATTCATAGTTGATGAATAATGAACATGTTGACTGGTTCATTGCCCGTAGGTTCGTGCACAGATTGCGTGGTATTTTTGTCATGGTGGGCTCCTGTTTCTATGTGTAAGGCATATCTCTCTCATGACATTTCTTCTTCTTCTTTTTTAATTTCAGGTCACATAACAACATTTCTGCAGAAGTTGTTTGTTGTTGTTCCCTCAAATTATGTGGCACCAGAGTAAAAAAAGGAGCCTTTTGTATATTTATGGTCGATTACATGAAAGGCTCGGAATTCAATCTGGTGTATAGAATCGTCGATATGATAATGAATATTCATTAACTAAGTACATGATTATTCATTAACTAACCACTTTTTCATTTAACTTTGAATTTCGCCATAATTATAAGAGCGGTCTTTTTAAAATTTAACTTATGGATATTCATTTATGCATATTTTCATTGTAGGGTTACAGGTGTTATAAGGTATTAGAATTTGTTCAATTATTATACAAGTAATGAATGTTTATGAGTGCAATGGTAAGAATAAATTCTTGAGGTGACAATGAAATAGGTGAAGCCAAGTGGAATGGAACATTCAGTCTGTCACCGATTGCAAACAATCATTATTGTTTTATATAACACCTGAATAAATCCTCAACATCTGATAGGTCAGATCCATCAATCGTGTGATCGTGCAATGGAACTTCTATTTACCATGGAATAGAACTTCTATTTCTGCGGTGCAGCTGGGCCGTGGGTTGGACGAATTATAAAATGAGATGTGATCAACGACCTACCAATCAGATTACAGGGATTTCTTCAGGCGTAACTGTATAACACAGAATTTCATAAAGGCATTTCCATTTTGAGGTTAGAAGGGATTTTTTTAAAATATGTTAAGTAGATAAATAGGAGACAAATGCAATAATCTTGGACACATGGCAAAAGATGCAGACATTTAACAGTAATTTATTGATGGCAACTTATTTTAGGATTAGGGCTTCATTTAATTTTCACATTTTTACTTTTTAAATATTAACAAATTTATATGGAGCTGTTCGATATATCTTTTTCATTTCTTCATGACATGGGTGCTTTACGGCACAAAATCTGTTACTGGTGCAGTTGTATTTAGAAATACAAATAACCATGATCATATTTGACTAATGTGGAAAATGATATTTGAATGCCACAAAGCTATGACTGCAACATGCACATGTATAGTCATGTGACATGTGAATAAAACATGTAATCAAATGTGACAGACTTGTGATGAGCATGTGATGCACATGCAATACACACGAGACCCAAATGTGATGCATGTGATACAAATGTAATGCACATGTGATACACATGTGGTGCACATGTGATACACATGTGGTGCGCATGTGGTGCGCATGTGGTGCGCATGTGGTGCACATGTGATGCACATGTGGTGCATATGTGGTGCACATGTGGTGCACATGTGAGACACATGTGATGTGCATGTGAAGAGCATGTGATGAACACTGACTGAACATGTGATATGTATGTTTCCAATCCAGATTTTAGATACCGCTTGGTATGCATTTAAAAGCAACTATAATAAAGTTGGAATTGAGGCCTTGTTGAATAACAATACTTATACCATTTCTGCTTATAATTACAAATAATTATATCATGCCTTAAAATTGAGTACAACCATCAACACAAAATGACACCCGTTACAATGTAATACAACAAAATATACAATTACGCGTCACATTTTTTCATGTACACACCAAGTTGTATAAATGGGTTGATTTCTACAACCAAAAATTCACAAATTCATCAGCGCATTAAAATATATATATAGGCAACACTTGCAAACATTTTATACTTCCCTACTACAAACACATAGGGGATTTTTTACATACTATGAACACATATATACTATATAAATGGTTTGCATATAACACACGTGATCCACAATGTTAAATTTATTGCATTTTGTGGGCGAAGCTTAATAGCTTAATACAGGTATACTTCAGCAAACAATCAACACTTAATTTATCTATTCAGATTCACAATTTCACAAACAGCTTTCAAATCATGGTACACAATAGTCAAACAAATTAAATGGATATTCTTCGACATTTTGGAGAATTTAGAAGTAAATTCATGTCCCATTTTAAGATGCAGTGCCACATTTTTAAAACATGAGTTTAAAAAAACCCAGTATGTTTACTGAATATCCAAATTTACTCCAGCAAAGATATTGTCACTTTTGTCTCTTCCCTTGAATTTGATTTTTACAATGTCCTTATCGGTCGAAAATACAAAAGTTCAAGCGTCAAAAACAGCACCTGTATTAACGGGATACGTATGTGGTGCACATGTGATACACATGCGATACACATGTGGTGCACATGTGATACACATGTGCACCACACGTGGTGCACATGTGATACACATGCGATGCACATGTCATGCACATGTGATACACATGTGATGCACATGTAATGCACATGTGATACACATGTGATACACACGTGGTGCACATGTGATACACATGCGTTGCACATGTAATGCACATGTGATACACATGTGATGCACATGTAATGCACATGTGATACACATGTGATACACACGTGGTGCAATGTGATACACATGCGATGCACATGTGGTGCACATGTGATACACGTGTGGTGCACATGTGATGATTAACAGTCATGGCTTTCTATGGAATGACCACATCAAACACGATACAATGTATATAGCAGAAAACTGCTCACACCAGATCTCGGAGCCACAAAAACTTGTCCACTTTTCACCATTTAAAAGAAGCAAAAAACGTAAACGAAAGCATAAGGTAAGATATCATAGAAAACAAAAATTAATACATGTACATTGATAAAACCACAGAGCATAATAAGTACGATAGCCATCGAATTTCAAAGTTATGAAAAAGCATCTATTTGAAAGGTTAACAATGAAAGGCAGATTGGATAGGTATAAATGTTAAGATCACACTAGGTATGAAAGAATGCATGAGTTGGGTGAATAGCATAGCGCTACGAAACACACATGTACAGCTCCCTAAGTACTTTCACTATTAACTCGAATACTACCTTTTCCTTCCTACATTCGTGAAACATTTTATATTTATGCAAAAAGTAGGAATAGCTCATGGGTTTTAATTCAACAAAAGCATGAGTCTGGCATGGCTAAGACAATGATCAGCAGACTTATGTTCTGGTGGTGGTTTAAATACAAAACAATGTTTACAGGTACGGTAGTTTACAGACTTAGGGCATAACTATGTATCACAACAAGGGCCAAGTTCGCGCAAGGACTATAGTTGACCAATGGTTAACTAACGTTTGCCCGAACTCTGTCTAGTCGACGGTGGTTGACTACGCTAGTCGACTATTTGGAACCAGCCTACTGGGGTTGGTTGCTTCGCTGGTAACCAATAGCCGCGCGCATTCATAACGCTAGCAGAGAGCCAGGATTCAGACGTTTTGCGATGACATTTTGACCAGCGTTTGACTAGAGACGTTCGCACGTTGCTATCGGTGCGCAGGCGTAAGGTACGTCACAAATCAACCACTAGTCGACTAATGGTCCTTGCCCGAACTTGGCCACTGGTTAATGTTCGTTGCAGTATTTTTATCTAGAAGACTTGGGTTACGAGGAAACATTGAATAAATGTTCTACTTTATGAAAAAGTCACTGACTTTTGCACAGTCTTTTGTTACTTTTTTTTATCACAAGCACTACTTATATAAATATTACTTATAAATAGTTTTGTTGCGGAACCCGATGCTTTACCAGATGCGAACCAGCAAGACGAGCCCCGGCGAGCTTGTTGTTCGATTGGTAAGACGTCTGCACTAGTAAGCGGGAGTTCAGGCAATTTTTTTTCTTCTCACAATTACTCGGGACAACACGGAGTATACAGTACTTATAAAAATACGTAGGGGAAGGGAAAAACCCAATATTGAAAGCACTAATATTTCTATTTGATATTTCTCTGTAGTATGTTGTGTGATATGGACACAAATTATTGCTTCTTAATAGTTTACACACACATTTCACACTGAATTATTGTTTTACTGGTGTCTTTTTGATTATTCAAACATATGTTCAAATATTCACAAGGGGATGACCACACACTTAAGATCACAATCTTAGTATAGGAAAATATTATTTTCTGCAGATCAGACTGAATACTGATTTTGACCATTTCTACAAGAACTCCATTAAAATGATTCATCATCAGCAAATTTAAATCCACAGCTGGACAATCCACAGTTGCTGAATGGTAAACTGTTTGTGTAGGGTGTCAAACACCATTATTGTCTGAGGAAACTAACTCGTTGTTTTCTGTTTGTTTGTACAAATATTACAATGAGATGATTGTGTGTTTCTTTACACTTGACAGGATTTCTGTTCAGTGTGAATAAGCCTCTGTACTTATGACGTCACACTCTGTTTACGTGTGTGCTTTCCTATGGTGCTCAGTGGAACATGGGGCCCCACTGGCTCCATAGAAAAGTGCACATGTCAACAAAGTGTGACGTCATCATTACAGAGGCTTTTTGGACCTTTTGTTTAAAAGTTACGGCAAAGCTTGTACAGATGTCAAACTCTCTTTGGGCCACTTTTCAGATTGACTAATGTCTGATGAGGGGCATTCACACGCCTTCTTGGTATGTGAATGCCTTTCATTGGATGCCAGATAATCTGAAAAGCGGCTCAACTTAGAATTCATGTCATTTCATTTAATTAGCTGTGTCTCTGGACTGGGGTGTCCAAATGAGATGGGATAAAAACCATTGTGTAGAGTATTTACTACACCTTCAGACTCTATAGACAACTTTTGCAAAACGAAATTGCTAGTATTTTTAATATTTATGGATTGACTGCTACATTTTTATTGACACACACTGTACTTAGTACTTGTGGACAAAAAAATGAGAGGTGAAGACCCAATGAAATTAACAGACGGTGGTGGAGAGAAATTATGGTTTTAGTTGACCTGCTGAAGATCGAACACCCCCCCCCCAAAAAAAACCCAATAAGAATAATAAAAATTATAATAAGAAAATTGCTCACCTTGTTAAGATAAATATTTCTTCATACCAAAATATTTCATATCTTATATCCATTATACCTTATATCCATTTTCATTAAAAAAAAAAAAAAACATACAGTTTTCCAAAGTAGATTTTGTTTGGCAATATAAAAACAATGAAAAATTTGGGGAAAATGCAGCTTGCACATGAAAAAAAGAACTTTAAATTACAAAAAGAGATATCTCCAAACAATACTGACAAAGACGTACCGATAGCGAAATGGCATAGGTATAAAAAAGGTTAAGTAACATAATAGCATACATACAAATAAATAGGATAAAAAATACATCTGGTTGAAGTCACAGCTAATGAAACACGCAATGGGTTCGTGTAATAAACTTTTCTACACGTGTCAAACCTTTAAAAGCATTTTTTCTTTTTCTCTGAATTGTATTTCCGCAACATGCTTGCGTTTCAGTTCATGAAAACCGAATTTATTTTCATGAACTGAAAGCACACAGCGCGTGCATGTCAGTTCGTGAAAACGGTGATGATTTTGACCTTTTACTAGTTTGCTCCTTTATAAGCTACACAATGCCAATATTTAGTTGGACCTCACCTTTCTGTAAAACATATTATATTGTCTGTGTAGGCAAGACAAGAGGCAATTAAGACGGATTAAACACTTTAGCCGAAAATGTAGCCAGGGTTTGGCAAAACCCTGGCTCCAGTAAGGGTGCTGATGTAGGCCAACACCTGCTACAACATTCAATCAATGGTGACTAGGTAGGCCATGGGCATGTACGCACACTGCCAATGTTAGAGTTTAAGATTGGTTCCCAACCCTCCCTTCATAGTCTTGAATTTACTAGATTGACCAGGAACCAGCCCACCTTTGCATTACTTTACTCTGGTTACTCATGCGCCAACAGCCAATACCTCAGTCAATGTGGGCAGAGGGAGAGTTGCCACATTTCACATTTTTAGAGTTAAAGATAAGTTCCCAACCCTCTCTTTATAATCTACAATATAACAGAGGGACCAGGGACCGACTTATCTTTGCTGTACATTGAGAGGCTGCCCTCTTTGGATCATGCACATTGACAATAGCTCCAGTTAAGATCTTGAAATTAGCAATAACATGTATCCGCTAACAAATTCAGTCGATTTTGACAATGAAGTCCGACTGTAACCAACACTGCCACTGAGAGTTCAAGACTGGTTCCCAACCCTCCCTTAATAGTCTTGAATATAACAGAGGGACCAAGAACCAATCTATATTTGCTGTACATTGTTAGGCTGCCCTCTCTTGGTCATGCACAAAGCCATTAGCTCAAGTAACAGTCTTGATACAGGTGTAATCACATGCACCTCCTACTTTCAGTCAATTTTGGCAAGGTAGGCCGATGGGACGTAGCCCCGTTGCCCGTTCTTATCCATCAGCCACCATTCCGAGTTGCCTTCAATGTCTCGATCTGAGATTAGTTGGACCACGTCCCTCTCGGCCAGAGATAGCTCGTTCTCTGCCGATGCTGTGAATTCCCACTCGGCATAGTAGTACTGCAGATAACAAAGGCGATAAAACTGTTAGTTAGGTCTTTCCAGAGTAGTCAGTCACAAGTCATGCCTTGTGTTCTGGTAACATACCATTATCATACTTATTGCTTGGAAAACCATAAAACCATACAGTGGTGGAGCGGCTTGGAGCAGTATAGGGAGTAACAGGCAGGGCCGTTTGGGGTAGTTAACCAACAGGCAGGGTGGTTTGGGGCAGTACAGGGAGTAACAGGCAGGGTGGTTTGGGGCAGTACAGCGAGTAACAGGCAGGGTGGTTTGGGGCGGTACAGGGAGTAACAGGCAGGGTAGTTTGGGGCGGTACAGGGAGTAACAGGCAGGGTGGTTTGGGGCGGTACAGGGAGTAACAGGCAGGGTGGTTTGGGGCTATACGCGAAGTAACATGCACGGTTTGGGGCAGTACAAGGAATAAAAGGCTGTGTGATTTTGGGTGCTTGTTGAAGTTAAACTCTTCAAATCTTCCTTTAACACGAGAAATAAGATCCTACTTGGGCAAACTGACCTGTGCTTGTTGCTGCCTTTGTGTGAATGCATTCCAATCGTCATCGCTACCGTAACCTTCTGGGCTCGTGGTTTCACCGCCCACAGCTTGAAGAATGGCAGAGGGAATGAAGCCTTGTGAAGCTGGGATATAAAAAAATATGTAATTATTTTTAAGAGTTAAACTTCGAAATTGTGGGAATCTGCCCCTTTTACATCTTTCGTGAAAACTATGAAAAAAGTTTGAAGCATGAATTTTATTATCTTGGTATCTTGGTTGGCTCTTTTCCTAAGGACTCCGCAGGGGAGTTTTAACAGGAGACCAGAAACACTTGGGCAAACCCTTCTCTTAGCAAAGAATGTTACTGGGTTCTGTTACGGTGCATTGCATTACACCACACATGGGACCCACGGCTTTACGTCCCATCCGAAGAACAAAGCAATAATGGTTAAGTGCCTTGCTTAAGGGCACAAGTGTCCGTCCGGGCTCGAACCCATACCACTGCTGCTTCTGAAACACCAGAGCGTGAGTCCGGTGCTCTTAACCGCTAGGCCATGACACTCCATATTCGTCTACCAAATCTCAGTAAAACCAGTCATACAAACATCAACTGAAAACAATTTTTTTTATTCAGGGATGTCAATGGCTCATACATTTCTGCAGGAAATGTTTTAGGAAAACAGAGTACGTAGATACATTTGTAGGGTGCCAATATTTGAAGCTTGAAATCCTGTTACTAACAGTGTTTAAGGTCAAACCCAAGACGGTTAGACTCACCTCCGTTGTCCACGTACCACTTCTGCCCGCTTCCCGTGGGATCCTGCTCCTTAATGATGCCCACAATCTCCCCCTTCTTGACAGACATGTCCATCGGTTGCTGGGAGTTGAATTCCGTTGATACTTGGTAGACCCTGTTGGCCGGGTACCGGGAAGTGATGCTGGCTTTCTGTTTCTCCGACTGAGAGCCAGGATCAGGCCGCTGTGAAGGTAAAAAAAAAAAGTATAAACAGAGATAACTCAACTCTGTTCTTCCTTTTACCTCTTTTCTCCTAAGATTCCTTCTTGAAATCACGTTACCTTTTACTCTTATTACGGAAACTCTTTCTTTGTCTCATAGAAGTCTCCCCTAACAGGTTGGGCACAGGAATAAACTAAAAATAAAGTCTGTCATGAGCTAATGTGGCCCATCAGGTCGACGTTAACTCCAGTTTCAGTAGCATGGAACGACTGAGAATATTTCTACTCCCCCTGGATGGGAAGCTAGTCCATCGCAAGTTACTCCCCAGCTAATGCCGGTACCCATTTATACTCCTGGGTGGAGAGAGGCAAGTAGTGGTGAAGTGGCTTGCCCAAGGACACAACGTATGACCAACAGCTGGATTTGAGCCCCTGACCCTCTGATCACGAGCCACAAACCCTAACCACTAGGCCACATTCTCCCACAGAAGTAAAAGAAACAGGAAAACACTCTCTGATTCTTTGAAATCTTCAAGGTTTTGGTGGATTTTTCAGGGTTAAAGACGTTAAACTACAACACTATCTCTTTCAAGGAGGTTGCAAAACTGCTTGAAAGCTGAAATGCAATGAGGGTGCCGTTGGTTTTCGGCACAGACGAGGAATTCTGAAGATTCGTGAGAAACCTTCTCAAGTCCTAAACTGTTCTCCATGGTTTGTTTTGGAGGAATTTGGAGATAGAAGAGAGTAGACCTCCCCAATTTTAAAACATGGACTTGCGGTCACTTGAAAACTTCAAAAACAAAATTTGCACCACCACCTTAATGAAAGTACGAAGTATTTTGCAGGAATCAAGGTGATTCCAAGCCAAAATGCCTAGGAAGTTAATGCAGTAATGACTTCTCAAGACATAAGATTAATGGAGTTATGACAAGTTTAAGAATCCAATGAGTTGACTCACCGGTGCACTAGGCGGCGGTGTGGGCTCCGAGTTGGTCCCGTAGACAGAACGCCGGTCACCCTTCTTATCAAGACTCTTAGGAACAAAGGAGAACTTGTGCATGTCCTCAACGGCCGCCATATGCGAGGTCTCAAAGGTCTTCATGATGTCTGAGAGGGAGCTGGACTTGACGATAGAGAGCTGTTGAAGAACATCAACAATCTCACTTTAAAAAATAATAATATATATTAAGTGTAATGCTTATATAGCGCTTTATACCAAAGGTCTCAAAGCGCTTCACAATTATTACCCCTGTTCATCAGGCCATGAGACCAGTTTTTGCAGCAGCTCGAGATCAGCGCGTTCTGGTCTCTACCTTCACAGGTACCCATTTATACTCCTGAGTTGAGAGAGGCAATTGTAGTAAAGTGTCTTGCCCAAGAACACAAGCACCATGTACATGTACCAAGGCACATGAGTCAAACACCGTAACCATTGGATCACAACGCTCCGCAAATAGAAAATACAATTATTTCTTTAAGTGGTAAACAAGAATTTATTTCAGTAATCTCGATGAACTCTTTGTTTGCCACTGACCTCAAGTAGGGGGTACAGCTTCTTGAGGGTCGAGTTGATGTGGTCTCTCTCCGCCTCCACAAACGACACCACGCAGCTCTTGAAGAGCGACAGACCCATGTCGCAGAGTTTTGGCAACTCGTCCTTGAGTTGGACGTTGAGGGCTTCGTAGTTCTTCTTGGCAACGTCTTTCTCATCTTTGAGCTTGAGGAAAAATCAAATCAAAATCATTTCAAATGAAATCAAGTCAAAGTAAATGAAGGGCCAAATATCTTTCTCATTTTTGAACTTGGAGAAAATCAAATCAAATCAATTAAGATCAATGTAAAATCAAAGTCAAAGTGGGACGTACTGAATCACACTTTGTTTATCAGAGGCCATCTGAGACAAGGTATGTCCAGCGGAGTCAACTTAATCATGTCTGAATCACTCAAATCAAATCAAATCAAATCAAAATCTATTTCCACAACATGCACGTGATGCAGCCTATCATAGAGTACCTGTGCTTGAACATGAAAAACAAAAGGTCATCAAGAAAACGATCAGATTGGGTTCTTTGAATGCAAACTGTTACATTCATTGTTCATTTTATTCTGTTTAATGACACACTAAAAGGGAACGACACAAATTTCTAAGAACAAGAACTACTTCATGCAGTGAGCGAACAACATGCAAAACACCATTCATATACATGAAGTACCATTATTTACATGTAAACATTTTTACATTTACTAAAACAAAACATCACATTGTATACTTTCACAGAAAACTGTTTTATTTCATGTGCGATGTATATTTGCATATATTTTCCATAGTACACGTCTTACGGATCAGGTAGGTTGCTAAGAGACGAAAAAATTCTGCGATATTAACAAGTGAAATCCTTTTACTAACTACAACTACATGTATAAATATGCAAAAACATCATTTTATTTATTTTTATGAATTTTAATTATCATTTTACAAGGGTGTATATTTCTTGATGCATACCACAACTCAACTCCAAGATGGACCCCAAAATGGACCCAAACCAAACGAAAAAATAAATCACAAATCCATGCCGATCACACGCATGCAAGACTTCCCCACTAAAACACGTACACAATCTATCAGGACTACAGCACAATAGTGACGGGACTACGGGTGGTGACGGATTGCCAACCTCCTCCTTCCTGTGTTTCTCCTTGAGACGTTTGTGACTGCCGACCGACGTGGCGTCATCGTCGCTGTCTTCCAATTCCTTCTCTTTCTCCTTGTCTTTGCTTTTGTGCTGATGGGGTTTTGCGTAAAATAAAACTCACTTTGTCTTTTATGGTTTCATTAATGAGAGGAATTACGAGAGTACTTAAATTTAACTTTCAGGAAAAACCCCAAAAACACCCCCCCCCCAAAAAAAAATGACTTAACATGAAAGAAATAGGGTAGGGGCAGGAATGAATTGGGAATTATATTGTAAGAACTGGGTAGAGAAGAAGATGTGCGATTAGAAATAAAATTAAATGAAAATTGGCAAAAAATGGATTGCGAACTGAAACGTAAAAAGGTAGAATGTGCAGAGGGGTTTAGAAACAAAACGAAACGATAGAAGTTCCAGCGGTTGGAAGACAACAAGTGACCCGCATATCGCGTGTGTCGCCTTTTTCCGCGGTGTGATCGATCAAAAACTGAACCGAAACTTTAACAAGTGTCTCCCAAAACTTTGTGTAGGCGACAAAAAAATTATTATAGATGAAGAACTGAATATTCAAAAGATAGGTAAATTGAGGGGTTTAGAAACAAAACAAAAAAAGATATTAGAGGGTTTACAACCATCCTGCTAGACTTAAACTTCATCTAGAACTTCAAGGGTGAGAAAAAAGAGTGAAAGTACCAAGTAAAGAAAGAAGAATTTCAAAAATTGGATTAGGTGTTTTTGAACCAACCTGTTTGACACGGTCTTTATCCTTGTTCTTTTCTAGCTTTTTGCTGTAGCTGTCGTAGTCTAGGAGTTTATCGTATCTCTTGTCAATCAGCTTGTGCGGCCCTTGGAACATGATCAGGAGACCATTGAGAGGGGAGATGACCCTCTGCTGAACGAATAACGTCTGTTGATTGGAGGAAAAGATGATAATTAACTCCCTCATGCATATTCATGAGTGCATGTGATAATTTCATTGGTTAATATTCAAATATCTGCAAATATATGGATCAGGAGAACGTTGAGAGGGGAGATGACCCTCTGCTGAACAAATAACGTCTGTTCATTGGAGGAAAGAGGGATAATTGAGTAATCATGCATATTCATAAGCACACCTGGTTATTTCATTGGTCAGTATTTAAATATTTGCATAGATATGGACATGAACAGTAGACCGGAGAGGGGAGATAACCCTGTGCTGAACAAATAACATCCACTCACTGGAGGAAAAAAGTGAAAATGATGTGCCTCATGCATATTCATAAGCACACCTGGTATTTTCATTGGTCAATATTGAATTCTCTTCAAAGATATGCATATTGTTCAGTACAAATAGGCAGAACTCAGTGGAGTACCAGTCACAAGCAATGTATATTGCACGACTTTTTGGCTGGTAACCTGTTTCTGCTTAGCACATATTTTTGTGCTCAGCAACTCCGGAGTTCTCTGAAATGCTTTTGCTTTTTGAACTGTCACACTTACGTAGTCTTTGTAAAGTTTGTTGGCCAGATGACGTTGCACTGCTTCGTATTTGTTGACTTCGTGTAAGTTGGACTGGCTGGCGTAATAATCGGAAATATCGCTGCCTACGGCTGCCTCGGACGATGTTGCATCCTGGGAAAAAAAAACACATAGCAAAGGTTACCTTTTTCGCATGGCTGATAATGCATTGTAATGGTGTCCATATTCCGTTTCAGAAACATCGAATCATAAGAGTCCAAAGTTGAGATTATTTTCACCTGGTTTTGACATCTAGCACTTGTGTTACAGACAGAATTGGACACTTGTAAACAAGTCTAGTAAACTTTCCTTATTTGCATAATTATGCACAAAAGCACTGGCATTTGTGTTGCCTGAGGGCGCCGTTTGGTTGGGTGTGGTCAGCTCCTTGGACATGCATGACCATATGCATAAGTATATGCTTTGTACATGTGCACACCTATAGACACTTTCATGGATGCTGACAGGCCTTGACATCACCCTTTTATATGTGACATCCCTTTGGAAGCTCAGCAAAAGTAAGTTTACTGACATTTATTTGGTTATTTTATGATTGTGATTAGAGATTTATTTTCATAATTTAAAAGTAGGGAGTCCAGTGGTTTGGGCCGTATATCTGTAACCACGCAAAATTAGTCAATTTCAAACCGTGCTAATAAGTATCAACACGACTATAAAAATACAAAAAGTATCCTGATACCGAGAGGAATACTGACTCCTCTAATCAAAAACATTTATTCAGAACTTTGCATTCATTTGGATGGAAAAAATGAATTCTCAACTAGCGCTTTCCATATCGACAGATTGTGCCAAACATTACCGTGTGAGTCGGCACTTTGATTTAAACCACCGTGTAAAATTGAAATATACTTGATAAATCATAACTGTTTTTATCATAACTTTATAAATAAAAATGGTACAGACTAGTACAATCGTACCCAGAAAGTTTAGACTTTTATTAAAAGAGTGGTATAAAAAGAAATGATTAAAAGCTCGCCGCACCTTTCTGCAAAGCATTGTTAAAGGTCGGGGTACAGAGGCGAAACGAGAGAATTTTGTACAAAGCGAGACGCCATTACAACCAGACTAGTCTACTACCGCATGTTATAGTATGCTGATGGCATCGGTGCCAGACTTGCATGTAGTCTGGCACACGGTAACAGTAATAACGCATGCACGCATGTTCCGTGTTGCTGTGTCGTGTGGAGCGGGATCGGCCAGTGCCAGACTTTGTCTGGCACACGGTATTAACAGTGATAATGTGGGGACACATAACTTTGAACATTTCTCCTGCCAATCATCTTCATCAATTTGTGTTTTTTTTTTTTGTTAACATATGCCGTGTTTTTGTATAAAATTTGAGGGTTAACGACTTAATCTTTTTGTACACCTGTATGTTATTATGCCTGTACAGCGCATTGGGGTCTTGACGGAATGCGGTTTACAAGAGTGGTTTATTATTGTTATTATTATTATTATTAATTGTCTTATTATTATTAATTGTCTTGTTGCACTGAAACCCATGAGCGAGTATTCCTTCTTTGTGGATGAAATGTTCGCAAACATTCACAACAGTGGACTCACCTTGAGTTGTTCCAAGTAGGCGTTGACATCCTTGACGTAAATCCTGATAGTCTTCTCTAGGTTTTTAAACCTCCTTTCCATTTGGTCAAAATCTCCGTCTACAGTCTGCGATGAAGGAAACATCAGAAGATTCACGGTGAAAAATATGACAATACCTTTTCCCAGTTTTTCTGGAATTTACTTCTTCATCTCGATGTCAAAATGTTACCTCAGTTTAAAAAAAAATACCTGTGTGGTGAGACCAGTCATCCGCGTGAATCGTTCATTGATGCGTTGGGATTTCTTCTTTATCGAGTGGAAGGTGAGTTTGCCCAGTTTGTCGCTGATTGCTTCTTGGCCCGGACGTCTGTACTTCATTACTGAAAAGAAACGTTTGAAGAAAACAAAAATTCTTCAACCCCACATTTCATAACATGCAAGCCCTACATGTAGACTTTTCCGAGTCCTTTGTCCTCTGAAATCCACATAATCAATTTTAATACCCATCCTATTCTCTGTACAATGCAATTACTAGACTTACCAAGTCCTTCTTCGTCTGAGACCCACATATCTCTAACTCATCCCCATTCAGCATACAGTGTAATTACTAGACTTACTAAGTCCTTCCTCCTCTTAAATCCAGAAATCTTTAATCAATTCCTATTCCCTAGAAATGCAATTTCTAGACTTGCTCAGTCCTTCCTTTTCTGATAAACAAACACCGAACTAAACCTACCCTGTACTCAACTTAATGCAAAACCTCAACTTTAATAACCAAGTCCTTCCTCTTGTAAAATCTACTATTTGTATTACCACATACTATACTCCATACACTGCAAGTCCTAGACTTACCCAAGTCCTTCCTTCTCTTGAATTCATTGATGGCTTTGGCTACCTCCATCATCGTCTGTATGGCTTCTTGTAGGTTGGGCTTGTCTGAGACACTGTCGTCGGTATACTACACCAATGTAAGACAATTTAAATAAACTTAAAATCGCAGGTTGGCGTTGCTGTACTTTCCTTGCCTTCCACCGCTGTGACCCGGGTTCGATTCCTGCCTGGGCCAATATGTGGATTGGGTTTTCAGTCTCGACTTGATTCCATGAATTCCCCAGAATTCTGCTAATAAGTTTTTCCTCCCATCTCTAAAACTGAGCATTGCTTCATTGCTTACTTTCAATGGGTGTCTTCGGCCTGGAAGCTACTGTGCATCGATGCCTACGAAAGAATTTTTAGTTTCATTACCCCAATTTTTTTTTTTACTATATTAATAAAATGGTTTTACTTGCAGGTCATGTTGATCTTTCCTGTGCATGAACAGTTTGTGAGTAGAAAATCAAGAGGGATGTAATGAGGGACATACTGAAAAGCGAAGATACATTTTGCCCCAGATTGTAAGCCTCAAAGAGAGAAAGGTTTGGAGGGGTGGTGGGGGAAGGGGGGAGGGGTGAAAATATTCAAACTGCTCATACCTTGTCCAGTTCTGTGAGGAGTAGTTGATACTTGAGGATTCTCTGGACGGGCTTGATGAGGAACGACGCCAGATCCCAACAGTTCGTACTTTGCCTGGAAGAAAGAAAAATTCCAAGGAATAAAGATATTTTAAAGCAGCAGTTTTTACAAAGAAATAAAATAGTACAAGTATTGTTCCCTCTTAAAGGACGGAATATGAAAAATATGATAAAGTGGCAAACAGGTGCGAGATTTTACCGACGGTCCAAACTTACCTGACAAGCTCTAGACCCTGGTTGATGTACTCTTGAACCTCGTCATTTTCCTCATACTGAAAAAATGCAAAGAGAAGGAAAAAATATCACAAAATATTCATGTTGCCCTTCACTACAAGCCAGACTACTTTAAGGAATTCATTGAAAAATCTCCAAACCTCAATCTTGGGATTTGTTTCTACAAAATGTCCCCCGTTTGGAATATTTGCACCCCTCTTCTTTTTAGAAATCCTTAAAATTCCTTTTGGAGGATGAAGAATCAATAGGGGATGATATAAAGATGAAATTACCTTTTCCAATAACGTAGTTGCATCGTCATGGTTACGGCAGTACTCGGCGTACACCTTGTGCAGGTCGTTGCTATACTGCATAAACACTTGACCTGAAAGTCGTTACATGAATATTTATAAGCAATTTAATCTGAGTCAAATTCAATTAAAAATTAAAATTTACTCATCTACAACCAAAGAACAAAGTACCTGTAGTCACTCTAATAGACCTTTTGCATTGCAGCCATTCCTGAGGTACACGCCTCGGTTCCACAGGGATACGCATGTGCATTCATTGTTACTGAATTCAAATAACAAAAATGCCTCAAACATGGCCGCAGAATTGAAAGTGTCTATGCCAGAAACAAAAGTCTGAAGTCACAACAAACATGAAAATTCTAGGTTGAGATTGACTTACCCACCACCTGTTCCTCCGGTGCTTTCCCCTCGGTCGTCTCTTCAAGATCCTTCAGGAACTTCTCGGCTGTCTCGATGACCTGCTCCATGTTGCCAAACAGAATCTCCAGTTCCAGGCCTTTGGTCTGCAAGGTCAAAGGGTTAAAGGTCAAAGTCTGGGTCAGAGGTTAACGTGAAACAATAGCTGACCTGAAGAATGCGTTTCATTTCAACTGGTGTCCCTCTTGCAACCCATCTTAATGTTAACTGTTAACAGAGAGACGTGCAAAACAACTAACAGAATTAGTACAAACAACAAAGCAAGAAAAACTTAAACTTTCTGTTAGTGAGTTTGCTTCAAATATTTTAGTAGAAAGAAGACCTTGTCAGTTTTTGCTTTGTATCCACTAATTTAAGAGGTTACCATGGTAATCCGAATGTTTAATTCATGATTTTGCAAAGGCTGGCTGACTTAAAGAACATCTTGTCTATAGTGTACCTTCCCGCATGGAGGCTCTGTAAAAAAATTGTCAAAACCCCCCCCCCCCAAAAAAAAAATCAATCAAATCGGTACGCTATGCCCCCGAGCCCAACAGACTTTATCCATTCAATTGGCAAATTTTGTAACATTAATAATAACAATAATGTGGTGCATATAATAGCACTTTATACCAAAGGTCTCAAAGCGCTTCACAATTATTACTCCTGATCATCAGTCCATGAGACCAGTTTCTGCAGCAGCTCAAGATCAGCGCAATCTGGTCTCTACCCTCACACGTACCCATTTATACTCCTGGGTGGAGAGGGGCAATTGTAGTAAAGTGTCTTGCCCAAGAACACAAGCACCATGATCACTGTTGGGGTTCGTACCCTAACCACCCTAACCACTGGACCACAGCGCTCCACATTAAGCACTGTTAAGTTTTTAAGTGTTCGTGATTTTGGGCAGTTCATGCATCATAAGCACTCAGCACCAAGACTCTCCCCATAGACCATTATCATGTTGCAGCCTTTTGATTTTTTTCCCCATTCAAATCAATGTAACCAAAGCGAGGCTGGAAGGAAGAATAGTCTGGTTCCTTTTTGCACAAAAATCATTATCATTCAGTACTGCTATTGGATACAGGGAACATGACTGAAATGGTGGCAGCATGATAAAAGGTATATACCCCGTTCCTCCTCAACACACTCCTCTGTTAGTGTTGCTAAGTCCCTCATAGCAAAAACAAAACCTGATGTACTGCTAAAAATTATAGTTAAGTTAAATCTTAATTCAACACCATGCAACCAAAGTCTGTCAAAAGAGACAAATCGTTAGATAAGAAATTAGCGGGAAAATGCAAGTGTAGGGCATGCAATCAAGTGTGCAGTTATAAGCAACCTTTTAGTCCGAAGAATCCACCTCAGAGAGAAAGTATTCCAATTAAAAACTACATCTACAGAGATATGTGTTAAGCATTCAGTGCAAAACATGCAATTGAAAAGGTGTATATAAATATAATTAAAATTGTTAAGTTATACATTTTAGTGCAGATGTGAAATTGATTCTGTAAGTATTAAATAAAAAACAGAAAAGCAGTATTAAAATAAACAACATTATGGGGATTTCCATTTTCATATTATTATTGGCTTTTGGCAGAATCTTTACGACAGCTTTCATAATACCTTGACACTTTTGATAATGCGCTTCCGCGACTATCACAGCATCGGTTGAGGGTTTCGCTTTCGGCATTCTCTTGTAATTTTTCCCTTCTTTTAATTATGAAAAAGGTGGCGTGATTGAGAATTTACCTGTTTCTGTTGAAGAGGCCTTAAGCAAAGATGGCCAAATGGTATGTACATGTACAAATGTATATGCATTTTTGGTGGACGACCTTTACGATTGCTTTTGAATTATTCAAACAATAATGATTTGGAGGAGTGATTTTGGTAATTCTGGCAAATGACACTGGCAGTTTTGGTGAACGATATTGGAAATTTCAAAATGTCAATTTGTTTTCTTCATTATTCGGAGGAATGATTTAAGTTGATAAAACTTTGGGCCGTTCTAGACATTTGGGCAAATCTGGACAAATGTTAATTTGTTATACTTAAAAATATTAATATTTTAAGAATTTTAATTTAAAATGTCAAGGTTAAAGGGTTAATTCTACTGACTACAACTTGTCTCTGCAATAGTATGAGGGGTAAAAAATGGTTAAAAGAAGCAAGAAAAAGAACCCTGTCCAAACAAAATGAAAATTTTTAAGAAGTCTGCAACCTGCAAAAGTGTAATGAGTGTAAGTTGAGTCTCCCTGTTAGCTGTGAGAACAGAGAGAGTTTGAATTTCAAGATGAGTAAAAAAAGAAAAGAAAGATGATGAGTTTTGGAGATGTCTTGAGAAAGATGCGGGATGTCAATACCGGTTTCTTCTCGCCGCTTCTCTCAATCTCCTCCAGCTGTTGCCGGATGAGAATCTGGCTGATGACGTCCTGGAAACGAGAAGAGTTGCCATGGCAACGACACACATCAAACCACAAAACAACAACAACACAACCAACAAACGATTCCGTAAACAATGTTAATCCAAGCTGACCACTTTTGTGGGAAGCTTTTTAAGGCTCAACTCACATTGTTCATAGATTTTTCTTCAACAACCGTCCCCCAAAATATATTTACTACAAAATGAGATAATATTCCCATTTTGTATATAAGGCCAAGTAAAAAAAAAAAAAGTTTCTCGTCCGGGTTTTTGAAAAAAAGGAGGAAGCGGGGCTTTTTATTTTTTATTTGTTTCAAGATGACCGCCATTTAAAAATTTCCTGCAACCGTTGGTGTTTCCACTGTTCAAAGACACTTTTAAAATGAAAGACAAGTTGGACAAGAGAACTGAACATATTTAGTGTCATTTAGGCTTGTATTGGTCTACTATTTATTTTCCGATGAATTTGTGGACTTTTTCGGTGCTTTTTTATTGCATTTTTCAAAAATAAAAAATAATAAAAAAATCCAGGCGGCCTCCAAAAAGGAAGCGGGCAGGGACGAGAAACATGTTTTTTTTTTACCTCGCCTAATCACTCCCACACACATCAAAATACATTCAAAATCCAAAGCAAACCAAGAAATAAATGTTAGATTGTCTACAAATGCGCAAATGCACAGGCAAGCTACTAATACAGTACGTAATGGGTTTTACAAACAACAAAACTGATACCAAATTTATCCATATTTCCTTCCAAATTCAAAGTAATGGAAGATACACATATGCCATAAATTTGCAAAAATACAAATCTGTCAAATATTATACGAGAGGAATGTTCAGGAAATTATCATCAACACGGAAATTATCATATCATCAGTCACACCATGAGAGACATTTTAAGAATAGTTTCCGCACCACAAAGTAACATATTAGGGATCATTAAAAATGGTGCAGATACGGGATATGTATGCGGCTCAGTAAAACTAGCTGGTTACATGGCCATTTTGTGTGGTCTGGAGCATTGAATTCGTGGTCTGCGGATAATTCTGCGGGTTATGGGTTCGAGTCCAGCCTGTGGCTATGGTGTGTGTGCCCTTGGGCAAGGCACTTTGTCACTCATTGCTCCCCCCCCCCCAGTAAATTGGTTACCTGTGAGGACAGAGATGATTATTGTGATTGAAATAGCTTCCTTGCGCCTAACAGGCAGCATCGAGCTGTTTACTCCCAGGGAGCTGAGATGGTATTTGGAATGTTTAAAGAGGTTGTGGAATGCTCGAAAACATTTCCGTCATTTTTCGGGTATATGTAGCCTAAGGTGTGATGAAATAAAAAGACTATTGGTTCTGTCATGAAATGAGTACAAAGGGTACTTTTGAGAGCTATTTTTCAGGTCCTGTTTCGACCCGAACGTGCAATTTGTGTAAAAGTCGTCGTTGCGGGCAGCAAACAAAACACAGTAAATCGTGACGTAATAAACAGGACTCGTTTTATGCTACTCTGCATCGGGAGTCCTGTTTATTACGTCACGATTTACTGTGTTTTGTTTGCTGCCCGCAACGACGACTTTTACACAAATTGCACGTTCGGGTCGAAACAGGCATGACAGGACTTGAAAAACAGCTCCCAAAAGTACCTTTTGTACTCATTTTATGAAGGAAACAATATTCGTTTTTATTTCATCACACCTTAGGCTACATATACCCAAAAAATGACGGAAATGTTTTCGAGCATTCCACAACCTCTTTAATTAGCCCAACGATCAGGGGTAGCAATAATGTAAAGTGCTATAATCTTAGTTAAAAGCGCTAAATAAAAACCTGTTGTTATTTTGTCTACATCTCGATGTATAGATGCAAGATGCATATTGTCTAATAATGTGCCAGATGAAATACATGTAGCTATGCAAAACGGCGATTAAGGAAATAACTTTTTCGAACCACATACGTATCCCGTACGCGTACGGTATCTAATGGTTCCCGTGTATACAAAGTCTAGTGACGAACCATCACCTTGTACTTGGTGGTGCAACCAACAATAACTTTTAAATAAGCTTGTTGAAAATTTCCATAAAATTTTGGTACTGAAATATAGCAAACTCCTTCCTTTACCTGTTTGTCCTTAAGAACCATCATGAAGCCTTCTTGGCACAGTTGATATCCCGGACGTAATCTTGCTCCGTTTTCACCAACTCCGTGATAACCTTTTCATCACTTGGTCGTGCAACCAACAATAACTTTTAAATAACTTTGTTGAAAATTTCCATAAAATTTTGGTCCTGAAATATTATAGCACACTCCTTCCTTTACCTGCTTGTCCTTAAGAACCATCATGAAGCCTTCTTGGCACAGTTTGATATCCCGGACGTAATCTTGCTCCGTTGTCACCAACTCCGTGATGACCTTCTCTCTGAAATCAGCCGCCGTCATCTTGGATTCAGGGGCGGGGGTGGGCCGCACCTCTTGCAGTTGTTCTGTTTTTAAAAAGGGGAGGGCAACAATTATTGATCGTATTGATTATTAATGTGGCCTGACGTTGCGAACTTTGCAAGTTCTTCTTCAGAGGCTAAAACTGTTTTAGCCTCTGAAGAAGAACTTGCTAAGTTCGCAACGTCAGGCCACATTAATTTTTAGATTTATATATTTCAGGTCCATCCAGTCAGTAAGCAGTTTGCAGCAGTCTTCCTTTTTTTCACGTATTGATTATTGGTAAATGGCGTTGATTGGGACTGATAAAAAAGATGATCAATTAATACAGGTTAGTGGTGATAGTTTTGGTATTCTTGAAAGCCAGGCCTCCTTTTGGCTTTGGCTTCATCTCTTGATTTATACATGTATGCCCATGCCGAGCCACAGTTCCCATGTCAGAGGCCGAAAAATGTTCTGAAGCCAAAGCTGGACTTGAAACCGAGATTTCGAAAACCCCACGTGACTGATGGGGATGACAGTTATTGTAATGGTGATTGATTATATATTGATGATATTGGTACTTAACAAAAAAAATTGAAGATTTTGAACACTGTTAATGTAACTGCTGTTATTGGTGTTTTTGACATTACAGTGAATTTTCAAAATAATTTTGAAGTTTATGAGGGTGAGACATTTTGGTCCAGCATGGTCTTTCACAAAGAGAGTTGGGAGAAACAGTTGATAAGCCACATGTGTAAGAAACAGAGGAAGGCTTTAACATGTTGACAATTACTGATCTGAATAAAAGACACAATGATTTGGTGTTGGGAAAATATCAGGCTTTAGAAGTTAATTTAAATTCCATCACACAGCATGGACTATAATCATATTTCATCATTTGTTCCACTTACAGCAGTCGACTTCAAGTGAAAAAGAATTTGGAAAAACTGCGCATTGTTTGAAATGGACTAAAAATTCTATGATCAAATGCCTGCTATATTCTGTATCTCTTCAAAACTCACACTATACGGTTTGTTTTAAAAGCTGAAAGCAATGTCACTGTTAACTTCCATCAAATTAATACAGTTGGTTAAAAAGCCAAAATAATAATTTTCTATAAATCACTGAAATAAAAAAATCTACCTGCACATATGTCAATGTACCACATGGCTGCGCTTGCTACGACCGTCAACAAGATTTAGTAGAAATTAAATCCAACAGTATAACTGTGTAATGTACACGTCCGAGTACTTCATCAATTCTTTCAGATGTGTGCACATGTATTTTGCAAAACTGCTTAACCTATGATAGTAACACCCCCGTATCATTATCTCTGAACTCTGACCGGGTAAACAGAAAGTACAGCCTTAAACTATAAAGTGCACAGCTGAATTATCAGTTTCTAAAGTGCAAATCCAAACCTCTAAACAAAAGTCTTGTTTGGGGTATCTACCAAGCCATTTTGATTATCAGTAACAATTTTTTGTTCAAAATAAATTCGTTACAACTTTGTACTTGTATGCTTCGCTAGTTTTTCAAACGTTGTTTAAATTAAAGATCCTTAAAACCAAAACCGTTCAAGATTTTTTTTTCTACTAAAGCAGTCACTTATTGGATGTAGTTCTTTGTACTTCGATTAAATTGAAACATAATGGCAGGCTGAATAGAATTAAACCTGATCTGATTTTGGAGGATTTGGCAGTTCATTTAATTGTCTATGATTTAACAATACATAGGATGGAATTGCCTTGGGGAGATGTACATGTAAATCAACATAGGTTTTGCCCTCCACTGACGTTTAAACACTGTATACTCAGTGTATTACCTCCCGAGTGAAAGTTGGAAAAAATTACATGGGTGGGATTCAAACCCACGACCTCCTGCTTTCTAGCGCAGACATCTTACCACTCGACCACCGAGCTAACGGGATCGGTTGGCTGGTTCAAATCTGATGTACATGTAGTTAATTCAACACGGATGGCATGTATAGTGCTTCAGAAACACGATTAAATATATAAGGTCAGGAACTTTTGTAAGCAGGAACTTTTGTAAGAACTTAGCTCAAAAGTATCTCTTGTTCTTTTTTTTCTCAATTTAGAATGTACAGCGAACAAAACTTTGTTTGGCTTCAGATCATTTTTGGAAGTTCAAGAGCGAATGATATCATAGCATCACTTTATTGAATGCACACTGTACAATCATAACAAGGAACTATCAATAGAGATAAACTGCATGTCTGTTTTTACAGCTACTCGGTATCGTTCATAGTTGATAAAGGGTCAATAAAACTGGAGCTGGTCTACATGGTCTAAGACTTTGTAAACGGGAGTGCGGCCTAGTGGTTAAAGTTTGTGACTCATGATCAGAGGGTCAGGGGTTCGAATCCAGCTGCCGGCCATACGTTGTGTCCTTGGGCAAGCCACTTCACCCCACTTGCCTCTCTCCACCCAGGAATATAAATGGGTACCGGCATTAGCTGGGGAGTAATCCTGCAATGGACTAGCATCCTATCCAGGGGGAATAGAAATATTTCTCAGTCGTTTCATGCCAAGGAAACAGGAGATAAACACCGGCCTGATTGGCTATTTTGGATCGTGACAGAATTTATTTTAATAAGACTTTGACATTCTCTGGAATGACGTTTTCATTTTCGATATGAAGAGCTCAATACCAGGGGAATTGTCTTGCCCCTCAAGGACAAAATAGTCACGTCTGAAGAAACCAAAAGTGAAAAAAAATACGAAAGTAAGTCTACACTAACCAAACATTTCGTTTCTACTATAAACAGGATGTTACGTTGTATCTCGAAGTACCGGTACCAGTAGCTACTGAATTAATCTAGGACTTTATCATTCAAAAGTCTTGAAATTTGATCCACTATATATATATGATACAACACAGTGGATGCATTTTTTGTTAACAGTATTTTAATGGTTCTAACACAGTTTTAGGAACACTGTCAGTGGCGCTTCCAAGGGGTGGGCCTCAAGGGCTTGAGCCCCCCCCCCCCCAAGAGGTTGTAATTTTTAAATTTTTTTGGTAATTGTTTTGTTTTAGTCCCACGATTTGACCTTGGTGATATGTATGTGGCCTATTTAGTGTAGTATAATAGGGGTGTATATATATAAGTGTTGCCACCAACATCAAAATAGTCTTCCCCCCCCCCCCCAAAAAAAAACCCAATTTTTTTTCGGCGGCCAAAAATGTCTAAAAAAATTTTGAAAAACACATTTGAGCCCCCCCCCCCCCCCAGCTAAATCCTGGGTGTGCCACTGAAAATCGTGCAGGAAATGGACATTTTTGGAAAGGGATATTCACACATTAACCACCCAAATTTCACAAAATGAAATTTCTGTATCAGGTGTTGGGGGGGGGCGGTGGTATACATCAACAGAATATTGGAAAACTATATTTAGGTACAACTACAAATGGGCTAACAACATTTAGGTACAACTATATTGATCCTTCTACAACAAAATCTATCACTTCACTGGGGTTACAGGCCAACCTACCTGACAAGCCAGCTAGTTTGAGAATCAAAAGTAATTAAAAAACAAAAATTTTAACAATGAATAATTTAAAGTGTGTTGCATTAAACAGTCAAATCACTTTGATCACAAATGCCTTAGATAGCTAATTAGTATGAAGTTGTTGGATTGGACATTTACGAAGCAGACTTTCGATTTATACGGAGCCACAGTCCCCCAAGTCAGGGGTCCTTAAATCTTGAAGCTTGTGCCTGGAGCCACAGCTGGACTTAAAGCCATGATTTCATAAACACCTTTCCCATTAGGAAGTGTATGCAATTATTTTTGTTCAACTGAGGGCGCTGTTTTCATTCTGCAGAGTATACTTCTGCACAGACATTTACAATTTACTTCAGAAGATAAAATTGGACACAAAAAGCGCTGAGAAAAACAAATCTTGTAGAGTTAATATCGAGCAATCACATGTATTTATGGTACAGAATTTGGACAAATATGGTAAATATCTGATGTTCAACTGTAACTTTATCCTCTAATATATGTTCTACATTCCTGACATTTCTAGAATTACTTTGAGAATGGGTTTTTAGAAAATATTGATTTGAAGAATGCCTCGGAAGAAAATGAGATTCCGGCATCAAAACAAAATTACAGCCACTCCCTCCACCCCCCCCCCCCCCCAAAAAAACTACATTGAAAACAAAATGTACCTTCTAAACTTTGCATTTCCGTCTGCATGTTCTCAATGGTTCCGATGCAGTCAGTCAACTGCTGTTCCATGTCTTCAATCTCCTCAGCAGTGGCTGCCTGCAGCATCTGCTCATAGGTTTTCTTCTGCACCTGTTGTACCTGTGGTTGGAAACAGCAGTTGAGGAGTTACCCCAAAAAATCTGAGTTTTGTATTCTTAGAAAAAGTGACACGAATTATATAAATACTAAAAGTTCTAGTATCTGATAGCTCCATCCTAGCACAATAATTCTCTTTTCTGCTATTTAGGAAAGTTCTGCCACTTTTATTATTTTTTTCAATTTGTCCTCAGTTCTTCACTCCATTTGGTCAAACTATTTCCACTCACCGCGATAGCTTCTTTCAACTCTGCGATACTACCCTGTAATGCATTCACTGTTTCCTGGGTTTCCAAATCCAACTGGTTATCTGGGAACACAAATAAACGTCAAAAACAGTTCACCGAAAATTTTCTTAAAGACACCAAAACACAAAAAAAAACCACCAAATTGACTAATAGAGGAAAAGTTGAAATCGGAAATCATCTAATTTTGTTTCCTAGAAATTAACCCTTCCTCTAAAACATCCTCAAAAAATTTCCATATTTAAAGAGAATTCTCTCTTTTTGTTTAACTGTGTCACACACACTACCATCTACATGTACCACAGACTCTAAGAAATGTCGAGCTAACCAAAACAAAGTTACTCACTTCCTTCTGGTCGTAGTTTCGCCAGGAGCTCATCCTCGGCCGATCGGTGTCCCGGTCCAAACTTTGGAGGGGCGGGGCGTGGCGGCATTGCCTTCTTCTTAGGGGCGGGTTCTTTCGGCCTCCCAGGAGCCGTTCTACTTGGCTTCATCTTTGACCCTGAAGCAGGGCTACTACTGGTCGCAGGGGGATCTAGCCCGAGTCCGAGGATATCGGCAACCGGGGCCGAGCTTTCGGACGTCTGGGTGGTGGATGCTGGAGGTGGGGTGCCTTAACACACAATACAAGTTGAGTTGAGAATAATAAATTTTTGAGTAATGTACAAAAGCGAGCTTAAGTTGAAAAGCCAATGGCAAATTATGTGAAGCTAAGCATCTGTGACTGCACAGGATTAATAATCCTACAAAATGTACAATATGGGAAGTCAGCTTGGCGTAGTGGTTACTTTCCTCTCCTTCCAACTCTATGGCCCGGGTTCGATTCCTGCCCTGTTCTGCCTTTGAATTGGATCTTGAGCCCCTACCTGATTCTCTGGGTTTTCCCAAGAGCATTCTTCAGGTGTTTTTCTCCCACCTCTAAAACTACAATTTCTTCGTTGCCTTCTCTCTACAGGTTTCTTCAGGGTTGCGAGCTACATTGCTTAAGGCGCTTTTGAGGAATACTTGGTTTCATTACCAAAAATAACTAAAACTAATTTATGTCTGTTAGGCATACCTGCGAAATCATCAAAGGCTCCGTCCAGCAGGGATGCAGTCTGGTCTGTCGCTATGGCGACCCCATCAGGCGGAGGTGGGGGTTCCCTGTGAGGCATCCCGAACAGGTCGTCGTCTCCGTTGGCCTCAAACTTGCTGGGGTCAAACATCTGCTGCACGCTGGCTTGGAAGCTACGCAGATCCTGCTGGAACTGCTCCCTGTCGGCTGATGATTGCGAAAAAAAAAAGAAATACGGATTCATCAGTGAAATACACAACCTTTAACTCTAATCCTCCAGGGAATTTTTGGCTAGAAACCCTGCCAAAGGCAGCAACATGCAACACTCGTCTAAATGACAAGCCTGCCCAGTGCAGTAAGATCCATCAGGTCAAAAGTTGGGCAAAAGGTCAAAAGTTGGGCAAATTCAGCCCTATATGGGTTCCATGTCCTGTTCCATGTACATCCCAAGTTTAAGATTATTTTTATTTAGTTTGGATAAAGGCTTCTAAATGATTCTGAAGCCAGAGATGATATAAAGATGGAGACAAAGTCATCGTTGGGAAATTTAAGTAGTTCAAGATTTGGATCTTTACCTTGAGTGTTCTGGTCCGGAGGCAACTCATAATCTTCAGAGGAGCTTCCACCTTCTCTATCTAAGCTCCGCCCCCTCGGTCTGGGAACAGCGCTTTTTGGGTTGAATTTTCTTCGACTCCTCGGCGATTCCACGGTGGATGCTTTGATTTTGGACTTGGTTGGGGGAGGAGGCAGCTTGAATGCTGTTGGGGCTTGGAAGTCCGAGTTGGAAGGTCGGATGCTAAAGTTGATGTTCTGCATTAGGTAGTCGTCGGAGAAATCCGATGCGACACTGTCGTCACGGATGAGATCCACCGGGCGAAGGCCGAGAGGATTTTGGCAGGGAGGGTTAGAGGTAGGAAGAGGGGGTGGCAGCTGAGGTTTGGGGGCTGGGGTGGGGGCGAGCGGCTGGATGGTTTGAGGTACTGATTGGGTGATAATTGGCGGTGGGAGTTGTGAAGGTGGTGGGGCGGTGAGGGGAGGTGATTCCGCCTTGAATGGATTAGGGGATGGTTGGCGAGGAGGTAAGGGAGGGGGTATTTCGGATGAAGAGAGCTTGTTCTCTGCTGAGAAGGGATTTGGAGAGGGTTGACGAGGAGGTACGGGTGGAAGGGTTTCTGGGGCCAACTCTGCCGAATCAGTTGCAGAGAAGGGGTTGAATTTCGGCTTGCTTGGCTCGGAAGTTGGGGGACTAGAGGAGGCATCAACTTCACACAGAGCTCTGTCCAACTCCTGATTCACCTGCATGGGTGTCAACAGGCCTTGCTTCAACTTGGGCGATTTGGGAGACTTTGGGGAAGTCGGGGAACCAGACGACCCCTGACTACCGGGCCGGGCGACGCTGTGTATTTTGGTGGTAGTGACTGGGGCGAAAGGCTTGGCTGAAAACAGCTCGTAGCTGGGTTTCTTTTGCAGTGGGGGTTTGGATGTAGGGGTTTGGGAAACGTTCACTGGGTCGAGAGGTGGAGGAGAGAGTGGGGCACTGAGGGGGGCTAGGATGGAGGTGCTGGGTTTGTCCATGGGACTCATGTCCATCAACGAATGGCCTTGAGCACTTTGGGCTTCGTCGGCTGATTTGATATTGCTGAATGGATTAGCGGCGGATGACGGTTTAGCGGCTGTGCCATCTGGCGGGGACTGCTTGCTGGCAAAATTAACAGGCCGGTAAGCACCCCCGCTGAGTTTGAACCCAACCTGGTCTGACGTGGCCTGGGGTTTCAGAGGCTGTACGTCGGGGAGTATATGTGGGGATGTATCACCTGGATTGTCAGCTAAGGGGTCAAAGCACAGGAGATCGTCTATTGCAGAGGGGGCTTTCGGTTTTTCCGTGGACAAAACTTTCGCAGATTTGGGCGGCAGTGGAGGTTTGGCGTTTGCGTCTGGCTTCCCCGTTGTTTCGGGCGGGGTGGAGAATATGTCCAAAAGATCCATGTTGACTGAGTTTGTTGCTGACGAAGCTGCGCTTCCGTTCTGGGTGGCAGGTGAAGGCGTTTCCTTGGGCGGTAGAGGCGCGGGTCTCTTGAATGAAGGGGTTTTCGGCTTGTCTAAGACTTTCACATAGTTCACCGGTAAAAAGCCAGTCCTGCCTGAGGGATGCTTGGCCTCGAACCAATCAGCATCCACTTTGTCGATGATGGTAATGACGTCCCCTTGCTTCACTCCGAGGTCTTGATCCGTCACAGCCGAGAAGTCGAAGAGAACCTTCACCCGTTTGCCTTTCCATTTCCCTGCTCCTGCCTTCAGGTTGTTGTTGTTAGCACTGCCTGAAGGCACCGGGAGGGTTTGGGGTTTGGAAGTGGAGGAGGAGTTACTCGCAGGTTTCTCAGGCGGGACATAACCCTCAGGAATATCCACCTGGATTTGGACGTAGTTGCTTGGGAAGATGCCCACGTTACCGCCCACTTCTCCTTCAAGCCAGTTCTCATCAACTCGCCGTCGGAGGGTCACACGGTCACCGTCCATCAGGCTGATTTCTCCCGGATGCTCCGCGGTAAACAGGAACGTCGCCTTAGCCCACGGCTCCCCGCTATGATTGTTTGCAATCTTCGGGCTTCCCGGTGCCGACGATTTCCCACCCTGCATTGCACTTTTGAGTCTTTCATTAACAGCATTGTAATCAACAGTATCTTTCCCGACGTCCGATGACGTGGGCGGTTGAACAGCAATCCCCGGTTTGAGAATCTCGACATTGAGTGCCGGCAGCGTCCCCGTTTTCCCGTTGAACGTGCCCCTGTACCAGTCCTCGTCAATTTTCTCGACGATCGTGATGATGTCGTTCTTCTGGAAGCTGAGCTCGTCTTGTAACTGGCCTAAGTTGTCCCTAAGAGCACGCGCCTGGAGAATATCACCTAGAATGCCCAGAAATCAATGCAGAATTAGCCAAATACATTGTAAAACTTTTACCCTTATTCGGTTCAAAAGGTCATTCTGAAATGGACATTCGTAAATTATTCATGCAAAATTATCTAATTATCTACTCAGCAGCTTTCATGTGAAAATAACACTACTGTAATATTTTTCAATGGAAAATGGGTTTTTGCACAATAACAACTGTTCTTAACGCATACTTGAGGTCCTGAACACTACTTGACTGCTTCATTAGCCTACCTGGGGTGGACGCATGTTGCGTAACCTCTTCACTGATGTAGGTTACGGGAAAGATACCGGTCTCATTGCCTAGTCTTCCCTCCAGCCAATTGTCATCGATTTGCTTTGTGATTTCGATGACATCGCCTGGGTAGAATACAAAAAGAGGAAACTCACCACACACGTACGTTGTTTTAGTTTTGTAAACTTTGTTTCCTTGACACTTGTAGGTTATTTATTGAAGATATTCATTTGTTTGTATTCTGGGCCCAATTTTATAGAAAAAAAAAACCAAAAAACAAAAACTTGCTTAATATAATCATGTTACCGATCAAAACTCCATTCGATGTACATTGCTTGTGATCAGAATTTAGCTGTTGTTTACTTAGCATAACAATCGCATGAAATTTTGGTGGGTAACCTGATTATATAAGCAAAGTATTTTGTGCTTAAGCAAATTTTATTCTTAAGCAGCTCTGTAAAAATTGGGCCCTTTAACACTGTTGATCTGTAGCACGATCAACATGTAGTCTTCTCTCCAGCCGCCTGTGACCTTTGTTTTGCAATTTTGAAGAACTTGAACTGCATGCAAGAGTAGTTTATTGTAGGCAAAAAGCAGTTGTGAAAGGCTTCTATAAGTGGTAGTTTTAGTTTTGTAAAGTTGAAGGTTCCTTGTCTTGCCCGACTTTTCAAACAATGGCCAAAATGTCTGATATGAAACACAATTCGAAAACAAAGCACTTCAAACCATAATGATATGAAGTGCTGATTATTCAACTCTAGTTTTCGTCCAGAGTGCACTAGTATTTTTTTGTTAACTGCAAGGAAGTGTGTGCTTTTTTTATGTGGTTTTGCTTATTAGGCAATGGAAGCATAGCCCATGTCAGAATTACATGGCTACGACTTGGAACTACACATGCATCTATGATAGACATTGTAGCCACTTCCCATAGACATGTGCATTACTGCTAGCCATAGCCATTAACTGGGACACAGCCTTACCTTTCTTGAAAGACAAGTCGCCGTCCGCGCCAGCGTTGTACGTTTCCACGGAGACGACCTTCTGACCTCTGGCAAACCTCCCCGATGAGGACGCAGCAGCCTCGTCGACCACCAACTCCACAAAGTTGGCAGGGAAGGTTCCTGATTGGCCGTTGCAGGAGCCAATCAGCCAATCGTGGTCCACCTTCTGTTGGAGCACGATGATGTCACCGATGTGGAGAGGGAGCTCGTCTGGAGCCGAGGCGATGAAATCAAAGATGGCGCGGACCTTGGCACCCGGCTCCATTGGGATGCCTAACAGATGAGAAAGAAAAAAAGTACAATAAAATAGTAAAATTCCAGGGTTGATTGAAATACATACATACTGTACATTGTACAAAGTTAACAGTAAGAAAATTCTTACCGGTAAGTCATCAAAATATTATATGTGATGTGATCAAGCTAAATAAGTCGTTTGTCGCAAACTTTCATTTGGAGATTCAGGGCCATTTTATCACATCACTTCATCACATCTCTTGGTGTGCAGGTTTAAAAGCATGCAGTTTTCACAGCAGTGATGCTGAAATTGTTCTCTTTTCAAATCTGTAAAAAAAAAAAAAATTGACCAGGGTCGACACGACTCATTTAGCTTGATCGCATCACATAAGTGGTTGCATTCTTCAATATTTATTTCTACATCCCTTTAAGTCAAACTTGAAAGTGTAATCGCATAGCTGACCCACACTCCACTGTCTCTCATCCACTCTATAGCCGTTAAGCAACGTTCCGCAACTCTCGCTATATTTTATCTCCCCAGAATAAACACTTCTCCAGCCCTTCCTGCTAGAATATTCATGAGTTGTCACAGACGCCCGCGTCGCTCCTAGCCATTTTGTCTTCTCTCAATCTCGATCTCTCACCGACTCGATCCGTCTTTCTCTCTTGAGATACATCGCTGATCGTCTTCTCCTATCTCATTCCTCTCCGCTCTCAGGGCAATCCTTTTTTCAGGGCCACTTGATTTTATCTTTTTGTGTCTCTTTTCATAAACAGGGGCACTGTCACAACCACAACCAGAACTCTATACCAGGGAACATTGTTGGGGAGACATACAAAGGCGGCAGCAAAAACTTTTGTACCAGGGTACATTATTTCCTTAAATATTGATCTTTTTCTCAACTATGATGTACATGTACATGTTCATGTTAATTATTTCCTTGGACATTATTCTTTGTATTTCATTATCTTATTGTGTTTTTTTCTCGTGTGTCCTAGATTGTATTTGGGCCCAATTATTTGCGTTTATCTGTAAAAAAAAAAAAAAATATTGTGGTGACTGATGAGCCTTTTTGTGGCCTTTGCAACAATAACATCATCCAAATAAATTGTGGGTTTTGCCAAATTCAACATTGGCAAACCAAAACCCAATTCAATATTGGCAAACCCAATAATTATTCTACGTCACCCTGATGCAATTCCATCTTATGAATTAAAAAGATCATCTTTTGCACAAAACAAGGACCAATGAACGCTGCTCACTGTAAAGACTTAGACCTGTCATGTGGAAGGGTAAGGATATGACAGGCGCATTTTCTGTCACAAAAATGACCAGAACATGTTGTAGGTTCAACTTTTTCAGGGTTTCAGATTTTTCCAATAACTTAGATTTGAGCTGTTTTCTGGATTTTTCTTCTTCTAAAGTTAGCGGAACACATTGGGGGAAAAACTAAAAAAATTTGCTTGTTCTGGACAAAATTATTACCATATAATTTCATGCAGTTTCTGCCTCGTTGCTAATAGGCACTACCAGTGAGCGTTCGACAGACACAAAAAAAACATTTACACTACTTGATCTTTGATCACCTTATCCAAAATACATGTGAATACGAAACAAATGTTTCAAAATCTGAAAAGAAATTTTATATTTATTGGAAATAATTGCAAAGGCTTATTAAAGAGATTTAGGATATTAATGCATACCTACATGTAACTATGCACGCATGTAGTCTGAAAGATATCAATTGCCCTTAGTAAATTTTTCTAAACATCACAAGCTTTATACAGACATGACAGAGAAACAAGACTTTTCAACTGGGCGGCCTCTGCAAGCAAACACGCCAACGCTTGCCAGAATTTGTGTGCAATCAAGAGGTCTGATATATGCTTTAAGTTCATTAGGGAAATGAGGCACCAGTCTGATTAGGCTTAGGGATTAGCTCAATACAACCGATCCCTCCAAATGTCACCTAATTCACATCTTTCAGCTGCGAAGAAATTAAGGATTCAGGGTTATATATAATACATGTACATGTAGAAGAAATGGTGCTATCCACAATATCCAAATCTTGGTTTCATAATTTGCTTTTCGAGAATGACTGTTCTTCTGCAATGTTGACCTTTTATTTTATGATCTACCATGAATTTTTTATCAGATATGGTTCACTCGTTTTTGAACAAGCACGCAATTACACGGTGTCGTTTGAAACCGATCTGGCAAGGAATCGAAAAATTGGAAAGGTTTGACAGCCATTCACAGAATTTTGTTGGGGGAAGGCTGTTCATACTGGCAGTTTTTTGATGTGTGCTTATTCTTAAGTTTGCTCTTTGCATACAGCACACTCATTATAAAAGTGCACACGTACCGGTATAAGCCTTTTCGGAGTTCCAACTGCGCATTCATAACCTGTGACAACGCGCATTGTTTGTCTCAAATGGCCTTTGACATCATCGCGCCACTGACTTTACAAAAAGGCTGTTTGTGCATTGTGGGTACTGTCAAAGGGCATTTGAGACAAACAATGTGCGTTGTCACAGGTTACGAATGCGCGCAGTTGGAACTCCGAAAAGGCTTATTGGCTTGAAATGGTGCCCTTGTGTGACATCAAACCAATATGGTTGATGTCATTAACTCATTGTTTTAATTATTAATACTTACGGCAATGTAGTATTTAACAAAAATTGAAAAGTAAGGTTTGACAGAATTATACACATGTACATGTTTACACAGAATTTTACTGGGGGAAGCCTGTTCACGTTAAATGGCAGTTTTCCGACATGTATGCAAAATCTTAAATTCACTCTTTGTATACAGCACACTCATAATTTGTACATTTGTACATCGGCTTTAAATGTTGCCAATTTGTGGCATCAACTCAATGTACCAGGTTGATGTCATTAACTCATTGTTTTAATAATTTCTAATTAAGACAATTAATTTTGTAATCAGAGAGTGACGAGAGACCTACATGTACATGTACATTGAAAATCCAAGTTCTGATTAGCATTGGACATGCATAATGTGTGTATTTTTTGGATACTTTTATATTTTTTGGATTGTGCGTTTATTAAGTTTTTCTATTTTACTATTTTTATCTTTGACATTTTTATTCCTTGTATCGACTTTTTGAAACATTTTAACGTTACAGTTACTTTTTTTTTATATATAATGCTATAGTATTAGTTTATTTTTTAAACTTTTTAAGCGTCTAAGAGCGTCTTTTTTAGACGGATTTTGGCGCTATATAAATGTTCTCTATGTACATGTACATACATGTACATGTATGTACATGTATGTTAAAATCCACTTTCATTTAAAGATCTTGCTTAAATGAGAACGCTATCTTGAGTCCTTGTGCTTGCAAATTTAATCGGAATTGATTTCCTATGGCCTTTAGTGCATGTACCAGAGTTCCACATGTATGAATACTGCTCACACATAACCCCATACCAGGACACTCTGTATCAGAGATATCCGAGATAAAACGCCGGAGCAAAGAAGACATTTCCTCTTTGATTAGATCACAGGTTTTGAGGACATGGATGCGATGATCTGTATAGCTCAAAACACTGTGCTGCATATAAACCCTATTTGACAAACATGGCTCTACAGTCGACTCTCGTTAGTACAAAGTCTGTTAATACAAATTCTGGTTATAACAAACATAAAGCCTTGGTCCCGACTGTGCATAATTTACAAATGTATGTGCACAATGAATGGGAGTGATGTTCCTCTTGATACAAAATTCTGATACATGTATATACAAAACAAACAATTTGGCTAGGTCCGAATGAGTTTGTATTAACGAGACTCGACTACATGTACTGGTAGTCCACATAAATAATTAACTTTCAATTGTTTCGATGCATGCTTCAATTACACAAGTACGTGATTGTTTAAGGAATTGAAGAAAAAAAAATCATTTTTTCCCCAAACTTACTCTGGATTAAAATTTGCTAAAAATAGACTTTTGGCTATCATTATTTTGATTCACTTTTGATGGATCTTTGATAAGTTTTAGCAGAGTTGAAAAATACTGGAATTTGGTGTGGTTTATGGCACTTACAGTATTTCACATCTGGCCTAATTTTAATAATTTTGTTGGGAGCACGTGTACATGTTATGCACTTGCCTGGCTTTCAAATTTTTGTTCGGTTATTATGACCTGCTTAGTCTTAGATTGTTAAATTGGTTAAAACATGGTCCTGGTGGAATTCATATCTTTTAAATAAATTTACCTTTCGTGTCAAATCTTTAAAACTGGCATGAAATCTGATGTTATGCTCAATGCGTAAGATGATCCTGACTCACTACTCAATAGTGGAACAGCCTCCCCTTTCCAATCAAAACAACAGCCTTTTCATGGATGCTGACGCAATCTAAAACCGTCTTTAACCATGCTTTAACTTAAGCCCGGTAAACCCCGATGTGACACATCACTCCATAAAATAAATTACCCTCCCTCTAAGAAAACATCCTCTTCCCTGCCAACCACTGACGTTGATGTGGAGACAAACACACGGACGATAAACATCCTACTTACACACTCGCTCGCAACTCAAACGTAGACACACTTGCCCACCCACCCACACACAATAAAAGATGAACCACGGTAACTACATTGCTGAGAGAGCTGGTAGCTACACATAATGAGCGTAATTAAATTATCGGCACATGGGCTCAATCAATACGAAGTCCGCCGTTTAACAACGGCGGCAGGAAGGGGAAAACAGCGAATCAAATATTAAAAACGTCTCGTTTCATTTAGCCATGCATCGCGTCTTGTAAAAACAACATGCCACTGTGAAGGAACATGCTGTGTGCTATACATGTAGGTATCGTGTTTGTTGTGGCGGGATGTTTTGTCAATGCACATTGTACATTGTAAATGTACCGATGCATTGAAACGACCGTCACATATACTAAAAATGTACAATGCTACACCGGTGTGAATGTTTTCAAAGAAATTTATTCACAGGCACAATAGGAATTTCAAGTGCTTCACTTTGAAGGATTTTGCTGTCAAACAGAACAGGAT